TAAAAAATCCAAATATGTATCTCTCCCGGCAGGTGGCGTGAAAGTAGATTGCTTCTTATTGAAAAAAGGTTCTTGTTTATATTCATTTTCTGTTGATTCATTTTTTTCACTTTCGAAAAACTCTTTAAGTCTAAGGCGTCTAGTAAATTTGAACGAATTTTCAGCTAACTTAATTTTGTCATGACTTCGCGATTTAGGACAAAATGATAAGCCTTTACTTAACAGTAAATAATCAGTTTCCGTAAGTTTTCTCGATGATATGTTTAATACTGTTTCTTTACCTTTCGAAATTTGTTGTTTCCTTCTCTTCTGTTTTTTCCATTTGTTTCTGTTTGTCGCTCGGATAAATCGTCTGTTCTTTTTACCAAATCTTGCACTATTTTCATTAGATTTTGTACAGTCTGTTGGAGATCTTGGTTGCATACCCCCTGTTTTGTGGCCTCTGCATATGTTTTTCTTGTGCCTGGGGGCTTGAAGTTTTTTGAATTTTCTACATTCAAATCCTTAGAGTTTCTGCGTTCTGGGTTTTGAACTTGGTCTTTCTGTCTTTCATTCTGGTGCGTAGGAATAACTATCTTTTTGTTTACCATGTTTGTTTTTTTTTTTTTTTTTTTATATGTAAGTGTTGAAACTTAACTCTCTTAAGGCTGTACGTAGTATTACAAATTTCACTATTGCGTTAATTGAGAGAATGTTCTTTCTTTTGGTTCTTACGTCATGCCGACAGATTCATCCTCTCTATCAGATTCATTCATGTCCCTCTTTCTGTAGTAAATCTGAACACACAACGCAATGAATATCAAGACGTTCAAAGTTCCTCCTAGTCCCATCAACATTGCAGAGTAAAGAAAGCCAAGCTTGAAATCTGTATCTTTCTCCGTTTCAACCCATAATTCATATTCAGCGTGTACATCACTTGCTGTTTTACCAACTACTACCAATGCAAGAACACCTGGAAAAAAAAACACATTTATGTTAACTTTCTCGGCAAATTGCAATGTTGACCTTTTTGCAGCTGGGATGAAGTAACAAGAGAAAAGTCATTCAATTGTGCAAGCATACATGGTCGTAACAACTCATTTTTTCTGTCATTACTGGATTGATTTTGAAATTATGTGGCTTAATGTTTTGGATATATTAAAATGTATCGCGCGCACGAGTCAGGTCTCCAGCTTAATTAAAGATTAAGGTCACGTTTGTACAACCACTGTATTAATATCATGTAAATATTATAGATGGTGGTTTCGGGTCCATGACTGGCATTCATGATGCATAGATGTTTAGCAGATTGATATGTTATGTCGCACGCTAAAACAAAAATGTGTATACCAACAGCATAGGTCGCACTTCACTTGAATGAAAATTTTCATTTAAGCTGAATTTCATTACAAACTATACAACCATTGTATAAAATAAATATGCTCAAAATGAAAGCTTTTCAACAAATTGCAGAACCTAAAAACGCATTGGTTTTGGGAGCCTTATTTCTTAAACATGCATATATACGAATAAATATAATTTAAACTATATTGTGTGAAATGTGTTGTTGTAATTTTTGAAATGCGTGATTCAAATTTTAAGTTGTTTCTGTTACTTAGTTACCAGCAGCAAGGGAAAAAATCACATTTGTAGTCGCCATTGATGTTATGTCCCCTTGAAGCCGAATTTTCCTTAGATAAATAGGCAACGTGATAGGAACGGAAATACTGCTCACAACTGCCAAAGTCGCTATCAGTTTATATGTATCGAATTCTGTTTTATCATCTGCAAAAAAATAAGCAAAACAATGTAAATATATTTAAATTTCAGTATAAATTGATATATGGTTAAACAAACATTGTTTGACAGATCAGATTTTTTTTTCAAATATATGCCTTAAATTATCATAGTTCGAAATGTTATTCATAACCTAATGTGATCTGTGTAAGACTGTAAGTGCTGATTAACTATAGTCATGTCGAATCTAATTGATGTTTTCAATTGAAAGGTTTCAAACAAAACCTTCTTCACTCACTATAAGCCCGTGAAACTGTTAACCCGTGCATTTACTATACAGAAACACTCTGACTGGTGATATTTAAATACATGTAATCCATTTCAAGTAAACATTGGACAAGACAGAGTGTAAATTATATAGATGTTAAGTAATAATGCTCTTACTTGGTAATAAATAAACCAGCGATTATGTTAGATATGACTTTGACCCCAACCTTTTTGAATATTAAAAAATATGTATATAACATTGTAACATAGAATATCATTAAACAACTCAAACGATTTTAATCAGAGGGACTGTCGCGGCTCTTTGTGGCTTTGAGTTAATTTTGACATAGTTGGGGATAAAGACTCTAAGCGACGCGGACACTTTACATTTTGGGTAAACGTGTGGGGTCTTTTATCCCAGCTGTGTCAAAAATGACCCAAATACTACATGAAAGTACTGTGACTGTCCCATTGATTTTAATCAATTACCTTTTGACCAGAATAATGCGCTGTTAATATATCCAATTTCACAACTATCTGTACAAAATCTTTGATACCAAAACCCCATGCCGACAGAAAAAGACACATTACTGTCACTCGTCCCTGAAAAGACCAACCAACCTGGTGTGGCATAACCAACCCCTTGCAGTATCCCGGCTATTATCGCGACAACTAATAGCACTATAATTATTTCAGTATTCCTGGAGACGAGTCTATTCACGCGATCACGTTCGTAATCCATTGCCTTAGCGTAACAATAACTTGCAGTTATGTGCAGCTGCTATGAACCAAAAAAGTAAAATTTCGTTAACATTAACTTGATTCATTATTTGGTTGGTGACGCGTTGTGTATTATGTTAATTACAGTAAGTATGTAACAAGTTGTCATCTTGTGTAGGTGATTGATATAAATTACATTGCAACATGAACTTTGTTATATGTACGTATACTTTGAAACGTAACGCCATTGACATATAGTTTGTGTTTCATTAATTCGTACACTAATTTATGTTTATACATGTGTTTGCTTAACAAGCTTGCTAATCAAGATTTAACTACAATTAAACTGGGGTTCCATCTTTACCAGTGGGTGTATATTTATTCTTCCGTTGAAACTATCAAAGTGCTATATAAAAAAAAAAAACTGGTTGTTACTTTGATAATATTGGTTGTCCTTAATTATAGTGGGATACAAATCATCGATCTCTTGATAGAGAGGCAAGAACCTTAACCACTAGGCCATTGTGTATATATATTCTAAGAAACATATAAAACACATCGAGTATAAACATTCTGCTTTGTTTTTGATATGCATTAAATCTAACGATATACTGTGAATGTAATTACTAGTAGCATTACGACAGGGGCAGATACATGTAAAATCAGTGATTAAAGTAGATTTAGCGTTAGTAAACAAAAATGTACATATATATTTGCTTCATGCACAGCAATTTAATCAAACACAAAAAGAAACTGCGTATGTTTCTTATATACTTATATTGGTCATAATCGTTTAAAAAATTAACCACGTTATGCACGCGTGTTTCTCAATCAAACAATGGCTACATCCGGTCACTTTCTGTTCAAATTGTAGACTGACGGAAAGAGCCGAAAGCGGTACTGTTCTTGAGTTCCAATATTGTCCAACAATATTGACCTGGCACTTCATTAACTTTCGTAAAGGTCATATGAATAAACATTGACCAGTATCTATCGAATATATCGATATATTTGCTAACCTCACTCGTCAGTGATGTGTGGTGTATTGGTATAGATGTCGGGCTACCGATCTGATGGTCTCTGGTTCGATTCCTTACCAACACCACGTTATATATTTTTTTTAATTTACTTGCAAGAATTAATAAGGAATCGTTTTACTCAGAACACCTGACTTTAGAACACCTTTTAATTGATGTTTTATATACAATTACTTTTTATTCCATTACCGTATCTTTCTTTCAACGGTTCTTTTTGTGACATTATGCAATCGTATACATGTATGCTTTAGCGCATACACGCTATAAACGCAAATATATATTAAAATACTACATAGATAGTACACACAAAAAAGGGTTGTAATAGGTTTAAGAGAATGGCAATTTTAAAATTAAAATAAAATGAAAAAAAATAAATCGCTAAAATTGGGTTCGAACCTACCTTCTTCAAGTGAACCACCTTTACCAACTGCGCTAGAGAGATTTTTTAATTTACACCATTTTATTTTAACAATTAGATATTTACATTCATATCGTTTTACAAGTAAATAGTAACGGTTACGGAATATACCGACTACAGGGTCAAATGCAAGAGTGCCAGGTCAATGTTGTTGGACAATACCAGTGCACTGTATAGATAAAATAAAATGCGTAAATATTGTCTTCAGGGTCAGAATGAGAATTAGAAACACTACTGAACACGAAACATTCATTGTGGCGACTTTTTGAACGTGTTCATCATATTGAAGAATTGATTATGCTTGTATTACTTATGCAACAATAACCCAGTTGATGCTGGTTGGTAAGTAAGAAAGTAAGTAAATATTTTATTGTAGTGACAAGTGTATGACAATTTACAAATAACGAAAATTAATAATTTAACATAACACCCGCTCCAATTGACCAATAAGTCACATAACACCAGGCCCAATGGACCAATTAGTCACCTTAAACATATCTACATCATTAATAGTTCACATTTTTATTATTATTATTATTTACCAAACTTATATAGCGCCCTTTTCATATACATGTTCAAAGGCCTTTTTACAATGATATAAACTAATAACTAATTACAGCAATACAATTTAAAAACTAAAACAGCATTCACATAATAAATCTACTACATAATAAGAACAAAAATATGAGACAATCAATTAAAATGTGGTATTTACCGTTTTACAATGATATAAAAACTAATAAGTAATTACAGCAATACAATTTAAAATACTAAAACAGCATTCACATAATAAATCTACGACATACTAAGAACAAGAATATGAAACAATCAATTAAAATGTGGTATTAACTTAGTCGTTTAGAATTAAAATAATTGAATATCGACAACATACGATTAAAATATTCTAGCGAAATTTCTAAAACACTAAATTAGAAATAATGTATTTTATAATCAACACCTTAATTATTTGTAACTGTCTTAAAAATATTAGCAGAATTAAAACAAATTGTAAAATTATGGTTGATATCACACAGTAGTCACACAGTTTTCTAAAATCACTGTCTCAGATTTTTCACGATAAAATATAGGCTTGTTTGAAATAGTGTGTTTTAAGTGCACGTTTAAAAGAACACAATGAGCTCGAGTCTCTCACACCAGACGGCAGATCGTTCCACAGTTTCGGAGCTGCATATTCAAATCGTCGGTCGCCAAAGGTTACAGTTTTACTCGTTGGTACCACTAAAGTAATTGCTTTGTTCTGAGATCGTAGATTCCTTCGTGGTTTGTAAACACATAACATTTCTTCCATATATTCCGGCGATTTTCCATTTAAAGCTTTGTAGGTATGTGTTAAAATTTTAAACTGGATTCTGTATTGCACCGGAAGCCAATGTAATTCTTTAAGTACAGGTGTAATATGAAACATAAAATTATTATACTATACACATCATCAATATTGCAGTATAACAATGTACATATCTATATTGAATTGAATTTACATTAAATTTTGAATCTGAAGATATTCGGGAAAAAACTTTAGTATTTTGTTATAAACAAAAATATTTTAAGATTAAACAATGTTTATTTAATTTATTAGAGTTGATTCCGTCGATGTTGATGCACTGGCATTTAATTTTCACACGAGTTTTCCAAAACTGGCAGGTCTCGCTGACTGAGGACACGTACAAGTCTTCAATCCGAAACAGCAACTGCTACATGGAAAGAGGGTGAAATAGTTTGAGGTATATTCTTTATCATTGACAAAATCGTGCAATTGACTTCAAAAATCCAACTGTTATCGCAAGTAGAATTTCCATTAACACTTTTTGCGTATTTTACAGCCCCCGCCCTACTCCCCACCACACCAACCATCTTTATTTGATGAAAACGTCTTTAAAGAAACTGTTTTTCAAATACATTTACACATGTAGGTCATTTTGTAGGAAGTTGGAAAACTGAAGCTACAATATGGTGTCATAAAAAATATTTTGGTATGAAAAGAAAAAAAAACGATCCGTCAAACTTAACCTAAATGCCATGCATTCACATTAAATTTTGCGTTTGAGAAAAAAAAGCTCCGTTTGAATATTTATATAATCATTAAATAGGTACACTGGTTGAGATCCAAGGGCTTCTATAGATATAACATTTGGGAATCTTACATAGACCAGAGATTTATAATACAACTATGTGCAACATCTACTTGGCTATATGAAACATAAGAGAGAAAAAAATATATATACTCAAAATTAAATTGAAAATATGAATTTCGCTAATGAGATTCATTGCCCGATTTGAGTAAAAGGTTTATGCCATTTTGCACGATAGAAATTATTATTCTCGACAAATGAGGTGAGCGAATGATTAAAAATTTTGCATACAATTAAGTTATTGATATAGACCTACAAGAAATGTAAAAATGTAAATGTAAAAATATCTCGAAAAATATTTCAATGGCACTCCTGTCGTGCAAAAAGACCACTGCAATAATTTATATAAAAAGTAAAATGTTCGATCTGGACTTGGAGCGTCTTTTAAATTGAATGTTCCACATGTCTTGACATAGTCTTTGTCTTAACCTTGGACATAATTATCTCACAGTCTTTAAATAGCAATTAGATCTATGTCCCAACTGGACAGTCTGTATTTTAATTTGTTTCTAAAAATTATGATTTTTTTATTTGTTAAATTGTAACATTGACCAGTGTGCATCTTTGTTTATTTAATGTGATCTATGGTCTATGATGTTACAAAACAAAAAGAAAGACAGATGTAGTCAGCAGTTAACTGCAATCACGGATTTATAGCGAGCTCGACGAGCTGGCCCGAAGGGCCTGCTCGCAAAGCGAGCTTTACGGTAACGCGAGTACCTGCTAAGTGATGGTTTTGAAAACTTTCGTTCGAAGTACCGAATTGGACACATCGCAACTTTTCGAATTACAAGATAACGATAAAAACTGAGGAATTGTGACTGAAAACGGATGTGTAGACTGGTCACCTGCGCACTTCTATGAGAACCATAATTGGACAGGGAACCAGAATAACGGAAGCTGTGTATAAAATATCGAATGACAGTTTTAAAACGGAAAATGTAAAATGAAAATTGAACGCTTATTTTTAACCGACTTTTCCCGTACATAGGTTTTGCCGGATTTCATAAAATGTACATTTACCTCCTCTTTTTACAACAAACAAAACATTCTAACACTATCGGAAATTCTTCTATATAAACAAAGAAGGCCAGACAACAATGCACTCGCCGTTCTTATTATCTCCCTGTGTATTTTCATATTGAGGGCGCCATTTTGTTTGAAAAATCTGATAAATTAAAAAAAAAAATTGTCGAATTTTGATGTGAAATCTATCTAGAATGAAATAAAATGGTCTAACTAAGAAAATGAATCCGAACACCAATATCTTTTATTCAGTCGTTAACGCTGTATAGACGTTTAAAGTATTGTTTACGTGACGTCACAATGTAGCGCCAAACAGCACGTGCAAAACAAACAAATCAAGTACGCTATTTTAATGTCGCAAACGTGTTAAGTTTTACATTTATTTCACTTTTAATAATCTTTATTTCGCTTGAAAAATTATAGAGTGAAATAAAATAACCAAACAAAGTTTTATCAACGTTTTCAAATTTCGTTATCTACACGTAAGATTTAACGACAGTTTTTTTCATACCACTGGAACAGCCTTTATTTTCCATGCCACTGGAACAGCCTTTAAAGAACGTTTCTATTGGAAACTCTGAGGCGAAAACAAATGAAACATAAAGTCCAACATTTTAATAATAATTTGGATTATTTTGATTTAACCTAAAATAGCTTAATTATAAGGTTGAATGAAGTTGACCTTTTCAATGGGTTTTTATTAGTCGAATTTTGTTTATGGTCTACGTCAGCAATAAACATCTTTTTATTGGTCGCTTCTGATTTTGGCGGTAAATATTTTTGTCCATTTATTTCCTGGACATTTTGGTCATTCTGTATTTCGTTGACTAAGAGATCACATGTGTTAAAAAATTAAAAATTTCTATTATGTTATATGAAAATTGGTCAATTCCAGATGCTATTTTCTCAACGGACGCGTGTTTCACAGGATGTGGTGGTTTTTACAATGGAAACTATTTTCATTCTGATTTTCCTGTAAATATTTCTAATCAAAAATTTTCTATAGCAGTGTTAGAATTGTTTGGAATTATTCTTGCTTTAAGACTTTGGTCACATGAATTTAAAGGTAAAAGGATAGTCGTTAATTGTGATAACGAGGCTGTATGTTCAGTCTTGAATTCAGGCAGAGCCAGATGTTCAATGTTACAGGATGGTTTGAGAGAAATTTGTTTTTTAACAGCTAAATCTCAATGTGAAATAAGAGCTGTTCATTTGTCAAGTATGGATCGAATCTCTGATTGTTTGTCTCGTTGGTCACAGCATGATAAATTCAAAGATGAATTTTTCCAGTTAACAACTGGATTTTATTTAGAGTATTGTGAGGTGGTGGATCAAGATTTTGTTTTTGTTAATGATTGGTAATTTTTCTTTTCCTTGTTTTTTGTAGATCTACAGTTGAAGACTCTCAAGTCTGAGTTGAAACTGTCAAATATTTCAGCATATGCTGAAGGTAGTAGAAATAATTTAAAAATTCAGTGGAAATCGTTTATTTTATTTTGTATTTATTTCAATTATCTTATTTACCTGCCACTACAAACACACTTCAATTATATTCTAATTTTTGAGTCGTTCTTTTAAATCCATGAAATCAGTGTCTAGTATTCGTAATTATTTAAGTGGGATTAGAACTGTTCATCAGTTACTAGGATTTGATTTAAATGAAATGAACACTTTTTTGGTTAATTTTACTCTTCGTGGCATTTCCAGATTGAAATGTCACTGTGTCAAACAAGTCTAACCTATAACTCCTTTCTTACTTCACAAAATATTTTTGGCCTTAGACTTCAAAGATTCTGAGAATTTGATTTATTGGTGTCTATTCCTTGCATTCAGGAATAATGTTAGTTCTGATTAAATTCAGATTCTTGGAGATTGGCATTCCGACGTTTACAAACGTTACATTTCACTATCTATAGAGGATAAGTGTAAAATAATTAAAGATATTTCACATATATTTTATGTTTAAAAATATATATAGTTTGGCATTGTATTTATCAGAGTTTTTATGTTTTCAGAACATGTAAGTCATCCACCACTGCGCAAGTGTACAATAGTCTCCGACTCCATAGCGAAAAATGTTTCTGGAATTTGGGATACCAAAATTACAGCTTTTCCAGGGATTAATATTTCAAGATTAAGTTTTAGAATTTCTCAGGGTCAGGTAGATTTAAGATCTTCATTCATTATTTTACATGTGGGCACCAATGATGTTACTGGTCCCCGTTCAGAGGATGAGATTATTTCATCCTTTAATGAGTTGATATCTAACGTTAGACTTCAATCTACTGGTAGCATTATTGTATCTGCTATTATTCCTCGGCCAATTGATTTTGAGTCCACTGGTAATAGAGTTAAAAATTTAAATAATAAATTAGTTTTATTATGCAAATCCAGAAAGGTTTCATTTATTAGAACCTTCAAGCCGTTTCTAAAATGCGGTATACCACGTCGTGAATATTATGCCATTAAGGATGGGGGTTTACATCTAAATCTTGAAGGGACCCGGCGTTTAAAGGAATTCTTTATTAATACTATTGCGCACTTAAAATAATAAGTGTTGGATGACACTTACAGGAAAGATTATGTATTATTATAAATAATCTTAAATAAGTTGTTAAAATTAAGTTCTATTATTAGGAGATGCTGACTTTATGCCTTTGCTTGAGACACGTCGTTTCTCATGAAAGGCTTAATCTTACAATTCGGTATTGGCCGGCATTGAAGGTTATTACTACTAAGGAGATAATATGCAAGTCTCTTAGTGGGTTATTTTTTGCTACTCATTTGTCTTGATGAATAGTGAGTTTTATTTTTGATTCAGTTTTCTTGAATCTAGTAATGATTTGAATTCATTTACTTTAAATTATGTTCTTTGTCTTTGCCTGAGATACACTGTTTCTCAGGAAAGGCTCTATCTTGCAAGCTGGCGACGGCTAGTCTTGAAGGTTATACTACTAAGGAGGTAATAAGAAAGCCTCTTAGTAGGTTTGTTCATAGTTTGTTAAGTGTATTTATATGCTCTTGCTTACTTGTTTGTTATTTTGGCCGTAGGTTTGGCTTTATGGTAAATATTACTCTTGTAGTAATCATTATGATCACAAATAGACGTTCAAGCAATTTTTGATGTGAGTTATAAATGTCTTAAAGGCATAATATATGTGTTCTCATACAATGTTTGTATGAATTTGTTGATGCTCACTTGTATAAGAAGTAGATGAACTGCATATGTGATTTATGTTATAGATACAAGTACATGTGTGAATTTGATTCATGTGATCTCTCAATTGCCTAAAATATATATTCATATGACTGAAATTTTCTTTTGTTATTTCTTCTGATTGAAAACTGATAATTATATTTTTTCTTGACGTGTTACAATGGAAATATATATTAATTCTTTGTGCATAATAATGCACGTTTTTCGTTCAAATGCTTTGTAATTAATCACTCAGGCCTATGGGCATTCGTGATTATATTATTACGCATTTGATACTACGCATTTGAACTCAAACCGTGCATTATTCTACAACAATGCACTCAGAATTCCAAAAAAAACAAAACAACAGAAAAAATAAAGGGGCGGAGCCGATTCCTTCTTTCTTCCTGTAAATTAAGGTAATTCACGTAGCACAAATGATAAAATACATTAATTTTATTCATTTAATAGGAGGGAACCAGAATAAACGGAAGCAGTGCATAAAATACCGGAACGGAAAATTTAAAATAAAATTGAGCGATTATTTCATACTATTTCACGTTAAAAGTACATCGAGCTCGCTTTGAGGCTTTGCCTTTTTCATATTATTACATAAATCCGTGCTGCAATGTTTGCAAAGAAATGCTTTATCGTCAAAATTTATTTAGTAGCCTTTTACAATTCTTGAGTAATTTTCACGATTTGAAAATAAAATCTGGTCACAATAAAAATTCATGACGTCATAGCCCACGTGCCGACTGGCTACCGCCATATGCAGATAAATAATCTGTCAAATAATAAAAAGCAGTACAGAAATCTCTATGTTATGGTAGCCCATTAAAGTAAAATGCCTACATATTTTCAACGTCCGGAAAACGCCCTTAAAAGGGCTAATGGTAAAGTTCTTTATGAGTTTGAAAAGGAGCTTGAATAAGGGTGACATCTTGCATGATTTTCATGCTTCCTTCTATAAATTCACCATATTCTTTTAATGAAATAAGGTTGCCCATCTTTTTAAAGTCTTTCTATCACAGAATCTCGCCAACTGCGTGTGTGAGTGATACAGCAGTTCGAAACTCTAGGATCAGTCGGTCCAGAGGTCAGTCTGAAGTTGATATTGATTGGTCAAGATTTTGAAGATACAGAAAACAATAGCTCATAAGCTATATTTCGACTGGGACAAACATATTCAAATGTATTAACAAAAGATTTACAGTGTGAGACACAAAAATCGCACTCAAAACACCTTAAAATAAAAAAAGATCATCTTTTATTTGTAAGTCCCATTACATTTAGGTTAGTCCAACTAATTAGACTTGTCAAAGAGACACCGAGATAATTTTGGACGGGCGCTGTCTTTTTTCCAAGTCCAACCACGAACTGCATTTTTATGCACGGACGCTTCCCAATTAGAAGTTGTTGGGAGCGAAAACTAGAAAAGTTTCAAAGAAACGGTATACATTACCTGAACGAGAATCGTTTTTTATGCAAGGTTCCAAATTATCATACTTCAAAGTCGAACAGAAGTCTAAATATTCCACTTTAATTTTTTAATCGTTGAATCAGGGTTTTACATCTCTTTGAAATTTTAGGGGTCCAGTGGATGCACAGCCTAGAAAAGTAGGGGTCCAGGCCTGAATTTTAGGGGTCCAAAATTATATTCACTATAAAAGACTATGAAGACCACTCTATTTTGCTTAAAATCGTTTATTTACCCTGTAAGAAATATGCATGTATACTTGTACTGTTTTCATAAGAAGTATATGATTTCAATATCTTTTTATCACTAGGTTTTTTATAGCATTTTAGTAGCCCTTTACAATAATATCATGTGCTATTTCCAGGCTTATAAGTTTTGAGTGGCTGGAATGTCAAGTTTTAGTAGCATATTTTGTTATTGACAAGGTGATTACACCAACAGAGCTGGAAATTTTGTACTGATATTATTGTAAAATATTTTTAGCTTGAACAAGTAAACACACAATAGATATCTTTACAGACCAGTCAGCTAAATATGTTGCGTTTTTTAAAAATATCATAAAACAAAAAGGCTGACAAAACCGCTTTTGCACCTCCCCATAAGCTGGGACATACTTGATGTCCCAGTCATAAATTAAGTTCGCCGAAAACCATTATATTTATAACACCAACGATAATAACATACCCAGTGACTTAATTTCTAACACTTTTTCATATAACACTTTGCAAAAAGCACTGGATTTTTTATTTTCGCTGTTCATGTAACAAAATACAATCGCCGAACTGGCTTAGATCGACATTGGATACGCTAACCAATAGTAATTGCTTGTTATAAATAGTCCATCTAAATATAGCAATAGAAAAACCAAAAAAACAGCTACCAAAAATAGATTTTTACGGTAAAACGTCATCAGTTACTGTAGCTTGCACTATAAACGTCAATCAATTTCTGCAGCAGGGCACTTGCAAATAACATGCGCAGTAGATTTCAATTATGTTAACTTCCGAATAAACAATGCAAGCATTAGGTTTAAATGGAATTTTATGAGCTTCGAGAAGAAAGAGATAAAATCATGTCGGGTCAGAAACAATAATATCTATTGTCTAGAATTATTTTTGTGCGTACACTTGGACGCAAGTGGATAACTTATATGCGTACATGTCAAAATTTATGCGTATAGGGACGCAGGATTCTGCGTCCCGTAAAACCCTGTTGAATATTATTGAAAGCAGCCATATTGGAAAGCGGTGTCATGGTAAAATCCATGGTGTAACACAGGTATCGGCGGCAATCGATTGTATTTGCCAAGCTTTATTATACAATTTGTTTATGTTATTTATATGAATTATTGCAGGAATAACTCTTTTATTCACACACAAATATTTCAGCATTAAAAAGAGAATGTGAAAAGAAAATTCTGATAACCTTACTTACAAATTAAATAGTTTATGATGTCAGATTCATACTGCATTTAAGTCCGTTTAAATTGTCAAATTAGATATTATTAAGTTGGATTTTTTAACATCTGGATCATTAGGTGAAATTTCTGAACTACCTTTTTTATTTTATAACCCTGCCATGATTTCCCACATACGAAAATACAATGTAATTGTAGGTACATCTTAATGAATTATAATTATACTATACATGATGAATCAAAGAAGAATTTCAATTTATATTACACCCATATCAATATCTAGTTTATTATCTTTTAAACACAATTGAGGAACGGTTGTGAAGGGGAAGAAGTTCAAAACAACCAAAAATAACTTTAAAATTCCGAAAAAAAAAAATCTTAAAAATTTCAAACTATAAAATGGAATTTCAGACAGTCCTCAGTAAAATACAATTGTCGCACAGATTTGACGGGGTTTATGATAAAACGCAGCAAGAGGAAATTTAGTGACCGTTATTTAGACGTTGAATAGCATAACAATGTAAGACAGATGGGAGACATGTTAGAACGACTGTCGCAAAAGGACACCAAAACTCTGATACCCATTTTAAAAATTCCATGTTTGTCTAGTTCCCGTTGAACGGCACCTCGAATGTGTCACATTGAAAAGTTCCATGATTACCGCCGTATTATGTACATATTTGTGGATGTTGATTAAAAATTTCAACATTATTTATGTTTAAGTGATCAATTTCTGTTTAAACCGGCGAAAGGGAGCCACTTGCACCTACCAGAGCCGTCTTTGGCACTCCTGTGTATTTATGTTTCGATTTTGCAGTTTCAGGCGTTTTTGGTGGTTTTTTTTTCGAGGGTGGATACATGAATGTGGATAAGTTTTTTCTGTTACTTTACATTTCTTTGCTTGCTTGCCGAATCTTGTATTGATAATCATTATCTGTTTGTTACGGTTCGGTATAACATGTATACAATATGATAAACAAGATGAACAAGGAAAGGCGGCGTTCAATGAACGCAACTCCCACACGACCCAGGAACATGAACCATTGGCAAGGAGCCCAGGAGGATTCTAAATTAAAACGGGACAGGGCGCAAGGGAGAGCACGGTCAGGCTTATCACTAAAATGTAACTGAGAAGGGAAATCAAAGAAATAAATAAATGAATGATTAATAGGACCACTAAGTTAACGAGCACATGGGAAGGGGATAGGAAATTCGGGGAGGGGCGAAATAAAGAAATAAAAACTAGGGGCAAAGGGAAGATACTTACCAAAGACGAGAAAACAACAAGGGACACAAACAAAAGTGTCACCAAAACAGTATGAAACAGGACCACTAAGTTAACGGGCACAGGGAAGGGGATAGGAAATTTCGGGGGAGGGGGCGAAATAAAGAAATAAAAACTAGGGCAAAGGGAAGATACTTACATAGACGAGAAAACAACAAGGGACACAAAACAAAAGTGTCACCAAAACAGTATGAAACAACAAGACATACACCTTATACATTTATAAGTCTTAATCTGTTCATTTGAAAAAATCTGATCTTCTCAATGACTTTTTTTTAATATCCTCTACTTAAGATTTATTTCAATTAAAATATGTGACCCTTCCTTTATAGTTACAAAGCATATGGCTGGATCACAATAAAGTTCCTTTTTAGTAAATTAATTAAGTATGTCAAGAAGACATTTAACTTTAGGTTTAATATGGTATTATACATCGGCAATCGGTGAAAAAGAGCTCTTGAAATATTATTTGTACAAATACTGAATAATTTGAAGTGTATTTCAAATAGTTTCCTTCAATATTTCTTTTACGTTCTTAATTGTCATATAAATATGCATGTATAAATAAAGTCAGTATTTTATCCGAGAGTGACATTTGGCAGTCATTAGCAGTAAACAAGAAGGCAAACCACCAATTGATAAATGTTGAGTACATGTATTGAAATATTTAAAAAATATTAAACAACAGTACTTGTACGGAGCCTATTTGCGACCATTGCATTTTAGGTTAAATACAATGATACTTTTCAATAGTATTTAATAATGCACACATTTATTAGAAAATGATGAATAGATTTATTTCCCCCCGATATTTTGTTTAATTTAATCTTCATGCGTAACCCACACTTACCTGCTAGACACACTGGTAGCTACTACCAGCTTTCACGGAATCGATTTTTTACGATGACGTCATAACATGTCCGCCGAAGATAGAGTAGACAGTACAAATTTGAAATAAATCGCATGAATGCGTTAAGACAGGTACAATCTAATATTTTTTCTAGGAGAAGTTAGTCCTAAAATTTATATTCTATTGATCTTTAGAGGTAATTGAAGTTACTTTTAGGTTTAAGCAGTAAAAATCAATCCAAACTATCGATAGTGTTACCGGTAGATTTTCCGTGCGTAAAAATTACAGTTAAAATTAGGCGTAACGGTTTGACAGTAAGAAAAAAAGTCTGTAAAATGGGTCAAACCGATCACGCCGAATTAATTAGGCTACATTTAGGTTAAAGAAAAATTCAGAGCCACTCGTTCTGCAGGACGAGCAGCTTCAATTTTCTAATCGCCATGCATGATTTTCATAATAAATCTTGTTGATGCAATAGACTGCTAGAATACTCATAATTAGTTTGTTTACATTTAATGATCTGTGTTATGTGTAAATCGTAAATTTTATATCTAGAGCGTTGTCATCACACATATATCCAATTAACAATGCGTTTAGAGCTTTAAAGAGTGTGTGATTTTACTTTAAATTTAATTTAAAAAACAAAGTATGTGAAATAAACATTGCTGTTTTACAAAATCTTTCTACAAATCCAAATGAGGCTCTCGACTGTGCGGTATTCAAATGCCATGGGCTTTGTATGTAAGAATCGGCATATTCCTGAATAGTTCCATTTATTGCCATACTTGTTCAAATTTCGGCTCGCATTGGCTGTGATCTTGTTTTTATATAAAAATAAAACCATATTTGAATGCTGTAATAATCAATCTTCAGTATGCTTCTTGAAAGGTGGTCTGATTGTCAATTTAAAATTGTTGTACTTGTTTCAGAATTTATTGATGTGGGAAAGAAGCAGAGAGCTCTTGATGCCTTATATGATGTTATCAAGAGTAAGAAGCATCGAACATGGCAGAAAATCCACGAGCCAATCATGGAAAAGTATTTGGAGCTGTGTGTGGAACTTCGTAAAAGTCACATCGCCAAAGAAGGTCTATACCAGTACAAGAACATCTGTCAACAGGTATGTCATTGTTAATGAAACATGCTACATCAACCCTCTCGAACTCTTTGCATAAAAGTGTGTAATTCAGGCTTAAAATTCAAGTTTAAAATTATGTGTAAAAAAAACTAAATAATTGACAGCTATATGAAATTCATAATTAGATATGTGTAAAATTCATTTATAGTTATATTACATGAGATACCATTTAAATGATAGGACTTTTATACTGAGATAAAGAATTTGATGTTTGGTATATATAAGTAAATTGTGATTTAAAGTTATTTTCAGGAAACCTTTCATCACCTTCCAGAGGTGTACTAAAGATTAAGAGTATAATCTTTGGTGAAAAAATTGAAACAATATTTTTTGTAAAAGGGGAAGAAAAAACTTTAATGTAAATTGAATTTTATGGGGACTGTGATTTTATAGAATTTTCATGAGAAAAAGACGCCTGTTAACAGCCCCTGCTATGGAAGGGAAAAAGCTTGTTTAATATATATCTGTGTGTGCTTTTTATGCAGGTTAATATCAAGTCTCTGGAAGATGTGGTCAGGAAGTATATTGGTCTCGCTGAGCAGAAAACAGAGGAAGCTAGGCAAGAGTCTCATCAAGTTGTCATAGACGTAGATGATCTTGAAATGCCCGACACTCCAGAAAGGTAAATAAACCATTTTAAATGCCTTTGCCCGCTCATCCTTAGAGTTATAACTTGTACCTATTCTGTAAGATTTATGTGAAGTACAAAATATTAATCATTGTGCTTCTATATTCAGTGTTTTTATACCCCCGCACAACAAAGTTGTAAGGGGGGTATACTGGAATCAGGTTGGCCATCCGGCCGTCCGTCCGTCGGTTTTTTCTTGTCCGTCCAATAACTTAAGATTCCTTTGACCTTTAGTCTTCATATTTAGCATGGAGGTTAGTCATGATTAGTAGATGACCCCTATTGATTTTGAGGTCACCAGGTCAAAGGTCAAGGTCACAGGGGCCTTGACTATAAAAAGCTTGTCTGCCCAATAACTTTAGATGCCTTTGACCCACAGTCTTCATATTTGGAATGGAGGTTAGTCATGATTAGTAGATGACCCCTTTTGATTTTGAGGTCACTGGATCAAAGGTCAAGGTCACAGGGACCTAGACAAAAAAAAGCTTTTCTTCTCAATTGCTAAAGAATGCCTGTCGGCAGTGAATTGAATTTGACATTTTCACATTTGAATCGTGTAGAATACATAACTTAGCGATGCACTGGCTTAGTAACCTCAGATTTGGCAGGGAGGTTGTCCTTGAGCTCTAAATGGCCACTGTTGATTCTGAAAAAGTGGTATGCGGGGGTATTCTCGCCATGATAGTGGCAGTTCTAGTTTTTTCAGAGCTTGGGGGAAGCAGCCCTGCCCTTAATTTTGGGGGAAAAATTACACGGTATATTTGCAAAAAAAACAATTTTTGGGAAAACTCTTTATGATTTTCAAGAATTTTTCTTTAGGGACCAGCCCTATAAAGGCCCTTACTATAGAAGGGAAAAAAACCCTGATGTTGTACACAGTTTATATCTTGTCTTCATAATATTTGTCTCATCATTATGACATGACTTCCTGACTTTATGAATTGACCTATCATTGATTAATTATACTGACAGTTTGTTGTTGAAAGCTGTAAGTGGTGAAGATACCCAGGATCGTACTGATAGAGCTATACTTACACCATGGGTTAAGTTTCTCTGGGAATCTTATCGTCAGTGTCTCGACTTGCTAAGAAACAACTCTAAAGTTGAAAAACTTTACCAGGATATTGCTCAACAAGGTAACTATTAAAAGTTTAAAACTGTTTAACAGTGTAAGAAATTAGGATTTGAATCGACTAGTCTGGTCGGACTACCCGACTGGAATATTCACTAGCCCAAAAGACATTTCACTAGCATGATTCATTTGTTCAAAACAGTCGTTTATATTGCCTCTGAAAATGCAGTAGCCTGGTCGGGCTTGTTACTGTGAAAAGTTGGTAGCCCGAGGAGAAATTTAGTAGTCTGGGACTATAGGACTTCTGCTAATTTCGAACACTGGTTTAATTAGCTGAATGTGTTCTAAGTAATTTTAGTGCTTTTTATGCCACACCTCCTATCACTATTCTGTCCGTCAATATAAATGTCTCACACATGGATACTTAGGTTGTCGGGCTCTAACCCATAATTCCTAGTTTTGGAGGCAGATATCTTAACTATTTATTAGGCCATTGCTTCCACAGTGATTCGATTGAATCATTTTAAGCTTTAAAATGTATCTATTAATGATAATACACACTATCTTAAATGCATCAATGAATATTCATGAAAATACGACTTTTTTTATTCGTCACAAATCTTACCATTATTATATTTCTAAACTTTTCAATTCTGTTTGAAATTTTTGCAAGGGAAACTGAAAATTTCAGGGGAAAATTTTTGAAAAATGTAAGTATTTCAGCTTTAAAAAATAATATATAAGGTTTTTTTATAACCTTTTTAAAAATTCATTTAATCTTTTTTTGGAAAAAAGGGTAAAAAAAAAGAAAAAAAAAAACAAAAAAAAATTTTTTTTGTTTTTTTTAAAAGTGGCTCTCCCTTTTTAAACAGTTTAAATTTAAAATTTAAAAACAGTAAAGGAGAAAAAAAATGTAAAATTGGAAAACTTGATAAATTGTAGTTTTAAAAAATGGAAAATTTTACCCAAACTTCCCCTTAATTTTTCCCCATTTGTTTAAAAATTTTGGGTTTTAAAAATTTGATAATTTACAAATTTGGGAAAACAAAATTTTGGGGCATGTGACAAAGCTCAGCATAAAAGACCCGCGCAACCTAACACCCTGAGCTCAGGGCCCTTTCCCCCTTTAACAGGCCGTCAGCTTTATAGTCTATTAAAAAAAAGGAGCGTGGGGAAAGGGATGTAAACTCCGGCCTTTTAAATCTGTTTTGTTACTTTAAACCCTTTGGGGGCAGAGGGGGGGTTTCCTTTATTTGGGCGACATAAGAAACCAGCCACTAAATTTTTCCCCCCGCGTTTATCGAAAGGAACTTAATGGGTTTTGAATAACTGGATTTTATGCATCTTTTTTTGAAACCCGCCCGGTGGGGAGTTTTACCAATTTGGTTTTTGCTTTAAGTTTGTTACAAAAAAAAAATTAGCCAAAATCATCATTTCCTTTTTTGGGGCCCTTTTAAACCCATTTCTGTGTTGGCAGGCCATAAGTCTAACCAAACAAACATTTCAAATCTGTAGTATTTTTAGCTCACCTGTCACAAAGTGACAGGGTGAACTTTTGTGATCGCTTTTCGTCCGGCGTCCGTCCGTAAACTTTTGCTTTAAATGACATCTCCTCATAAACCACTGAGCCAATTTCATCCAAACTTCACAGGAATGTTCCTTTGGTGGTCACCTTTAAAAATTGTTCAAAGAATTTAATTCCATGCAGAACTCTGGTTGCCATGGCAACCAAAAAAAAAATTTTTAAATATCTTCTTTTAAACAACCCTAAGAGCTAGAGCTTAGATATTTGGCATGAAACATCTTCTAGTGAGTGTCTACCAAGTTTGATCAAATAAAAGCCCTGGGGTCAAAAATGGCCCCGCCCCAGGGGTCATTGATTTTCCCTATATGCATATAGTAAAAAACTTAAAAAATCTTCTTTTAAAGAACCAAGAGCTAGAGCTAAGATATTTGGCATGAAACATCTTCTAGTGAGTGTCTACCAAGTTTTGTTCAAATAAAAGCCCTGGGGTCAAAATTGGCCCCGCCCGGGGGTCATTGATTTTCCCTATATGCATATAGTAAAAAACTTAAAAATCTTCTTTTAAAAGAACCGTAAGAGCTAGAGCTTAGATATTAAGCATGAAACATCTTCTAGTGAAATGTCTACCAAGTTTGTTCAAAAAAAGCCCTGGGTCAAAATTGGCCCCGCCCCAGGGGGTCATTGATTTTCCCTATATGCATATAGTAAAAACTTAAAAAATCTTCTTTTAAAGAAACCAAAGAGCTAGAGCTAAGATATTAAAGCATGAAACATCTTCTAGTGAGTGTCTACCAAGTTTTGTTCAAATTAAAAAGCCCTGTGGTTATCAAAATTGGCCCCCACCCCGGGGGGGTCATTGATTTTTCCCTATATGCATATACTAAAATCTTAAAAATCTTTTTTTAAAGAACCATAAGAGCTAGAGCTTAGATATTTGGCATGAAACATCTTCTAGTGAATGTCTACCAAGTTTTGGTTCAAATAAAAGCCCTGGGGGTAAAAATTGGCCCACCCCGGGGGGTCATTGATTTTCCCTATATGCATATTACTAAAATCTTAAAAAATCTTCTTTTAAAAAAGAACCATTAAGAGCTTAGATATTTTGGCATGAAACATGTTTTCTAATGGGTGTCTACCAAGTATGTTCAAATAAAAGCCTGGGGTCAAAACTGGCCCCCCGCGGGGGGGGGGGGTCATTGATTTCCTTATATGTGTATAGCAAAAACTTAAAAAATTTCTTTGAAAAAACCCAAATAGCTAGAGTTTAGATATTAAGCATGAAACATCTTTAAGTAAATATCTACAAAAGTTTGTTCAAATAAAGCCCGGGGGTCAAAACTGGCCCTGCCCAGGGGTGTCATTGTTTTTTAACTATGTGTATGGTAAAAAACTTTTTAAAAATCTTCTTTTAAAAAAACCCAATGAGCTAGAACTTAGATGTTTAGCATGAAACATCTTCTTATGGGTTTCAAATAAACAAATAAAAGCCCCTGGGTAAAAATTGGCCCGGGGGTGGGGGGGGGGCTATATACAGGTGAGCGACTTCAGGGCCATCATGGCCCTCTTGTTTTCTAAATCGGCTTTATTTAAGCTCGGGGATATGTGATTTGTTGAATTGTTCAATATAAAAGACAATACACAAGAATTTAATAACTTTGCAGCATGATGTCATTATACAAACATACATAAAAGTGCATTATTATGCCCCCACTTCGAAGAAGAGGGGGTATATTGCTTTGCACTTGTCGGTCCGTCGGTCCGTAGACCAAATGGTTTCCGAGTGATAACTAAAGAACCCTTAGGCATAGGAACTTCAAACTTTGTATGATGATTGGTCATGACCAGCAGATGACCCCTATTGAATTTTGGGTCAAGGGGTCAAAGGTCAAGGTCACATTGACCTCTTAGGTAAAAACGGTTTCTGATCAATAACTAAAGAACGCTTAGGCCTAGGAACTTCAAAATTGCTATGGTGATTGGTCATGACCAGAAGATGACCCTATTGATTTTGGGTCAAGGGGTCAAGGATCAAGGTCACATTGACCTTGTAGGTAAAAACAGTTTCTAATCAATAACTAAAGAACGCTTAGGCCTAGAAACTTCAAACTTGGTATGATGATTGGTAATGGCCAGCAGATGACCCCTATTGATTTTGGAGTCAAGGGGTGCAAGGTCAAGGTCACATTGACCTTGTAGGTAAAAACGGTTTCCGATCAATAACTAAAGAACGCTTAGGCCTAGGAACTTCAAACTTGGTATGATGATTGGTCATGACCAGTAGATGACCACTATTGATTTTGGGGTCAAGGGGTCAATGTCATATTTACCTTGTACTTAATGACAGTTTCTGACTAATAACTCAACAACTCAAGTTGCCTTGATATTTTTATATTTAACTAAAAATGCTGTTGGTATACACATTTGAAGGTCTTATGTAATAAAACAACTTGGCTGTCATTAATGAGGCCTACATGATTCATAAAATTTATGCAGATATTATTTTATTATTATTATTTTACTGGGTCAGAAGTCATGCATAATAACCTGATCACATGACTAATTGGCTGCTGATAGGGGGCATACATGTTTTACAAACATATCTTGTTTTGATTGTGATACAAAGGCAAGTCAGTGTCAAGATACATACTCCTTTTTTTACCATACATCAACTTTACTAATACTTCATGGTTACATATTCAATATAACATGGTTTTATTTTTGGGCAATCATTTTGAGACATAGTACATGTATTTTCATATTTTTTTCTTTTTTAACAGGAAGCATTCAAAGCAGTTGAAGATATTCATGGATTGATCTGCCTGTCTAAGAAGAACCCAAGGCCTTCATTAATGGCCAACTACTATACAAAGCTCGGTCTTGTGTTCTGGAAGTCTGGTAACCCACTATTCCACGCATCCACTCTTACCAGACTGTATCATCTATCCAGAGATCAGAGGAAGAACCTCTCACCAGAGGAACTGCAGAAGTAAGGCTTAACATAATACTTAATAATTATGTCTCCCCCACCTCGGGGGGAGACATATTGTTTTTGCCCTGTCCGTCCGTCCGTCCGTCAGTCCGTCCGTCAGTCCGTCCGTCCATTCTTCGTTTCCGGACGATAACTAGAGTTCCTTTTGACCTACAGCCCTCAAACTTCATAGGATGATTAGTCTTATAGAGCTGATGATCCCTAATGTTTTTGGGGTCAGTAGGTCAAAGGTCAAGGTCACACTGACCGTTGGTCAATTTCTCGTTTCCGGATGATAACTAGAGTTCCTTTAGACCTACAGACCTCAAACTTCATAGGATGATTGGTCTTATTGAGCAGATGATCCCTATTGTTTTTGGGGTCAGTAGTTCAAAGGTCAAGGTCACAGTGACCGTTGGTCAATTTCTCGTTTCCGGATGATAACTAGAGTTCCTTTTGACCTACAGCCCTCAAACTTCATAGGATGATTGGTCTTATAGAGCAGATGATCCCTATTGTTTTTGGGGTCAGTAGGTCAAAGGTCAAGGTCACAGTGACCGTTGGTCAATTTCTCGTTTCCGATGATAACTAGAGTTCCTTTTGACCTACAGCCCTCAAACTTCATAGGATGATTGGTCTTATAGAGCAGATGATCCCTATTGTTTTTGGGGTCAGTAGGTCAAAGGTCAAGGTCACAGTGCAGTGGGGGAGACATGCGCTTTTTTACAAAAGCATCCTCTAGTTTACTAAATGTGTTTTTCTCATTAATTAAGTTGATGGCTAATCTCTCCCCAGAATAACTACAGAAGTATAGCTTTAATCACCTAACATATGATTTATAGTCAATAATTTACTTGATGTGTTGTTCTCAATAATTAAAGAGTTGGCTGTTACATGCAGAAATGCCTGTTAGTTTCAGCAGATTAAATACTTGGGTATTTAATTGCCTGCTGGTATATGACTGAAATGCTGCTATAACAGGGACAAAATCTGACTGAATAAAAACCACAGAAATAAAGAGGATTATGGTGAGTTGACTTAAGGTTATAGTAGGTTGGCCTAGGGTTATAGTAGGTGGTCTTGAGGTTAAGGTTGGCTGACCAAGGTTATTGTAGACTGACCCATCTAGTTACTTTTATCCTCTGACAATTAAGCTGGAAAGTTGCCATATGACCTATTCAATGTTGATGAGACATACAACCACAAAAAAGGCTTGTTACTTAGCTTTTTTAGCACTGACCAATGTTGATTATATATCTGATAATATCTTGTAGTTTTAATCATCAGTATAAGATAAAACTCATCTTGCTTGCAGGATGGCATCTAGAGTATTGTGTGCCACTTTGGCAATCCCGATTCCAGCAGCTAGGAATGCTATCGATACTTTACTTGAGATGGGAGAGGAGACAGCGGAGAAACAAAGACGTCTGGCTTCACTCCTAATGTTACAAAGTCCACCAAAGAGACAGGGACTTGTTTCTGATCTGGTTTGTACATTGTGTAGTTATAAAATTATTGATGTCATCATCTGTAGTAAAAATGAGGGGATTACATAGATGTACATTGTCTTACTATGTCTTGAGAAAATACACAATTTATGAAAAAAGAATGAAGATATTAACTTGTCTCTGTATTTATAGGCCATATTATACCAGGTCCCTCAGTTTTCAATTTTTCATTGGTAGAATGTTATGTTGCTAAGGTTAACCTATTAAAATTGAATGATATTTAGAAACAAACTAAACAAACGAAGTGTTTGTTACTTTTTAATGTTGGAAATTTCGGGTCATTGGAAATTTTGAATATGCAAGCTTTGATTAAATTGTTGAAATTTGTATACTTCGAATTCAATGTAAACCAGTAAGCTCTGATAGAAAATATTGTGTAAAATATGCTGTTGATGTTTTCTTTTCCACAGGCAAAACACAGTGTACCACAGTATGTTTATCCAGAGTTGAAGAATTTGTTTAACATTTTGGAGGTAGATTTCCACCCTCTGAAGCTGTATGAGAATGTAAAACCATGTATGGACTTTATTGCTCAGAATGATGACCTAGCCCAGTATGTCCCAGCACTGGAGGATATCATTGTTACACGCATTCTTAAACAGGTATTTATTTTGAAGAAAAAGTCGAGCTATCATGATCGGTGTGGCGTCATTGTCATTGTGCAAAGCCCATTATTCAAACATCTTTAAAGTTATAAACATGAAACTTGGAATACTTGCTCATCGTGGCAAGGTGCAGTTGTTAGACAAGGGCATAATGGTGAATTTATGCTAATATATTATAAATAATGGTCATTGGGCAGTTAGCTTAGTCTGTTAGTTTAAGATACAAAGTTCTGTTAGTATTTCACAGCCTGTTTGTGATGAAAAAATGTATTGATGGGCTTCTGGTAAATCTGCAAAGTTCCCATTTATAAACATCAGCTTATACTTAACATTGTTATGCAATATATTGTGATGTAATTTTATTAAAGGGGCGTCCGTGGCTGAGTGGTTAAGGTCGTTGACTTCAAACCACTTGCCCCTCACTGCTGTGGGTTCGAATCCCGACAGGGACTTTGGATTCTTTCATGTGGGGAAGCTATCCAGCTAGCTTACGGAACGTCAGTGGTTCTACTCAGGTGCCCATTTGTGTCTGAAATAATGCACCGAAGGGCACCTGGGGTCTTCCTCCACCAGTAAAGCTGGAGCGTCGCGATATGACCTATACTGTGTCGATGTGATGTAAAACCCAAAACAAAAAAAATGTTGTATTTTATGATTTAACCAGGTATCACAGGTGTACCAGACCATAGAGATGTCAAGATTTGCTGCCCTCGTACCATTTGCTACAACGTTTAGACTAGAAAGACTTATTGTGAATGCCTCTAGACAGCTAGAGCTACAGGTTAGTTTCTTTATTTTGTACTATATAATAGATCAGTGCCATACTGTAGTAACACAATTAATTGATGGAACATGTAATTTGTTACAATAGTGTTTCATTGAGCTTGATTCAAGATCACTTGTGGAGAAAATCTGGAAATAGTTTCTATGATTTTAATTTTACTTTCTGGAAACACAGATTATAATGAGAAAACAACCTCATTCCCATACTTTGCTTTATTTGTATAATGAGTTGTGCCAAGTTTAAAGTAAGAAAACTTTCTGTTGTGAGTTTGAGGGTTGTCAAAGTATCAAAACTGATCTACTGACAGTAGCTGTCCTGGTGAATGCATGTTTTTTACAGTCATTTTAGCTGCGGTCACTCTCAGGATTAAATAAATTATGTAATTTGACATTTGTTGACAAATGTTTTCAAGTTGTAATTTTAAAATATAATGATGATGATGGGTACAAAGGTCTTGAATTTAATCAGATGTTTACCAGTTAGTATTTGAGACAAGTTCAGAAAAGATGAAAGTGTGATATTTTGTTTATCATTTGAAATATAATTGATTTGAACATTTAAGAATTTGCAAGTAAACATTGAAGAACTTTTCATTGATTAAAGGTACGAATTGACCATAGAGAACATTCTTTGAGTTTCGGTACAGACCTTGGTGTGAGCCAAAAAGAGGAGGTACCGGAAGGTCCGTACATACAGCGCATGCCTAGTGAAGTGATAAGGATGCAGTTGACTCATCTGGCAACAGCCTTGCAACAAGCTGTGAGAACACTACAGCCCAGAGAATCTAATGTAAGATTTCCTTCTTAATTGTGATTGATTAATACATATACTGAGACCTTCTTTCAAAAATCATTTGTGAACAACCAAAGCTAAATCAATATTTTTTTCAAAATTTTGTTCATAATTGTTTGGAAAAATAACTTCATTTTTGTGACTGTATATATTTGTTTGAAATGAGTGTATAATTTTAACTATATTTATAGCTTTAATCTCTTGCCTTCCTTGTCATGTATTCTTTGTTTTGTCAAAACAAATAACATTTGTCATTATATAAATAAATATTTTCTGTTTTATAGAACCTTATGGTTCAGTTACAAGCCCAGAAAGAGGATATGAAGGCACAGATCATGAATAATTATAAACTGACGGCAAAGAAGGAGCACACTCGTATATTGCAGAGAAGATTGACCATCGAGCAGAGAAAAGAACAGCTAGAGCACCTCAATGACCAGAGAGTACGTATAGTCCACGAAAAGTGGTTCTTATTAGCATTATGGAATGGTGTTGGGGTCTGTTTCAGAAGGGAAAATATTAATTGTGTCACAATTACTATGTAAATTCCAAATTTTCTTACCTATATAGCTTCAGTTTGTATGACTCTGTTAACAACTTAAGCTTTTTTGACAGTTGCAAATGTATTAATGTTTAAAGTGTTATATCAACCGATGACAAATTGTTATAATCATGTTTATATACAAGGTTTATATACAGTTTGTTGGCTTATATTATATAGGAACGAGAAGAGTATGAACAGCAAGAAGAAACCAAGAGAAAAGCTATCGAGGCGGAGATGGCAAGACTGGACCGTGAAGCTAAGGAGAGAGAACGTCAGCGTATCCTCGCTGAACAACGTGACATACAGAAAAAACATGCCCTAGAGAGGATTGAACAGCTGAAGAAGTCAGAACTTGGAGCCAGGGTCGTGCAGAATATCGATGAAGAGGTTAGTGACCTACATGTAGATAAAGTAGAGCCATTTACAAGTTTTGCATTCACTGTAGCCTTGTGTAATTTTTTGTGCAAAAAAAAAAAAAAACACTTGAGAATTAATGTCTCCCATTTATGACAAGAGTAAGTTTAACCACAGGAAAAAGAAATTACAGAATTTTATTAGTGTGTTGGTCTTTAAGTGTCAATGTTAAACTGGCAAAATATAATATAGAAAATTTAAACCCTTCACAGTTGCGTTGTTTTCCTGTTATATCATACCTGGGAGATTTTTTAACAGGAAGTGACTTGGTCATGTAATGCACATAGATTTAATACGAAAATGGAATAAAATGTTTCATAACAAAATATTCAGTTGTCATTTAAGTAGGGTAAGGTTATATTTATAAAATTTGCAACCCTCTTTGTCTTTTAGAATGGGTAAAACTATGAAAACATCAGTCTGTAAATGCAAGAAAAGTATGGTGTTCACTGTTCTCTTTTCAGTTAATTTTGAACATTTCCCCTTAAATGATGAATGGTTTCATCAAGATTAAAAGATGAATAAGTATATTTAAGACTATTATGGTGGTAAGGGTTAATGGTGTGAAAACATTACGCATACTGGGGTTGTAGTACACCAACATCAAGTGTATTTTGTGTTACAGGACTTAGCTAAGATGGATGTTGATGATATTATGGCTAAACAAGTTGAACAGCTGGAGAAAGAAAAGAAAGATCTCAATGAAAGACTTCGTAACCAGGAGAAAAAGGTTTAATTTAATTTACTTTTATAAAAACGCTTACAAAATAAATAGAAAGGGGCGTCTGTGGGGGAGTTGTTATGGTCGTTGACTTCAAACCACTTGACCCTCATAGTTGTTGGTTCAAAGCCCAACAGGGACTTTGAATCTTCCATGTGCTAGCTTACTGAACATCGGTGGTTCTACTCAGTTCATACCTGAAATGATACATGAAAGGGCATATGAGGTCTTCCTCTACCGGTAAAGATTGGAAGTTGCCATATCACCTGTAATGTGTTAATGTGAAATAAAACCCCATAAAAAAAATTAAATTGGTTCCAAATGAGTGTTCATTGTTTGCGTTTCAAATTTTCTAGATTTAAACTAAAAGCCTCAACCAATATGATACAGTTTAGGATTAGAAAATTGAAGAATAGATGATGTTGAAAAATAATGGAAAAGTATGTGTAGTAAGCCAAATTATCATCATAATGCAGCATTACATCATAAAGGCTGTTTTTGAAAATGAAAGTAAAAAGTTCTGCACAAGAATTAAAAAACAGTATCAAGTTAAGGTGTATGTTAGTTTAGTGTGGTAAAATTTTGCTTTGATTTCTAACCAGAAAAATTTTGTTTAATTTTAGATTGACCATATGGCTCGTGCTAAAAGATCAAAGGAAATACCATACCTTGAGAAGCAGTACGAAGAGGAAAGTGTACGAAGCAGGGAATTCTGGGAGCAGCAAGAGATTACAAGGGTAAAGTTTCACGTTATTTTTTCAGTCTAGAGAAATTTTGATTCTTTTTGTCAGCATTACTCTTCTTTTTATTAACCAGGTTTTCAACGAAAACCGGGTTATTGTAATGCCGAAGTCGGCGGGCAGGCGTCAACTTTTGGTTTCCGCTCAATAACTTGAGTTTGCTTTGGCCTATTGACACCAAACTTGGTGTATGGATAGCTTATATCAAGAGGCAGCTTGGGATTGCTACCCAGGTGTCTGTGATCAAGGTCAAGGTCACTGTTACTAAAAATAGAAATTCAGTTTCCGCTCAATAACTTGAGTTTGCTTTGACCTATTGACACCAAACTTGGTGTATGGATAGCTTATATCAAGAGGCAGCTTGGGATTGCTACCCAGATGTCTGTGATCAAGGTCAAGGTCACTGTTACTAAAAATAGAAATTCAGTTTCTGCTCAATAACTTGAGTTTGCTTTGACCTATTGACACCAAACTTGGTGTATGGATAGCTTATATCAAGAGGCAGCTTGGGATTGCTACCCAGATGTCTGTGATCAAGGTCAAGGTCACTGTTACTAAAAATAGAAATTCAGTTTCTGCTCAATAACTTGAGTTTGCTTTGGCCTATTGACACCAAACTTGGTGTATGGATAGCTTATATCAAGAGGCAGCTTGGGATTGCTACCCAGATGTCTGTGATCAAGGTCAAGGTCACTGTTACTAAAAATAGAAATTCAGTTTCTGCTCAATAACTTGAGTTTGCTTTGGCCTATTGACACCAAACTTGATGAATGGGCAGCTTATATCAAGGGGTAGCTTGGGATTGCTACCCAGGTGTCTGTGATCAAGGTTAATGTATTTAGTTTTCATGTTATAACTTGAGTTTGCTTTGACCTTTTGACACCAAACTTGCGGAGTGGCAGCTTTGGATTGCCACTTAGATATCTGGGAGCAAGTTCAAGGTCATTTGCTTACAATAGAATTTTCAGCTTCTACTTAATTACTTCAGTGCACTATGACCTATTGATTGCTGTCACATCAAAACTTAGTCATTGAAAACCTGGTTTTCGTCGCATTGCGGCGCTTCTTGTTAAATTTATTTCTTTGGTAGACTTTCACATGTATGGGTTAAGTTGGAACTTGGATTGGGATAGGGTTTCAAGAAGTTACATTCATCTGTCATATCACAGTTAGATTACTGCCACAGATAATTGAATTCTCTGTGAGTCATGAAGCTTGCATATGGAAGTTCAGTGTTTCTATGCAAATTAATTCTGTGCCTAAAAATAGTACACAGAGGTCCATCTCGTAGTCTGCCTTCCTCAGAAAGGCATTAACATAGTGATGAATATTTGATTTGTTCTCCTGAAACCATACCTAAAATTATTTAAGATTATTGTAATTATGGCTGCCTGAAGTTTAATAGCTGTCTAAAGACAAATATGTTACTATAAATAGATAGAAAAATTACAAGAAGAGCACGAGCTAGAGATTGCCACACGAGACCGGATGAGAAGAATGAAGAAAGACACAACAGATTTCCTCATACAGCTCAAAGATAGAAGGAAGAAACAGTACAGGGTATAAATACATTTACATCTTTGAACATTAATATTTCTGTTGAAATTTTAGCATTTAGAATTAAGTTGCTTCTTCTTATTTGAATAATGCATATAATTATATTGTCATTACAAAGACAGAGTTACTGATTTTATTCTTCATAATGACAAAGTTTCATTAAACAAAGGTATAATGGTTAAAAGGTCATAGGACTCCAAAGTAAAATCCTAGGATTACCTCCCGTTTATTCAGGAAACCATCTAGTATGTGCGAGGGGTGTCTTTAACCAAGTGGTTAAGGTCTTGTACTTCAAACCACTTGTTCCTCATTGATATGGGTTCAGATTTTGCCAGGGACTTGAATTATTTTCAAGTGAGGAATCTTTGTAACATCTGTGGTACTACTTAAGTGACCCCTCGTGCCAGAGAGCACCCTGGGGTATTTCTCCACCAATAAAGCAGCATAGTCACCATATGACATTTTCATTGTTTGCGTATCTAAATCTAACAAAAAAAAAACAAAAACAAAAAAAGTAGGTTAAAGCTCATTACTGACATAGTGCTTTGTAGAGGCAATGAGAAAGTCAGAATCTACAAATGTGTGAAACATTCAACTGACGAAAAATACCTCTAGAAATAAAATAAAAGCATCTCATACACTGTTTTTGTGTCGCCTTGAAAAAGGCGAGATATAGGGCCATTCTTAAAAAAATGTTTGTTTGCAGTAACCCGACCCAGAATTTTCAAGGTGGGTAGGTAGGTCGATTTTTTTTTTTTTTTTTTTTATTGAACTGTACTTCAAAATAAACATGGAATTTCAAAATGCTGGACAATATATGCTTTGTTTATCTGGTAACAATTAATAAATTGATAACTGAATTCTAATTTAATAAGACCTACATTTTATTTCTTCTATTAACCTTTAAAAGAACAAAACAAAGCACAAGGCATAATTTTCTGATTAAAAAAAAAAAAATTTTATCCTGACCATGAAAAAAAAATTTGAGTAGGGGCATATTTTGTGAGTCGGTCGCGTTACTGCAAACAAACATTTTTTTAAGGATGGCCTAGGGGTTACTTTTGTCGGCGGTGTCGTTGTCGGCGTCCCCTAAAGCTTGTCCGGAGCATAAGTCAGTCATTATAAGTCTGATTGACCTCAAACTTGGTATGCATGCTTCTTATAATGACCCGAAGTGCAGTGCACAAGAACCGGTACTCTGCACTTATTTTTTGAGTTATTGCCCTTTGTTTATTTTCATACTTTATTTTTGTCCAGGCCATTTCTCCTAAAGTATAAAAGCTATGGACTTGAAACTTCATAGGATGATAGATCTCATTAAGAAGAAGTGCAGTGCACAAGAATGGGTACTCTGCATTTCTTATTTTTTGAGTTATTGCCCTTTGTTAATTTTCATACTTTATTTTTGTCCAGGCCATTTCTCCTAAAGTATAAAAGCTATGGACCTGAAACTTCATAGGATGATAGATCTCATTAAGAAGAAGTGCAGTGCCCAAGAACTGGTACTCTGCATTTCTTATTTTTTGAGTTATTGCCCTTTGTTAATTTTCATACTTTATTTTTGTCCATGCCATTTCTCATAAATTATAAAAGCTTTAGACTTGAAACTTAATTGGATGATAGATCTTATTGATAAGAAGTGCAGTGCACAGAAACTGCTGATCTGCATTTCTTATTTTTATGCCCCCGCCATGTAATGGCCGGGGCATATAGTGTTACCCTGTTCCGTCATTCCTTCCTTCTGTCATTCCGTCATCATCAGTTTCCGTTCATTATCTTAAGAACGGTTGCACACATTCAACTCAAATTTGACATATGGATATGTCATGAGAAAATACAGGTCAAGTTCGAATTTGGTCATGGTTCGATGATTTTTGGCAGAGTTATGCCCCTTTTACTTTGAAAATAATATGAAATTTCTGTTTCCGTTCATTATCTCCCCAACGGTACAACACATTCAACTCAAACTTGACATATGGATATGTCATGAGAAAATACAGGTCAAGTTCGAATTTGGTCATGGTTCGATGATTTTTGGCAGAGCTATGCCCCTTTTACTTTGAAAATAATATGAAATTTTCAGTTTCTGTTCATTATCTCCCCAAAGGTACAACACATTCAACTCAAACTTGACATATGGATGTGTCAAAGGAATGTGCAGGTCAAGTTCAAATTTGGTCATGGTTCAATGATTTTTGGCAGAGTTATGCCCCTTTCACTTTGAAAATAATATGAAATTTACAGTTTCTGTTCATTATCTACCCAACAGTGTTACATATTCAACTTAAATTTGACATATGGATATGTCAAAGGAATGGGCAGGTCAAGTTGGAATTTGGTCATGGTTTGATGATTTTTTGGCAGAGTTATGTCCCTTTCACTTTGAAAATAATATAGATACATCTTAGGAATAAGCAGTTTAAGTTTGAATTTGGATTTCAATGATTTAAGACAAACTTATCTTTCCTGAATGTTGGAAAAATTTTGAACTTTCACTTTCAGCACTCTTACTTTTAGCCATTATTTTGGCTACAAATATGCAATATGCTATTTTTAAAAGGTTTAGACTGAATAATTTCAGTGCCTTGAACATTGTATGAAAATGGTTTGTGTTAACATTGAAAAGTTTTAAGGGCTTTGAACTTAAAATGAAAAAAAATAATTAATGCACCATCTGAAATTTTGGCTGCATGCGGGGGCATCCGTGGCATGATGACACATTTCTAGTTTGAGTTATTGCCCTTTGTTGATTTTCAAATTTCATTTTTGTCCTAGCCATTTCTCTTAAACTATTGTTTACAAGGCGACACATCGGACTCACGGAGTTCTAGTACAAAATTCATGTAACCTGTTTCTCTACAGGAAAAACTTGCTGCATTTGAGAAGAAACTTATTGAAGAAAGGAAAGCTAGGTTGGCTGCCAGAGTGGAAGAACGAAAAATAGAGAGAAGAAATAAGTGGACACAGGAGAAAGAAGAAGCTGAACAGAAGGCCAGAGATGAAGCTCTGAAGAAAGGTATATATCCTTATGAAATGTTAATGATTACTATTTGATTATATTTTAATGGTTAGATGCATAGCTTTTTTGCAGAAGTAGATACTATTATAGTATACATTTTTATTTGGAAGGATGATAGTGCTAGTGAAGTGCAACTTGTACAGGCTACATGTGTACAATGTTTTATTAGGAAATTCAGGAGAGAAAATTACTGTTTTTCTGCTAATTTCAAATTGTACCGTTTACATATAATACATTTTAGTCAAAGTCTGGTTGTATTCAGGGCAAAAATTGATGTACAGCATAAGATGAAGGCCTGTCTGGTAAAGTAGGTCTGCAGGTTTCACCTTTATGGTTTCATTGCGCAAGTTTCATGGTTATTGTTGTCAAGTTTTGAAATGATTAAAATTTCCTACCATAAATCTGTCACAGCTGATGTATTAATATTTTGGAGGTTTCAGGTCTTTGAATTCTTGAATATTTTTAATGTAAAATACCTGGTGACGGGTCTCTGAGATATGACCTGGTCTTTGTGAAATAGTTAAAAAAACATGCCTGTTGTTTGGTCAGCAGGGGTGTGTAAATCCTAAGCCCGACTTGTCCCTGGGCAAGTAGCAAAAATTCATATTTCCACACCCGTGGTAAAGTAAACCTGTGACTTTTAGTCTTAAATGAACAAAATTAGTAGCATATGTTTCTGTGTATAAAAATCTTTATCTTTGTTTTGTTTGTAAAAATCTTGGCAAATATCTTGATCAGTCACTCTCTGATAGCAAGTACATTAAATTAAACACTCAAATCCCTTGTGTAATGATGTAAAATGTTAACAGAGCGTGAAGACAAGGAGAGGCTAGAACAGGAGACGAGAGAACGCGAGGAGCAAGAATATCAGGAAAAAATGGCAAGACTGGAGGAAATTGCTGCTAAACAGAAGCAAAGGGAAGCAGAAATAGAGGAGCGGGAAAGAAAAAGGAAGGAAGAAGCAAGAGCTGAAATGGATAAAAGGTAAGGATTTGATCAGTGTTCGTTATCCACAAGGTTTAACTAACCATTTGTATTTTTAGGAGGAAAATGATGTTCAAGTATGTAAAAAAGGTCACTTGGAGTACTTAATGTGGAGCTAGAAACGCCTTATGTGTAGTGTTTGATAGTTTAATACAAGTTTTGTTGTGTCTTACAATGTAAAGTCTGGTCAAACTTCTCAGACTGGACTGGGTTTTATAGGTTTGCAATGGCTGCTGTCAGAGTAGGGTTTTCTTTGTAGTTTTCGAGCTAGAAAACTGAGAGATTTATATATTTTCCCCACATGTACTATTAATCTTCCTTAAATAATACAGTTACTGTATTTAAGGTCTTAAAAGTATCTTGTCTTTAAAAAAGTAGCATCTTCTATGATAATTTTCTTTATGATCTTGAATTAGTCAATACTCTGCTAACAAAATGATAAACTTTATGTAAGAAAGCTAAATCCACTGGGGTTTCATTAAAACCTGTAAGCCATGCGAAATTCCTGAGAATATTTTATAACCACTCCGCTACTAACAGTTACTGCTTTTACATTCCTTTCTAGCTTATTCTTGCATATACCTGACTACTTAATAAATGAACAAGCTTTAAACGCCTACATACTGCCTCCGTGGTCGAGGGGTTAGAGTCGATGACTTCTAATTCAATTACATCTCTGGCGTGGGTTCGATCCCCGGGAGATGCTTTGGTAGTTTAGCGCGGAGGAAGGTAGTCTAGTACTGGTGTAACTCCAGGAACGATGGTTAGGAAACGACCCGCCTATATAACTGAAATACTGTTGGAAAAAGGCGTAAAATGAAACAAACACCTACATCCACCTAGCTTATCTAAAGTTCATTTAACATATGCTTACATGTTACACTGCGAAACAAATTATTTTATCTATGTTTCTATGGTTATTTAGCAGATCAGACAGGGGACCACCTCGAGATAGAGAAGACAGATGGCAGAGAGGTGGTGGCTTAGAAAGGCGTGAAGACGCAGGACCACCCACTGAGAGGCAACCTTGGAGACCTGCTGCAGGTGGTGGTTGGAGGGAGAGAGAAAAGGAAAAACATGACTCCTGGAAGAAAGACCCAGAATCTGGGTTTGTACTTAACACACTTATGTCAGAACATAAAAATTATCATGAAATAAGTTATACCTTAATCAAAGACAAAAGAATATTGTGAATAAAAAATTTGAACAAAAATTTTACAGTTAAAATTGTTTAGAAAATTATTACTTTGGATAAATAATTGAAGATGAAATATATTTTCCATGAACTCTTTTTTTTTGCCTTTAGTGCAATCGAGGTAGATTATAATTTATATAAATGATTGTGTATGATGGGGTATGATTTACAAGTTAAATTGTTTGTAACAAACTTCTGAAGTAAAAAACTTGAATATAATTTGATACAGAGATGATAGACCAATGAGTGAAGAACGTGTTAGAGATGATAGAGAAGAGCGTGGAGGCTGGCGTGACCGTGTTCCACCACGTGATGATCGACCTCCAGTAAGAGACGAAAGACCTTCTTTCAGAGATGAAAGGCCACCTCGAGACGATCGACCACCAGCTCGTGACTCATGGAGAGATCGTGAGGGTGGTAGAGAGGCAGGTCGAGATCGCAGGTTTGACAATAGAGATATTCGCCTTGACAAAGAAGAAATGAGTCGTTTAGATCGGGAACGTGGAGAGAGGGGAGGATTTGATCGTGGTACCCCTTCACGTGATGGTGGTGGTGGGGCTTGGAGACGGGGTGGTGATAATAAAGATGAAGACCGATGGAGAAGAGACGATGGTCCCAGAAGAGATGATGGTCCCAGAAGAGATGATGGCCCTAGAAGAGATGATGGCCCTAGAAGAGATGATGGACCTAGAAGAGATGACGGCCCTAGAAGAGAAGGTGGCCGAGGTGAAAGTTGGCGTGACAGAGAAAGAGATGGGGGAGGTGGTAAGCTTCTTGAATATCATTCATTATGAATTGATGGAAATGAAAGGATTCAACAAATATTGTATGATTATCAGATATAATGTTGAATGATTTAATGTATACTCTAAGGCAAATTGATGCAGATAAATATTTAAGTCAAGTAAAACTATAAAAAGTAAGTTTCAGTAAGCGGAGTGGTTGCCTTATGAATGCTAAGTTTTAAAATTTACATTGAGTTTTCAGCGCAAAACTGTTGTGCAATTTCATACAACAGGTTAAAGATTAATGTTCAATAATACCTGTAATTTAGGTGGAAGTAGCTGGCGTGACCGTGAAAGTGCTGGTGGTGGCGGAGGTGCATGGAGAAGAGGTGGTGATGACAGAGGGCCGAGAGATGATCGTGGTCCTAGAGATGACCGAGGGCCGAGAGAGGATCGTGGTCCTAGAGATGACCGAGGGCCGAGAGAGGATCGGGCGCCGAGGGATGAAAGACGTGGTCCTCCACCAAGAGATGACAGAGATGGCTGGAGAAGAGGTAACTGATTAATCAAACAAAAACAATTCTTCACTCTTCAGTTAAACATTTGTGATTAAGGTGTGTTTTCATTTTAGCTTCGCACCAGTGCTCATTTCTCTGCAATCTTATCAGTGTGTATTATACTGGATTTTTATGTCCCCGAAGGGGGGTATATTTAAATCACACCGCCTGTCTGTGCGTCCCCACTTCATTCGTGTCCAGACTGTAACTTTGTCATACATTGAGGGATTTTGAAATAACTGCACAAATGTCTACCACATCAAGACGATGTGTCGTTTCAAGATCCATGTATCTACCTCAAAGGTCAAGGTCATACTATCATTTTGAAGTTTCACATCGCAATAAGAGTAAAATGGTTCACACACTCGTGTTTGGACTGTAACTTTGTCATGCATTAAATGATTTTTAAATAACTAGGCATAAATATCTATCACATCAAGACGATGTGTCGCGTCCAAGAATTACATCCCTGCCTCAAAGGTCAAGGTCACACTAACATTTTGAAGTTTAACTTTATTAGAATTAATAGGTACACACACAATCGTGTCTGGGCTGTAACTTTGTCATGCATTGAAGGTTTATAGAATGACATTGCATAAATGTCTACTACATAGAGACAATGTGTTGCGTCCAATAATCACATACCTACCTCAAAGGTCAAGGTCACACTAACATTTTGAAGTTTCACTTTATCACAATAAGAGTTTATAGGTACACACATTTGTGTCCGGATTGTAACTTTGTCATGCATCGAAGGATTTTAAAATAACTAGGCATGAATGTCTACCACATCAAGACGACATGTTGGGACTAAGACCCATGTCCCTTCCTTCAAGGTCAAGGTCACACTTATAGTTTGAAGGTACTCATTCTCTGGAGAAAAGTTGGGAGATACACATTCATGTTGGGATTGTAACTTTGTCATGCATGGAAGGATTTTAAAAGAACTTGGCACAAATGTCTACCACATCAAGACAATGTGACGCAGCTAAGGCTCATGTCCGTGTGTGTGTCTCCACTTGCACAACAATCATGTCCAGACTGCATTGAGGGATTTTGAAATAACTTGCCACAAATGTCTATCTCTTAACAACATTCTGTAGCGTCCTTCTACAAAGGTCACACTTATATTTTGAAAGTTTACGCTATCACAATTAGAGATTACAGGTACAATGATACAAAGAAAAATATTAAGCAATTATTTACTTTCATTCTCTTTTCTTTTCATAATACCTGCATGCTTAAGAAACCTTTTCGGGGGCATTCGTCACTTGGGCGACAGCTCTTGTTAATTTTAATTATCTGTAATGTATATCTGAAATTGACAGTGACCAGTTCCAAACTTAAGTATAACTAAGTAAGTTATACAAGTGAAGCTTTGTGTAAGTTAAGGGGTTTTGTATAAAATGAGTAAAGATCTTAAATAAATGATTTAGTTTGCTCATAAAAGTTGATTTTCTTTAACAGATGGCCCTCCACCACAGAGAGAAAAACCTAGAGAAAGACCTGCTGGAGGAGGTAATTAATCTTTGATGTATTAAACCTTTACGCTTATAAATATTAGCTTGTATTTGTTATTTACTTTCAATTTCATTGAAGAAAATCATTGGCTAGAGTCTTAAGGAATATATGTTAAGTAGTTTGTTGTAAGATTACTGAATAAGTCAATTGAAGCATATCTAGTACAGAACAGGAAAAACTGGAACTAGAGGTTTTACTGTTCAATAGGACATGGTGTTCTGTTTTAAGTGTCTACTGTGACACAGTTTCTTAAAAATGAAACTAGTACTTGTAAAGTCATGGAAGGACTATAAGTTAATATCACTGGATTGAATTTGTTTGGTTTTTACGGCACATTAACACAGTTTAGGTCATATGGTGCAGTAACAGGTATGATTATTTTGGCTCACCTCCAGTGTTACAAACTTAGCAACACCAGGGGCAAAACTGGTTTAAAACTAATTTCCTATTAATACCAATATTTGTCAGCCATTCTTTTAAACACTTAATTCATTTCAGAAGATGATGGATGGACTACAGTCAAGCGTTAAAACACAACAACCTGAAAGTTATATACAAGTTCTTACTTCTTCAAAATCATGTTGTAAATTTCTGCTAGAATTCAGTTATATCAATTTTCTTGTTTAAAGCTTGGATTTCTCATGTTATTGGCGTTTTTTTTCCCTGCCATATTGGCATTATCATTTTCATGGGTTTATATGTTAATTTATAAGTTGGGTTATTTGTATAATGTATAAGATTCTGTGAAGATATACAAAGTGTGATCATTTTACGTTTGATGTATATGTTTGATTATTAAGTTACTTGAAATTTGCCCAGATAGGATTGTGTCTTATAGATATTTAATATTAAATTTGTATCACATTTGTGGAATTCAAAATTTGGTTTGAAGCTATTCAAATACATTTTGAAATGGTAATACGTGAGGATTTTTTATAGGATGAAAATAAAAAACCATGCTGAATTATAAAACTGTTAAAAGCTTAATGAAATTATTTAGTGCTATATTGTGATTATACTGGAGATAAATGTGAACTATGTCAAGTGGATTTGAAACTGAATATAACTTAAATGATGTAATAAATGGCTATAGGACACTATATTTAAAAATTTTCATAACCACAAAAGATGCATTGAAGGATGACAAGACTTTTAGTGCGGACATCATTGTGTAAACAGTACTAAAACATTGAAATATTTAAATCCAAGTCTTGTATGATAATTATTCATTTTGCTTTGTAAAAAGAATGGCTTATAAATAATAGATGCCAAAAATTGTAAAATCAGTTCTTCTAATAAATTATTGCCACCTGAAATTGGATGTTATTTTATTTTGTATCATTCTAGAAAAGACCCTATCTATGCTAAGGATTATGATATTTATTCAACTTCTAGCTTTGATTTGAACTTTCCTTAATTTAAAGATAAACTATGCTCATCTTTAAGTGAAAAAGTTTATGCACAGAAATTTATGAAATTCTAACTGAATATGTCTAACTTGAATAAAAGAACGATTAAACTATGTATGGCCATGGGAAGCTGCGTCAAGTAAAGTTGGTCTTTTCTTAAAATAACTGCCATACATTCATATCGTGACCACCTATAGTATATAGAATTTTAAACATAATATATCTAATTTGTACGAAGTCAAAACCTGTTTATTTTATGTTTTAAGAGACTGTGTTGCAATTATCAATAGTTTGGAATATCAAATTTGAGCATAGTATATCTTAAAAAAAAAAACAACAATGTTCTCTGTATACTCTTATTTGGTACCTTGATAATCTGATTGATGAAAGTTTAAAAAGGATACTGTTGCTTGACTTTCATTTATTGACCGATACTGGCCTTTATCCTTTTATGGTGGGTCTGTCTGCATAGCTTAATGGTGAGAGCACCGAATTTATAATCCATTTGTCACTGGTTCAATCCTGAATGGAAGCCAAACTTATCTGTGACAATAGATCTCGGACATTGAGTCTAATGGATCATTTGTCTGTCACTGCTGATTCAGAAATCATGTGGGAATAATAGTTGGTCATTAGTCAAGAATTTGTAATCTGGTAAAGTTGGTTAGGTGGACCAACCTCCAAGATACAACCAAAAATGTGATAAAATCTGCATAAAAGACCCTCTGAAGGTGTTTCCGGATGATTTAGTCAATGTAACAGAGGCTGAAATAGATCTTATGTCTTGCTCTCATTTAAATGTCAAAAAACAGCCGTTGGTGTTGATCAATATTCTTTAGCTAAAGCTTGCAGTCAAAATTGGCTAACCTGGATTGTGTTAAGTGTATAGGAACTACCTAGATGCTTAATATGATAGTTGGTCATAGCAGTATACAGGTGAAGTTACACTATAAACATTGGTACAAAATGTGACTATAATGTCTCTTGATATTTATGGTTTCAACCCACCAGTACTGTCAAGTGCAGCCAGATAGTGATCTTTCACCTCTATAGACAAGTGGCTGCCACCTATGTTAAATCACTGATCTGTAAAGTTGTTCGGATGGTTTCACATGAATGCAAGGAATCTTTACACTCCAGTGAATGGAAAGTGATACAAAATATAGGCTTTGTGAAAGTTGTTTTGGTATTAATTGTTGCTCATGGTACAATGTTTCTTTTAAAACTGAATTTGTATAAATGTTTGAATCTATTAATTTGCATTATCAATTAATACTTGTAAAATAGTTCTGTTTACTTAGATCAAGGGCCAGTTCAACATTTTTTATGCTGCCGAAGGGAGGCATATTAAAATTGCACCGTCTGTGCGTCCCCACTTCATTTGTGTCCGGACTGTAACTTTCTCATAAATCGCGGAATTTCGAAATAATTTGGCACAAATGTCTACCACAACAAGACGATGTGTCGCATCCAAGAACCACGCCCCTTCCTCAAAGGTCAAGGTCACACTATCATTTTGAGGTTACGCAATTAGTAATAGGTACACACATTCGTGTCCGGACTGTAACTTTGTCATGCATTGAATGATTTTAAAAAACTTGGCATAAATGTCTACCACATCAAGACAATGTGTCGCGTCCAAGAATTATGTCCCTACCTCAAAGGTCACAGTAACATTTTGAAGTTAACTTTATCACTATTAGAGTTAATAGGTACACACATTCCTGTCCGGACTGTAACTTGTCATGCATTGAAGGATTTTAAAATAACTGGGCATAAATGTCAACCACATCAAGACAACATGTTGAGTTCAAGACCCCTGTCCTACCTTCAAGGTCAAGGTCACACTTCTAGTTTTAAGATACTCGTTCTCTCAAGAAGAGTTTGAAGATACACATTCATGTCCGGACATGTCATGCATGGAAGGATTTTAAGATAACTTGGCACAAATGTTTACCACATCAAGACAATGTGTTGTGGATAAGGCTCAAGTCCATTTGTGCGTCCTCCCACAACAATAGTGTCCAGACTGTTAACTATGTCCTGCATTTAGGGATTCTGAAATAACTTGGCACAAATGTTCTCACATGACAACATTGTGTAGCTACCAAGAACCACATCCCTTTCCAAAGGTCAAACTTATATTTTGAAGGTTCACACTATCACAATGAGAGATTATATATGTAGGTACACACATTTGTGTCCAAACTATAACTTTGTCATGCATTGAAGGATTTTAAAATAACTCGGCACATGTGTGTTAGACCCATGTCCCTAGGTCAAGATCACTCTAATATTCTGAAGGTACTTCTGCTCATAAGAAGAGTTTGAAGGTACACATTAGTATTGTCATGCATTGAAGGATTTTAAAATAACTTCGCATAAATGTCTACCACATCAAGATGATGCGTCGCATCCAGGAGACCCTTGTCTCAAGGTGTTAAGTTTGCTATAAATAGCACTTCATTTCACAAGAACAATATTAAGCAAATAGTTACTTTCATTCTCTTTTCTTTTCATAATACGGTACCTGCATGCTTAAGAAATCTTTTTCGGGGGCATCCATTACTTGTGTGACAGCTCTTGTTTAATTCCTACAACTTAACAATCTTTGTACTTTCAAATGCAATGGGTTAATAACATTAGCATGTAATTTAAAACAGACCAGTTTATTTTCTCTTTTATTTACATTGACCATTTATCATAACCTTTACAGACATTAACAGTTTCTTTCTTCAAAATTAAACATATATTTCATGCTGCTTTTTCATATCAAAAGTCAAAACAACAGTACATGTATGTAATATTCTATTTAACAATATTCATATTATCTTATTCAGATATATCGCTATAAAATATACATATAAAATTTGATCAAGAGAAAAAAAACATTAACTATTTGATCTGAATTCTAGCAACTTTTAAACGAGTATCACCAACTGTGTCCTTCCACAAAAAATACTATCTGAGGTCTGTAAACATGCTATGAATGTCTGAAGTAAATCCATGTAAAACATGTACTGTCCTAGACTAGGATTTTCCAGGGGCATGCTTAGGCTTCCAGCTCTATCTATATATATTACACCATCCTGAAAGCCTAAATATCACTGTCCAAGCACTTCAAGCATTTGTTCATTTGCTTCTTTAAAACACCGAAGAAAACACCTGTGATCGTTGGATATAAGTAAATTTGATACAGGTATTTTATTATTCTCCCTGCTTCACATGGCACCTTGTTTGTATGTGTCCAGATAAAACAGTTATCTTCTATCCATGTATATCAAATATCTTCATTTAGCTATTCTGTCTGCTGTGTCAAGTTGATACAGGTATTTTCTGAGTGTCTGTTCTTATAGAGTTAATCAGATCTTGGTTTATTAGGAAAATGAACCGTAAACAAGAGATCTGAAAGTAAACAGAAGTAATTTGTAAATATTAAAATAAAGTGAGATATGTTACTTCCCTGTAAAAGCCTACAGAATTAAGGGAGAAAAAAATTACTGTATCATTTCAAACACAGCAGCAATATACTCGCATTAACATAAGAGTAAATCATACAAAGATGACTGTCACTGTTATTATTTTGTTTGTATTTGAGTTTATTTATACTCGCCACCGGTTGCCCATACATGTATGGGCGAGAGTCCTCCAGAAGAGTATTAGTCATTTTATATTTTGGAGGATAGTGTAAGATACAGATACAGAAAGATACCCCAATTCCAGAAGCTTCTCCTGGTTCTTTAGCGTGCCAATTATTTAAACACTCATACACAGAACCTCGATTTAAATTTGAATTCCAAAGACTGGTTAGTAATTTTAGTTGGCCATCCCGGGAATCGAACCCAAATGCCGAGATTTCAAGTCTCACGCTCTAACCAATTGAGCTTTGCGGGCTGGCCTGACTGATATCAGTACAATATTTGTTTTTATTCCACACCTTATAAAATGTGACCAATGAGCTTCAAGCATCTGCATCATGTGATGTTCTAATATAGATTTACCAGCTGTGTATTTGTGCTATTGAATTCAGTAGTGTTCAAGAATGTTCAATTTTTTGTTTCCATATTTAATTAATGCAAGTTAAATACCATATTTTCTTACCTAAAACCATGGTAATTTTTTGTTTTCAATTCATAATTTTAGGTTTACTAAACTGAATAACTTTCAGATATTGAAGAACCTCACCAAACCAGTATCAGGCTACGACCACTTACATTAAATTAGCAGGATATCTTCCCGTACATACAATTAATAAATAAAATACTGAATAGTGCCTGATAGGTAAGTTTTGCAAAGGATTTTTCATCAATTGCAATTTTATAAAATTCTTAGTAAAAAATGCCACTTAAATATATATATAAATCCTTGATCAAATATTAGAATTAGTATAACATTTTACCATTGTCCTACTAAATTACTTTAAGGAAGTTGTTTTGCTTTGAACTTTCATACTTCCTTTTTTAAGTTTGAGAAAAAGTTATTTCACAATAATAAAACTGAGCAGCCAAATCTGCCTTATCTCTTTGCTGGTGACAGAAATGCAATCATTGCAGATAAACATGAACTACAATTTAACATGAGAATACACAATTACAAGTTGTTCATACAAAAAAAAAAGTTCAATACCTCTACCACTGAGTTATTACACAATCTTTGTTTATTGCCGGTAAGAATTGGTTTTCCATCTATATAAATAGGTCTCTTTCCCTCATTAGCAATATAAAAGTCCCCATTGCCTCTCAGTTTGATAATACCCTGTCGCCTTGATATCTTCCATGCTGGACCTTCTAGTGACAGGTCAACATCTATCTGGTTGTCTTTTGTGGCACGTCCTAGAGTTATCTACAAGAGAAATTACAATATATAAATATATACAAAATATAAACCAGTATGGTAAACAGCTACTTCAAAAACATTGTAAGTAAAATTCTCTTATAATTAAGGAAAAGGCATTTTTTACCGACAAACAAAAATGTACAAGAATCTAATGCTTAAAACAGAAAATTGCTGTACCAGAAAAATACCTAACCTGAAAAATGCCTTACCAGAAAATTGCCTTACCCTGTTAAATTTCCATAAAAATTGGCATATCCATTCTTAACTTTGGCATATCCATTACTATTTCATATCCATTACTGTTTCAAGAAATTTTAATATCAAAATGCTGAAACTGACCAGCAAACTCTAGGATATCTAAACAGGTTTTCTATAATCAAGAATTTGCACTGCTGGAGTCAATGCTTGAATAAGAATACATACAAATCTTGTGCCATGCCAACTTCATTGTTTTGTTTTTGTAAATCAGCAGTAATGATAAGTGAGAAATTGTGACATGCAGGCTGGCATGGCACTAGACTGTAGGCAAAGGCTTATCACTTTTGGTTCCAGCAGGTTAATGGTTAAAAAATGGGTCAAAGACATAAAAGGGCAGGTTGCTTTGTATAGCAAATATCATGAGGCTGTGGTTAAATTTAAATTTTGTACCATTGACCATGAAATGTCGAAAAATTTAACTAAGTAGGTAAACAGGAAGTTGATGAGCAGCAAACCTGAAATTGAATCCCAGAGTATGGGATTATGTGTCAATGCAGTATACTTAATATCAAGAGGCTGTGATAAGTAGTTGACGAGAAAATTTTTATAAAAATTTCCTACCATTATAATGTCGATATTTTTAACTAAGTCAGTTACCAGAAAGTGGAAGAGCGATAGACCTGAAAAGGAATCCCACAGTATGAGACCACCTGTTAATGCTGTTTACCTAAAATCAGGAGGCTGTGATAAGTAGTTGCTGAGAAAACTTTTATGAAAAAATTTTCCCCACCGCCCAACATTCACCTTACTATAACCTGGGTTTGCACCTGTCAAAACCGGCCAATAAAATGAAGATGAAACATGCTGCTTACCTCCCTTGATCTCATCAGATATCTAACCAGTCTACCTCTCAAAACAGCCAGTGTCTGGTTGTCAAAATCTGGCGGACTGATTCCTGGTAAATATAAAATTTTATACTATGTAATAAACACTGTCTTAATGAACTGTCTAACTTCGGACAATAACTTATAAAGATTTTACAAGATTAAATCACTCAAAATAAAAACTTTTCAAAAATCTATTATCAATAATTTATAACCCTGATGACGACTCGTGAGAGTTCAAGTTGAAATTCTGGTTATCATCATTAAATAAACTTTAAAACTTACCCTGTGTTGATTTTTTGTTCCACATGTATCATTTTTCTTACTAATCTTTTATAAAGTTTAAAATATTTTTCACGTTTTGCAACTTCCAGCTTTACAGGTGCAGATAGGACTATGATGCCCCCTCCATGCATTATTTCAGCACCATAATAAGGCAACTGAGTAGAACCACCAACCCCCTGAGCAAGCAACTAGTCTAGATAAAATTTCCAGCTTGTGTATAACTAACAGAAACACCAGTTTGACATGCAACAAAGTCCAAGAAACACACTCAGAAGTTCCACGTTGGTCCAAATAATCTACAGCTTTCATCACATCATCAAGTAAACATGAGCATGTTTAACCATTACAATTTAATACAATGTAGTATTCCTATAAACTGAAAACAGTCTGAAAGTACTGAAAAATTCAAAAAAGCTTACATAAAGTGTAAGTACTCTGTTTAAACCTGTACCATAGTATTATGTTTATATAAATATGTTTACTGCAGTTTTCATTGTTAATGGTTAATATTTATGTTTAGTTTGTCATTGCATTTATAATTAGTTAATACTATGTTTTATAATATTACATTGTCTTTTGTACAATTATTTGATGTAAATATGTTGAAAATATGTTGAGGTACATATGGAAGATCGTTTTGGCAAATGTAGCCTCGTTAAGTAAAGCCGCCTTATTATTATTATTAGTAGTAGTATAAAAGAGAATATTTTTGTCACATCTGAAGTTAAAAGGGAATGTATACCTGTCACACTGTCCACTAAAACCTGCCATTTTGGTAACTCTTGTTCTAGATGACGTATTTCCCTCTTGTTTCTTCTGTCAGCCACAGCTAACTCTTGCTCCACAGTGTCATCTTTAGCTTCCTTCAATAAACCCTAATATGTCACTATTACTTAAAATTTGTACTCTCTAACATTTTCATGAAATATATTCAAAGAACAAAGACTATATTTAAAGTGATCCTTTAACAAGAGACGATCTGACAATTAACCTGTTAGAACAGCAGGTGGTTTGCCTCTGTCACAATTATAGAGCCAGGTCAGCCTGCACATCATGCTCTATTCTGTTTGCATCTCAGTTTTTGTACTTTGATAATGAAATCATTTTAACTTGGAATGGATTGTTCCAAATTCAAAGCAAGGCAAATTATAACACAAAAACAGCAAAAGGTTAAATGAGTTTGCCTATATAAAAACTGTGAATAACCCATTACATGGTCATGTCCTTTTATACAAGCACAAATGCTAGTTTATGGTGAAAACTAACCCTCACCCCATTAACCCCTACTTGATAAATTTGTTACATAAACAAACTAGACCTATCACTGAAGGTGATTAATACCCCCACCAACAACTTTGACTTTTTGAAAAAAAAGTAGTCTGAAGAAAAATTTGAACACAAACTATCAACTGTGTACAAAGAAATATTTCAATTAATTGTAATCGCAACTGGGGTCTCGAAATAAGCTTGCTATACACCAAGTTTGATTACAATATCTCATTCCTAACTCTAGTTATTGTCAGGAAACCATTTTTTCTATTTTTAGTAACACTGTAACAGTGACCTTGACCCTATTGGGTCCAAATGCAATACCAACCCAGGTCTTCATATAAGCTTCCTATACACCAAATAAGATTACAATATCTCATTTCTAACTCTAGTAATTGTCCGTAAACCATTTTTCGCAACGGTGAACTTGACCTTGACCCCAGGGGGCCCAAATGCAATACCAACCAAAGTCTTCATATAGGCTTGCTATACGCCAAGTTTGATAACAATATCTCATTCCTAACTCTTGTTATTGTCCATAAACCATTTTTCTATTTTTAGTAACACTGTAACCGTGACCTTGACCCTAGGGGGTCCAAATGCAATACCAACCCAGGTCTTCATATAAGTTCCTTTACACCAAATTAGATTACAATATCTCATTCCTAACTCTAGTTATTGTCCGGAAACCATTTGTCTATTTTTCCTAACGGTGACCTTGACCTTGACCCCAGGGGGTCCAAATGCAATACCAACCCAGGTCTTCATATAAGCTTGCTATACACCAAGTTTGATAACAGTATGTCATTCCTAAGTCAAGTTATTGTCCGGAAACCATTTTTCTATTTTTAGTAACAGTGACCTTGACCTTGACCCCAGAGGGCCCAAATGCAATACCAACCCAGGTCTTCATATAAGCTTGCTATACGCCAAGTTTGATAACAATATCTCATTCCTAACTCTAGTTATTGTCCGGAAACCATTTTTCTATTTTTAGTAACGGTGACCTTGACCTTGACCCCAGGGGGTCCAAATGCAATACCAACCGGAGTTTCCATATAAGGTTGCTATATACCAAGTTTGATTACAATACCTCATTCCAAACTCTAGTTATCGTCCGGAAACCATGATGTGGACCGACCGACGGACCGACCAACCGACAAGCTGACTCCTATATACCCCCCCTAAACTTCGTTTGTGGGGGTATAATAAATGTTGTTTACATTAGATATTTCACAATCTTTACTAAATTGATCTCACAATCTTTTTTAAATGTAGAGCTGTCATAGATTCAGTGCAAAGCATATTGATAAAATACCGATATCAGCTGACTATTTTTTTTCTGACCTCATTTTGTCATCACCGCTATGAAATGTGTCCATTATGTAACAACAGATAAGTGTTACACAAGGCCGCATGCTTTTGTATATATTTTTAGTGAATTTTCATAATTTATAGACATTTAAATAATTTATCAAAATAATCGATTTTTTTCAAATGTATATCGATTTTGATATCGTCTCTATCCATGACAGCTCTTTCTATATGCAACATGTTTAGTATATAATAAAGTATCTTAAAAGAGTCTTACTTTCAAATCTTCGTCAGTGAGCAGATCCTCGGCATCAGAAAAATTGAGCACATGATCACCACGGGGCATCGGCTGCACTGATTGGTCAGGTAACAAATGATATTGTTTCATCAGTAGCCAATGACTGTGTAGAGCTTTTGCTGTTCGTGTCGGGTAAAATGTGTCCGGATGATTATCTAATACTTCTTGAAACTTCTCCACAGTTGGGTTACTTGTCTAATATTATAACAACAAGAAATCATGCAGGTAATTATACAAAATTGATTTCAGACTTCAATAAAATTTGCGTTGTATTTGTTGATCACAATTTATTTACCTTTTTCATTTATAATTTAGATTTATTTTGAAGAACAACATTTTGTTTCAGGAATTCCAACATTAAGATATATTTGTTGTTTTTTTGCTTGTTTTTTTATATTTACACTGACATTGTACATGTGATTATCCAGCTTTAGACGCCTCTCGTTTTACGATTTAGGCACAATCAGGCACCTGAGTACAACTACCAACTTCTGTAAGTTACCGAGATAGATTCCACACAAATTCAATAGTAATGCAGATAATCACAACGGTCTTGCAATATACAAAAGATAAAGGTTTACCAATGACTTATGAGAAACTTATAGAAAACAACATGTAACTTTACTTACAGATGTTATTTTGCCTAACAAAGTCTCCTCAGATTTACTATATAAAGCTTTAGCTTGTACTGAGGCTAGAACATCTGGGTGGAATTGTTTCATGGCCTGCACTGATAATCTGAAATAATACATATACATTTAATTTATTCATCTAATAATTAAGTTTTCACCATTTGTTGACATTGGTTTTATAATGCACAGTAGAGCTGTCATCGATAGAGACAATATCGATGTATCGTTGATATTTTTTTGCTGATCAAAAATCGATACACATTTTAAAAAATCAATAATTTTGACTAATTAACTAAATGTCTAGAAATTATGAAAATTCACCTAAACATATACAGAAGCAGTTATTTATGTCTAACAATATGCTTTTGTTATACAGTGGAAATATTTCATAGCAATGGTGACAAAAAATATTGTCTGGAAAAAAATCATGTAGAGTACAGAACATGTTTTTAACTGAAATAATTAAAACAGGTATGAAATTGAATGACAGACAAGTTATAATAAGTTATTATCGATATATCAGTGTATCGTTGATTTTAGTCATCTGATATCGATATATAGTTGATATGCTTTGCACTGAATCAATGACAGCTCTAATGCACAGAGAAGTTCTTGTGTCATGACATATCTGTGGCCAATCACCTAATGTGACACATATCCATGACCAGTTTCATTCCAAGCAAGTAAAGGAAACTAAATCATAGAAAAACAATTTTTAATATCTAATTATTGAATTACTAATAACATAGATCAATGTGGAATTGTGGTTTAAATGAATTATCAAAAAGAAGTCCTGAAGCCCCATAGATCAAAAAGAAGTCCTGAAGCCCCATCGAAGATGGCAAAAATGTTATATGGTAGGTTACTACTAGTACAGAACAATAGATAACAGTTGTTCAATACATGAAATGAAATGCTATGTGGAAGCGAAGCTATATACACATGTACAAATAAGTAGATAAAAAATCATGAATGTATATGTACATTTCTGTTTACTTTCCTCAGTAACAAAATGTTAGAGATATAAACAGATAACTTACTTTGAGATAATTGGGTCATACAGCAGACTGTACCATCTTTCCTGTATCTCCTTCAACGTAAATTTACAGGAAAATTTTACTCCAAGGTATACTGCTGTAAGGTCATTGGTCTGCAAGAAAAAATGTTTACAAAAAAAAAATTATGTGTAGTTTGAAGGAACAATACAAAAATATTGCCTGCTTGTTGCATATTTGAAACAAGACTGACTGACAATCTTTTAATCTATTAAGGTTACCATTATATGGTGATTTTTTTAGCATAACTGGCAAGGGAAGAACGGAAATGTTCATACATAATTTATACATCAAACTAGAACTGCAAACTTTCTGTTAGTGGCTGGTCAGCTGTTGTACAGGGAAGAATTCAAAGTTCCTAATGGGATTTGTATACAGTACAAACCACAACAGTGTGTTGAAAGTGATTTGAAATTGAAGTCCGCAGCCTCAATCACTAGACAACAGATTGACAAATGACTCAATGGTGCTTTTATCTTAAATATTAATAAATACATACAATGTATGTATAACAATGGTCACTTACCTGTTGGACAGCTGTTATTAAAGCTAAATCATCGGTAGGTTTCCAGCGCCCAAGATCCTTAACAGATGCCGGTGCAGGTGCCTGAATTAACAAACATGGAAAGTTAAATTTGTCAAAAAAATATTGAATATGTACGACAGTGTTTGAAAAAATCATAAGAAAATCCTGACAAACCGAATTACTCTTGTTTACACTTGCTTTTTTCACAATATAATTTTTAATTTCAATTCCTGTTTGTTCGGGTTTAACAGCACATCAACATATAATTATTGGTTATACTTTGTCGAAAAATAAATAATTTTAAAGATTTACCCTTGGTTTCTGTTTCTTTGATCTGTTTCTAGATCTCGATGTCTGAAAAAAAAGAACACATTTAGTTTCTCTACTAGTTTTGAAATATTTAATGTCAATTTGTCCACAAATATTCACAGTAATCTTATTAGCACAGTCACTGCATGTGTAAACAGAGCTAGAATCAGTACTGAACTGCTTTTACTACAAGTGCTTGCTGACATCTTTATACACATTTACTAATTCACAATACACATTCAACAAAGCCTGCAACCAACCTTTAACAGATTGTTTGGGTTTTTCCATTTCACAGGTCTTGTCTTAATTTCTACTTTGACTTGATTGATAACTTTGTGGCAATATAGGTCATATGGCTACTTTCCAATTTTACTGGTTCAATCATCGGTGGACCCTCAAGTATAACCAATTCCATTAATCGTCTATATAAGTTAGTTTTATAGCCTTCTTTTGAAAAAAGTTCCAGAGAATTCGTACCCACCATGCACATTGGTAAGATGCAAAAGATTCAATCTCAGTGACCATAAACATTCAGCAATGATTGAAAGTTTATAAACTAGACACGTTATACAGTGGTTTTGGTCATGAACTTACCTTACAAACTTTACCAGGGGTTTTCTTCCTTTCTGTAGTAGACACAATCGTTCCAACATCTTTTTTACCCGTGGTCACTTCCTTTGTCTGACGATCTGCTTCTATTGTCACAGTCCCTGACACTAGAAAATACAGCCAATATAATTATATGATGTTTTATATATAATAATATTCCAAACAGCCAAATTGCTTATATGAGATATTCCAGTATCAAAAAGCCAGGCATTAAGATGGTGGCACAAGCAGGCTTCAGGGTTAAAATATTATGCTCATTAATTTATTAATCAAATTCTTAATTTAAGGATCAATTATTTAAACTTGACTGTTAAGAAAGTTTGTAGCATATATGAAGCACACTTGTACACTTTTCCTAGAACTAACCAGTACTGACATCATATGAGGAAACATGGTTGTGACCAAAATAAGACTCGAATCCATGTATTGCAGATAATAAACCTAACTGACAGTAAAACAGAATGTATTGATGATATTATAAATTAAACAAAACTGATACCCAAATAAAATAATAAAAACTTCAACTGATAAACATACAAAATTTTATTATCTCAAATTTGAAAACATTTTAAGAAATACAGACCCAGAAATGATAAAAGCTAAGTGTAAATGACATTAGCTTTCCTATCCGTGTAAATGACATTACCTTTCCTATCCCTTGAAGGTCTCTCCTGTTTTGGTAAACTAGATTCAACAACTTCATCATCAAATCTCTTACGCTTAATTGACCTTTTTGAACTTCTACGTTCCATAGAGCTGGACAAATCTGGAGTGGGTTGATATCTTGATGACACTTGGCTTCCAGATGCAGTTACAGACACTTTTGGAGTTTGTGGGGCTGGTAATGAAACATTCTGTAGAACAGGTTTCTGTGATGTGGATGGTGTCTCTTGTGTTGTAATATTTACATTATTTGTTGAAATCGGCAAGCTTACTGATGGAACTGATGGAATTGTAGCTGTACCATAAGTAGAGGTCAAGGTCATTCCAGTTGTTAGTTGGGCACTTGGCTGTGTTGCTGAAGACATTGATGCTAATATAGGTGCCACTGATAGTTGTGTAATTGGTATCTGACTAGATTCCATCTTGAAACCTAATGTACAAGATAATTATACTTTACTACTGGAACACTGAGAACTTCAGGTTAGTCGACAGGACTATATAAAAAAATGCTCTCAAGTTGATGTTGATCATTACCACAAAAGTAAATATGTACTTAAAGTTTGTGTAACAATATAAAAGTGTTTTGCATCAGATGAAATTAAATTATTGCCTTCTTTTGTATTTTTTTAAAAAGCCATGGGACATCCTTGGTCGAGGGGTTAAGGTTGTTGATTTCAAACCATTTGCCCTTCACCAAGATTGGGTTTGAATTCTGTAGGAGACCTTGGATATTTTCATGTGAGAAAGCTAACTTGTTAGCTTATGAAACATCAGTGGTTCTACTCAGGTGCCCCTTCATGCCTAAAGTAATGCACGGAGCTGTGAGGCCTTCCTCCACCTTAGTGCTTAAGCTGGAAATTCACCGTACCTGGGACACTGATGGGGAATTAAAATGCCCTAGGTATGGATAATGCACAGATTGATGTTTCTTGTCGTCCAAACTGATAACAATACATCTATCAATACATTATTATTGCCTATTAGAGAAGTATGAAAAACATTAATAATGAGCTCGAAAAGCTGGCCCAAAGGGCCTGCTCACAAAGCGAGCTTTACAGTAACGCGAGTACCTGCTAGATAAAGATGGTTTTGAAAACTTTTGTTGGAAGTACTAAATTGACAAATTGCAACATTTCAAATAACAAGATAACGATAAAAGCCAAGGTATTCTGATTGAAAGCAGATGCGAAGACTTGTGTCCTGCGTACTATTATAGGAACCATAATAGCACAGGGAACCAGTATAAACAGAAGCAGTGTATTAAATACCGAACGACAGTTTTACAACAAAAAATGTGAAATAAAAATGAATGATTATTTTATACTTTTTCACAGTAAAAGTAAATTGTGCTCTCTTTGAGGCTTTGTCTTTTTCATATTAACTTCATAAACAAACCTATAGTTAACTACATATTTCCTAGATCTTGATTAAATATTCACCATTATAGCCATAGGACTGGAAATTGAATTTTTATCAGATTCGGAGTATGTTCATAATATTGATATGATAATGAAATAATCTATGTACGTAAAATTTGACTGATTGAAATAAACTTAACAATTTTTTATTTATTACATTCATAATAATTACCTTTGCATGTTACTTTTTTCATAAGTGTGTCTAGGGATTAAACGATGATCGAGTATAATCGAAAATTGATCGGTTATAGAACCGATCGGCGATGATCGATTACAAAGTTAAATAATCGATCATCAGTAATTTATTTTCTTGCTGTTACTTAAGTGACTAACTGTATTATAACAACACTCTAAATTAAAGCCAGTTTTGTTTGAAACATTAATTTTCATTCAATTGAATATGAAAGCATACTGGTGACCATTGAGTTAATAGTTGACATCAGGCATGCTAGTTTAAAGGTATACTATGCTAAAATTTGACATTAGAAAATATTTAAAATTGCTATACCGTCTATTTGTAGATATAAAATAAACATGTTTTGACTTCACACAAAGAAGATATGTTATGTATAAAATTATTCTACACACTATAGGTGGTTGTTGCAATATCAATATATAGTGTCATTAAAAAAACTGGCAGTTTTGTTAAGAACAATTCGACCAACTTAACTTGTTCCCATACATAGTTTATTCATTCTTTTATAGAAAGTGAGATATAATAATTTCATAGATTTTAATTTATTTGATTAAAATATTTTACTCAAGGATGAGCATAGTATATCTTAAAACTAATTTATTTCAGTTGATAAAGTTGTGGTCACATGGAAATGGAATTCTTATAAATATTAAAGCATGATCCTTCTTCTTCTTCTTCCAATATACTGGCCACCTTCAACTAACTGTATGCCTTATTCTCATCGATTCGTGCCTTCTCATCGATTCGTGACCTACATAATTGTCTGGTATAAATACTTCTGCAAGGACATACACCATCCGAAAACTACACAAGTTTTATTAGACACTCGACTTGACAATTCTATCCAATCAAAATGCGTAATTGAACAGGTGTAAATGAGCTAACCCTACAATCAGCTGATGACCTAATTACTTTAAAATATTCGATATTGGTGTTTTAATTTATCAAACACACTTACAATTAAGCCAAAAAAATATTCATTACGCTGTAAGAATTTACTTAAGACTTTAAAACATATATTGATCAGATCGGACTGAAAATAAACATGCGAACATTTAGTGGTGTGAGCACCTATATTTTGATGACGTCACAGGGTGAATCGGATTTCACGAATCGATGGGTAAGCGTCCAGCTGAGCAAGACAGTCATGGTTGACATGTTCAGATGCTCTAATCTTTGAGCGGTTGTTTTTAAAAGTAATTTAAAGTTTTTGAACTTTTAGATAATGAATTTATTGAACAAATGCACTAATTTAACTGTATGTATGTCTGATATTTGTTGTGCAAGTGCAATTTTTCCAAATAAGAGTCACGAATCGACGAGAGAAAAGCATACTGCCAGGTGATATGTACATTATACTTTTTACTTTGTTATCATAAATGTTTCGATTATATAATCGATGACTGATCGAAAAGGGTTGTTCGATTATTTTCGATGATCGATTATGATTTTTGTCCGATTAAGAAACCCTAAGTGTGTCAAAGGTGATTCGGCCCTAAGAGCCGACCCCTAAGAGCTGGGGCCGAGTTTGTTACGAGTTTGTTTGTACCCTTTATTCTTCGGATATCTTTTGCTCAGTAAATAATCACTCAGAGTTTTTGGCTCTGAAAACAAAAGCTTACAATGTGACACGTTTTAAAAAGTTTGGCTTACATGTAACAGTACTATTACCTCTGCAGGAAAGATTTTTACTGAATTATTATAAAAGCTGTGCCATCACGACTCCATATTGTCTAATTTAATTTCGATTTATCAAAATGTCATTGTCATCTCGACGATAACTACTTCAGAGTATGCAGTCGTTTGTTTATATAAGCACGGGTAAAAATGTGATATATAGGTTTTATTCTTTTAAATAATATACAGAAAATAATACATTAATAAATTGAAATTGTCCAGTATCAAAAAGCCTTCTTCCATAAAAGCCTAGCGGACAAGGTCGATATCAAAATTTAGGGCACACACCAGAAAACTAAATTAGCTTCCGCATCGATCTTTATCTATAAATATGAGGTATTGGCAATGTAAAATTAAAAGCTATCCTGATAGACGACATTTAAGAGAATTTGTTGTGTTAAATGAATAATCCGTAGCAAAATAATTAATTTCGTTGTTTGTGATTCTTTTCATGTTATAGACCTACCCTTTAATGGATACGTATAAACATTACATTATGGCATTTTTAAGTCGAGCTACATGACTAGCTGTTTTCTGTTGTTTTAAGTAATCGCACCAGTGCGAATGGCGATGAAAGAGAATCTCACCTCAGACGTGATTGAACTAACGATATTCGTATATTTTGTTCTACCTCTACACAAATATTCCTCCAAATGTTGTAATTAATGTATTTAAAATTTTAAACTTTACCTTCGGCTAAAATCCCTTTGCAATTAAGAATCACAAAATGTTCGTTTGTTTATATTTCCAACATTAACAATTAACACAAATTGCTTTCAGCTTTCAGTGAATAACCCCTACATGCGACTTCAGTGAACCCGCGTGTTTAGATATATTATTGTTCAAACCAAGATTCACACTACGAAAAGAGTAAAGATATTTTTATGTCAGTGTTGAATGCCATTGCTCCTGTTAAAGAAATTAGATTAAAACAGAGAACTGAACCTTGGATGTCATCAGAGATTTTAGACCATATCAAAACAAGAGATCATTATTTATACAAGTTTAGAAAATATGGTTGCCATGAAGATTTTTCTTGTTATTGTAAATTTAGAAATGTTGTTCAAAGAGAAGTAAAACATGTTAAGTCTTCTTATTTTACTGATCAAATTGCTGAAAATAGAAATAATCCAAAAGGCCTATGGAAACATTTAAAACAATTGGGGTATAAATCCAAAACAACAGGGAATGAAAATATTGTTTTAAAAATTGATAGTGAAAATTGTCATAATCCTTTAAAAATTGCTAATCATTTTAATGACTTTTTTACTACTGTTGCTTCTAAGCTAGTGGATAAGTTACCTTGTGCTAGCAAAAAGTTTGACATTGACTCACAAGCTTTGTTAGATTTTTATAATGATAGAAATACTAAGAATAATAAAATGTACTTAAAACATGTGTCTGAGACATTTGTATATAAAGAGCTTAAGAATTTAAACTCATCAAAGAGTACTGGTTTAGATGAAATTCCTGCTAGATTTTTAAAAGATGCAGCTTCATTTTTGAAAATACCAATTACTTTTATCATAAATATGTCAATTTCAGAAAATTATGTCCCTGATGACATGAAAGTAGCTAGGGTAAAACCTTTATATAAAAAGAACAGTAATCTTGAAGTAGGAAATTATAGACCTGTAAGCATTTTAAGCATTGTTTCAAAAATTTTAGAAAAATCAGTGTATTCTCAACTTGAAAAGTTTTTAGTTGATACTGGTTTATTGTATGAATTACAGTCAGGTTTTAGAAATTCCTATTCCACTGACACTTGTCTTATCCATCTTATGGATCATATCAGAAACAATAATTCCAAAGGATTATACACAGGCATGATAATGTTAGATCTACAAAAAGCATTTGATACTGTTGACCATGATATTTTATGTGGAAAATTGAAATTGATGGGTATCTCTAATACTGACTGGTTTATGTCTTATCTTAAAGGTAGAAAACAAACTGTTAGTGTTGATAATATTTTATCAGATTACATGCCTGTTACATGTGGGGTTCCCCAGGGCAGCATCCTGGGTCCTCTTTTATTTTTGTGCTATGTAAATGACATGAGAATTAGTATAGATCAAGAATGTAAACTTATTCTGTATGCCGATAACAGTGCAATTCTTTTTGCTCACAAAAATCCAAGTATTATTTCTCAAAAACTTGGACAAACACTAGAGTCTTGTTCATCTTGGCTTGTAGATAACAAATTGTCACTTCATCTAGGAAAGACTGAATGTCTTATTTTTGGTTCCAAACGTAAACTAAAACAAGTTAAAGAGTTCAAAATTGTTTGTAATGGACATACTATTGAATCCACAAAATCTGTTAAATATCTAGGTTTAAATATTGATGATTCTTTGTCAGGTGAATCTATTGTTAATTGTATTCTTACAAAGGTGAATTCACGTCTTAAGTTTTTGTATAGGCAAGCAAATGTTTTTAGATTTTAGGACTAGAAAATATTTATGCTCAGCACTAATACAATGTCACCTTGATTATGCATGTTCTTCTTGGTACCCGAGCCTGAACAAGTGTTTTTAAAAATAAGCTTCAAATTTGTCAAAATAAAAATTGTTAGATTTATACACGGTATGGGACCTAGAGATAGTGTCAATAATGTTATTCTTGCTAATATGTCTTTACTAAATGTAGAAAACAGAAATAAGCAATTACGTCTTAATCATGTTTTTAAAATTGTTAATAACCAGTGCCCTTCATATATGATAGAAAATTTTATACCTGTTCGAGACATTCATTCTTATTCAACTCGGTCGAATCAGTACAATTTTAGGGTCCCAAGAAGTTATGGGAAAGATAATGTAACTTTTTTTCAAAAAGCAATTAATGATTGGAATTCCTTACCAACATACATCAAAAAAATTAATAAGATAGAAAATTTCAAAAGCTCTGTGAAGGCCCATTTACTAGAACAGTTAGGTTAGTAAATCATAATTAAATCCACTAGTATGACTAGATATTGATCTCATTTTTATTGTTTTCTTTTTAGCAAAGTTAATAGAAATACTAAAGTTTGATATTTTACGTAAATGACATCTTCCAGTTTCCAAAGTTTTGTATTTTTCAATGTTTTTGTGTTTTATATTGTATATTATAGTAAGTATATATCCAAGGACCCCATTGGAAATAAGCCTTCGGGCTTTCATGGGCAATCCAAGGTTATTGCACACTACTCTATACATGTTTCCACTTACGTCCTTACATTTTATTAAACTAGTAAATTGATATCTAGTCATAGGAAAGAAAGAGTTTTAGATTTTGTTTTTAGTTATAATGTTTTATTATTTAATGAGCCGTCTGTGATATTTATGTCTGACAAACTTCCGAAATATTTTATTACAATTGTGTCATCAGTTTTATATAAAATGCTAAAGTGTTTGTTTTATGTATACATGTATGTGTGTTTTAACCTGAATAAATATCTATCTATCTATCTATGGACTCTTTCTAAGACATAAAATCTACATGCAATGGCAATCTACAATCTAATGTATTAGAATTACGGGTAGCGGTCCATAAAAAATAATGAAATATCTAAAAAGTGATAAGACTCATATTTTGTTCTGATATTAATGTATAAAAACACGAATGATCACAAATGGTACTCTCAAGAATTTCTACAGATTCGCTTTAATCGCCAAGATATACTCGCAAGATATCATACACAGAACTCGCACAATATGTACGACATACCAGTTCCATGCTAGACTTAGTGATAAGACTTCCCCTGTGCCCTTTTACTTTGTAGGCCTATTAATCAATAAATTGTATTTGATTTCCTTATCGGTTACTATTATTTCCTTTCATGTATTATTTATATAATAATTAAGTGATTATCCAGTCCGTGCTCTGCCTTGTGTCCTGTCCTTTTTTTGTTTGGGGTCCTTTTGGGCTCCCGGCCGCTGGTCCTTGCTGCTGGGTCGTGTGGGTGTTGCGTTTATTGAACGCCACCATTCCTTATTGATCTCATTTACCATATTTTAAGAAAATTACGATGAGTTGGATGTAAAATAGACATAGACAAAAAAGGTACTATATTGTAACTAAGAAACAGTAAAGTAACTTTAAATGTTATCACTTACTGTCGAACACATTTCCCGTTTAAAAATTTGCGATTTTAGTTCTCAAAATCCGAATGTGATACAATTCGTTTAACCTCCGTGATGATTGCTCAATAATTTCAATGTTGAATTTTATATCATTTTCGAATTATTTAAATTGATCATTTACAAAATCAAAGTGCTGAAGGCACTAAACTTATTTGGGTCTATAAAATGTGATTGTTTCTTTTCTATGGGGATACAGGTTAAATTTGTTTAATATACATTTAATTAATATCTTTACTGCTATAAACATTAAAATATGATACATAGAGGTCGAAATTACAGGCACCAGGATCGATATTGATGTGTTAACATGTCTGATAAAGTCAATAAAACCTGCTGGAGACAAGTCTGTGGTAACATAATACAAATGCATAATTAATATAGAATCCTTAATATAAATATAAATCCAAAACATTGCAAAAACCAAAACCATCGTTCTAATAAAGCTTATGTATTTTACTTTTTCATCATACATTTGTCTATTCTAATAAAATGAGAAAATAAATACACATGTCGTAATAGTATTTATATATAATACGCATTTTCTTTCATTTTGGAAAATATTTTATAAAAAATATTTAATTTATAAGGGAAAAAAGATACCTACGTATACACTATATGCTGTTTTTACCTTTGTAATAATAGGTTTTAAAAGAACTGAACACAATATCATTCTATTTTGACTTGTACATAGTAAATAATCATACAAAATGATAACAGATATGAATCAATACAATATTTTACAACACAAACTTGGAATACGTTACTAATATAAATATTTATTTATTTTGAATACAAGATGCAAGATGCTTATCACATGAAGAAAATATTGCGACCATCTTGATGTGAAATCATTTATTTCTAACATTAATTTAAGTCCGTGATTAAATTGATGTACATGTAATTGTATCTATTTAATGATTCACCGCACGGTTCACATGGAACAATTATTTACATTTTTTCAATACATTATATATTTTGAACAATGAATAAAAAAGTAAATGTGAAGTGTTTTTTCCCCTTGCAAACAAGTTTAAAGGCGCGTTTCCGTTCACGTTCGGAAGAGTAAATTAATATTTCAAACATTTCTTCTTCATCCCGTTGAAGATCACTCTTGAGCATTAACGAACTTGGTGACATTTCAAGGTGTTTAAAGCGTAATGTACAGATTAAAAGCAGATAGAAATATGACAGCTACATGTAGTGACATGCTGGTCTCGGACATCTCCAAGGTCGCAATAGCTGGTACAGCCAATGCGACCATCTTGTTCCAAAGGCTGTTGTTGTGTTTCTTATTAAATTGTTAATTATAGCAGTTATTTGTATGCTATTGCTCTGTTTTCACCACCTTTGTGCCCTCTATCATTTTATTCGGTAGTCTGCTGGGTGTCATGCTGGTGTACCTTGGTTGTGTCAGGGGTTGCGTTCTGTCTATGTCGCTTTGTCTCGTAGATTTTTGTTTTATGTTTTATCTATGGGTGTCCGTATGTGTGAATGATATCAGATTACCCTCTAGTACACGGGAATGCTGATGAGATTTCTACTAGTTTGTAGTTAATCTTATAGATTGGCCTTGGAAATGTTGCAAGTGAGGCATCCACTATATAGGTCTTGTAGCACGTACTGGTCCTGTAAATTGATTGTCTAACAGTCTGCACTATGGAATAAACTTCCTAGTAACATTGCCACCCTGCCCAACCTGAGTCAGTTCAAACGGGCAGTGGTGGGTTTGCAGTACTAGTCTTACTCCCAGTGTTTTTAAACTATTTTATCTCTTATCATCTTGTTTCACTATTAACATTTTAACCATGACTAGAATACATTTTCAGTCTCACCTTCCAAGCATGTCAATGTTTGGACTTTTCTTTTTTAGCTTTTCTCTTCACCTTTTACTAACAATTCGACGTGCACTAAATTCCTGCCTTTAACACTCGTAAGAGGGGTTGGCAGTATCCAGAGATAGACTATTGTTTGATTTCATTGCTTTAAGTTTCCACTTGTACTTTTTCTTATGATAAAACTGTATGATATATAATGCGATTATATAAAATAATTTTATGTAAAACTGTATTTGTATGCACGTGACCTTTCCTGACCTTCACGATTGTGCTACTTGGATTTGCTTACATAATTTTTTAGGAGATGATGAAGATACGCAATTTTATTCGTGCATTACTTATTATTTTTAGACTGGTGACCGGCTCTATTTTTACCGGTCTTATATTTCGGTTAAATGTCCGTATACCAGTCTCAATCTGACGCAAAGATTCCCGACATTTCCACACGTGCAAAGGCCGAGGGAAGGAAAAAACATCAAAAATGTTCTCAGCATCAAGGTTATCGACAAAAAGTTTGAAAAAAACCTTCGGGTCTCAACAAGCAAGAATGATCACACAATTATGCAGAAAGGTATTCTTATTTTTTATGCTTTAATTTGCTGTTACTTTGCATGTTAAAGTTAACTTTTTTGACCGTGAAAACAGAACGCCGGGTTTTGCAACATCTTGCCCTTTTCTGTTTTTGACAAATCATGGGTGCAAATTGCTTTGATTGCATGTTTATCATTTAATATTTTGAAGAAATAATAACTGCGCTAAGTTTTGTAATATAAGAAATGTAATTGGATAAATTGTGATTACATAAGGTACCCCACCCACTGGCAATACTTCTGTATTAGATAATTCTAAAACATGAACTGTAGAATATCGGACAATGTTTTTTCTCAAAAATTGTACTCGGATGTTAGAATTATTGTTATCTTTTCCGCAGTAGATAAAGTTGATAAAATATATAATACTAAAATATTGTTAATAAGTTTCAAAGTTACACATGCTGTCAATTCTTTGTATGTAATATAAGCTATTGTATGAAATTATAATGTTAATTTTTTTTACACTGGATACAGGTCGGAATTAATCTCATTACTGAAATTATTTTAAGTAGACAGTAGATACAAAGTTACTGCAGAATATCAGAAAGTTATGAGTGTTTTTATGAGTTTCTCATTAAACTTGAAATTCATTTACATTTTGCTAACCATGATGAAGAGCACCCATCATTTGTTAATTTGACATGTAACTGGTGTTTGTTTAATTTTGATCATTTACGATAAACTGAAAGACTTTGTTATTTTCTAAAAGGTCATTGTCAAGGTCACTTTAGGGATTGGTTGCAGTGTGATGAAACTGTGGTGTTTCTTTTTAAATTGTATCCAACACATGTGTTTGATCCTGTGACTACAGTAATGCATTCTAATTAAGTGTTGATCTAATCACATTCATTTGAAAAGGTATTTTTCCTGTCAACATTGTGGGCGACAATCATAAAGTAATGGTAATTTCATCCCTACATACTTAGGTTTAAGGTTAAGGACAGATACACAGTCTGTAAATTTCAGATCTTTAATCTTTAAATTTACATTTGTTGGTATCAAGTTTGATAAAATCAGAATTGAACTCTTAAATAAAATCTCTGCTTTAGATAAATTGTTCTATTGATTCAGGTTGAAATTAGGGATGGGTACCACCAATTTTTTTGTACCGCGGTATATCGCGGTATTTCACCTGTGTACCGCGGTATGTACCACGGTATTATGAAGACACTTTTTAATGTTTAACTTATGCAAACTAAGACCAACTGCCATAAGAATGTTTAAACATTTTGATAAAACACAATACATTTTAGAAAAACAGATTAATATCTTTATTTCTTTCAACTAACATCTGTCTACCTGACTGGAAAATAATAAATAAAAGAAAGAAGAAAATAACCTAAATGTCTTGATAATATTTTCAACAAAATCTAAAACAGAAAAATGGCAATTCCCATTGGATTTTTGACCGTGGTGAATTCGTCCATGACGGTATGAGCTGTTTACAAGTTGGGCTATGTCTAAATGCTTTACGTTTTGTTATTGTCGCCACTCGTCAATACGTCAACATGTTTACTAGCCTTAGACTGAGCACTAACATGGGTGTCCCCTTTTAATGCATTTAAATGAAGAATGATATATAGAAATTATAAAAATGTCGGCGGATGAAATGTATTTACACTACATAATAAATATGAAAAACAACCGGCAGACCTGGGGTAATCATTAATTGTAATCATTGATTTTGTAATTGATTACATGATTACACTGTAATCATCATGTAATTGATTACCTTGCCCAAAATTGATTATATTAATTGTAATTAATCAATTACAGCTTAAATTCAGACAGTAATCATGATTACATCTTGATTGACATTGATTACTTTCAGATTTAACAGAAAACTATTTAAATTCAAAGGTTGCCTTTATTTTACATGATACAGTTTAATTTTTGTTTTACATTTATACTGTAAAAATCCTCAATTAAGACCACTATTCAGACTGAAACAAAGTGAATAGTCTAATCATTGCTTACATACTTTAAGACCATGGTCTACTTTAGTCATTTTGTATGAATAAACAATATGTATATTAACATGTACCTACAAATACATTATAAAAGACACTATCGAAAAATGCTTTGATATTTAATCTGATAAAAAGAAAAAATATTTCTGAAGAAATTTAACTTTAATTTTACAGTATCACTTATTAAATGATGTACATAAATCAAATAAAAATTTAATTTTTCAAAAAATAAATGTGCTGAATGCAACAATGTACCTCTCTAAAATGGACCTTCTCACCTAATTTCATACAATAACAGTTTTTCACACCTTTTGAAATCACAGCCCTCAAGCAGATCATAGCAACAAATTTAAGATCTTGATAGATGTTGACTTAATTTAAATGTCTCATTAGTCACATTAAAATTGAAACAAAAATTTGGACTGAATATGGTGGTCTTAGAAGTGAATAAGCAGGTGGTTAAATCTGGATCATGAAACCATTGGCATAAAGAACCTTTTTAAAAATGGTCCTAAATGCGGGGGTGGTTTTAATTCTGGGGTGGTCTTATGTACATTCAATGTAATCAATTATCAATCAATTACTCTCTTAAAGTAATTGTAATTCAATTGATTACAGAGGCAAGTGTGAGTAATCAATCTTAATCAATTACTATAAAATCTGAAAGTAATTGTAATTTAATCAATTACTTATCAATGTAATCATCCCCAGGTCTGACAACCGGGAAACGATCCGACCTTTCCGCGACTAATTATTCGTTAGAGTATTATACTGTGCATTTACTGCTGCTCTAAAAATAGACTTGGAATTCCACTTTAATTTAGGTTGAAAGTTGAAACACAGATTACAGGGTAAATAACGTCCGAATCTTACAAAAATATTATGTAAAATTATATATATTAAAAAACCGGTATTCCTAGGGGTCGTACCGGTACGTACCGCGTCTGAACGAAACCGCGGTATACCGGTATACCGGTAATACCGCACATCCCTAGTTGAAATACTTACCATTATGATCACAATGAAATGCTGGACCTGAAAAGGTCTTAAGACACCAAGTATTATTTACTTAATAATTGTTATGAGTAAAATATTCAAAGCCAGAGATCTGCTGAGGATGCGATTTTGCGCCATTGGCGCAGGAAAATCGACAGCAAAGTGCCATGGGCGCATCTAAAATCTGTGCCAGACTTATAAGAAAACAAAACTGTCCGTTGGGTAATTTAGTCATACAGTCAAAACTGGTTCTAACAGCAACATGTAACCCATTCCAACTACTTAATATTTACAATGATTATCGATTACTGAAAAAAAAGTGTTGTTATTTTAAGAAATGCTGTAAGTTACAGTATAATCTGACAGGTGTAAAACTTGATCACCCCTAAGGTCACTCAAGTTCATGCAAGCTTTGGCTGATTTAGTGTAAAAAAAGATGTCTATTTAGTCATCAGAATATTTGACAGGGTGATTAACCAATCAGGGAAACATTGTGTGTTATTTTTTTCATGATCGGCAAGTGTCTTTGATGTATGCTGTCTACACAGAGGCATACAAGGGGCAATAAAATTTGTCAATATACAGTGGTTAGGGACATTTGGTGCAAAGTAGGAACAATTAAATGGATAATGCACATTATTAGACATTAGAAGTAAGAACCAGCAATTATGTAAATAAATTTGCATATCAAATTTTTGAGCAGCCATTTGAAAAAAATATTTTGCTGCAATCAATATTAGTTAGAAAGTTACCATGTAGACATAATTTTTTAATTATTCATACGTGAACCACTTGTCATAAAATATGATGTAGGTTTTATTACCAGGGAAATTCAATTATCTACAAACTTTTTAACAATTATTTAGGTCAATGTTTACTTATTTTCCCAAGGCCCATACTTTGGTAAAAATGGCCCATCATTTTCAGACCAAGTGGGCCCAGGGCCCAGTACTTTCAAATTCTTGGCAGATCTCTGCAAAGCTATACAATATTTTAACTCAAATAGGATTTAAAGTATGACTGGCAAATATATTTGCCATTGGGAATTGGCCACACCTATGGTGACACTAGTAAAAGGTTTGTTGCATTAGATGACTTAATTCCTTTATTATTAATGATAATGACTTATGTTAACCAGTATTAGAATACCTTTAAAGGAATTTTCAAAAGAGATAGAAATGTATTTTTAGCAAAATTTGTTGAGGATGCAAGGTTTTATATTTGGCCATTTCATAATTTAGAGAAGGCTATCACTGTTTTTGTTATTCACTGTACATGGATAGTAGCGAAACATTATTACATAATAAGGCTTAAAGTTGACAATCTCAATTAAGTGAAAAAGTATTTCGGAGTGTGTGTTAAAACTATTATAAGGTATAATTGAAATTTGGTGGCAAACAAATTTTTTTGAACAGACAGTTAGTTGGAGAAACTATTAGTATGCTTAATTGAAGAAATAATAAATAAAACTTAACTTCATATCTACAGATATTGGCCGGAGAAGTCAAATCAAGCAATGGAATTTACCTCCTCCCAACTAAAAGATACAAGTAAGTGCTTGTCTGCTTAAGTAATAATGTAAGATAACTAATTTTTGGAATTGATACGGTTTACCTCACAAAAAGTAATATTAATGTTTTTAAAGTTTAAAAATCTGAAATTCTTTTGAACTGAAAAGAATTTCTTTTAAAAGATGAATGCAATTTATGATACTAGTTATATAATCTTAACATAAACCCATGTAAATATTATTTTAGAATAGTTGTAATTGATGATCTGCAAAATTTAACAGTAAGTTACATTGCATTTTCTGTTTCTTGTTATAGAATTCTTATGAAATGAATTTTCTACCACATGTTTCAAGTAAATCACAAGATCGTATTGTTATTATTTTTTTTGTACAGGTCAGATAAGGTTAAAGGTGCTGTCATTGGTATTGATTTGGGAACAACAAATTCCTGCGTTGCTGTCATGGAAGGCAAGGTGGGAAAGGTACTTGAAAACTCAGAGGGTGCCAGAACAACACCTTCTGTAGTTGCATTTACCAAGGAGGGAGAGAGACTGGTTGGTATGCCAGCTAAAAGACAAGCTGTCACAAACCCAGAAAACACATTTCATGCAACCAAGCGTTTGATTGGTAGACGCTTCGAGGACAAAGAAGTAAAAAAGGACATGTAAGATTTCTTTTCATCTTTATGAAGTTAAATTTGAAAATGTTAAGAAAATAAAAGTTGTCTTTTCTGCATGTTTAAAATTCTTACCCTTTTATCATTAATGATTAATATTCCTTCAATCTTTCTGCATTTAACTATGCATGTTTCTGAATATTGACTTTTAAAGTGGCAATAGGACTTTGCATAGAGCATGGATACAATTTTTATTTCTCTTGCACAAGTATTAATAAGGTTATACAACTTTTATAGGGAAACAGTACCATATAAAATTATAAGAGCAAACAATGGAGATGCATGGGTAGAAGCTCACGGTAAAGCCTACTCTCCCAGCCAGATTGGAGCTTTTGTGTTAATGAAAATGAAAGAAACTGCAGGTAATTACAACACTTCCAACCTTTTTTAACTATAAAGAGAACAGATTCTCAGATTGAAATTTAGTTTTTTGCCCTGTTTGAATAGACACATGTTGGATATTGTTTCTTGTTATCATTTGTACAACCTTGTCTACCCTGGGGAACATCTTCTTTCTGCAAGAAAAAAACTTATTTTATAGTCCATACATGAGCAGAAAAGATCTTAAATGTATCTAAATACTCATACTTTCCTTGAATTAAGGAAAAGAAATTCAAGTTAATTGTATTTTCCTTAGTTCTGAATTTCATTCAGTAATTTGGTAGGATGCACAAGATCCATATCCTTTGCTCGAGAGTGTTCATGTATATCTAATGCACAAAAAGGGTCTTGTGTCTTGTCCATGACTGATTCCTTGTAGAATTTTAAAATTTACAAATATGCACTAGCTTGCAAGAATATGTATGTTACAAGACCCAGATCAGACAGGTAAAATTCTTTCCAGATTTAAATAGTTAAGCATGTTCTTGTTAACAAAGTCTAGAAATCTTGTTTAACAATTGACGAATATATGTTTATCCTTTCATGATTAATTATATATTTTTAGAAAACTACCTTGGCCAGTCAGCAAAAAATGCAGTTGTTACAGTACCTGCCTATTTTAATGATTCACAAAGACAAGCAACGAAAGATGCTGGTCAGATTGCTGGACTGAATGTGTTGAGAGTGATCAATGAACCTACAGCAGCTGCCCTTGCCTATGGAATGGACAAAATTGGAGATAAAGTGTAAGAGTCATTGATTTCCTAACTTCAAATTTGAGGTGGGGGGGTCTAATTGCTTAGGCCAAAAAAAAAAATATGTCTGGTTCAGGAAACATTGGTCCAAAAAATCAGGAGGGTAGGGATTTTTTTTTTTTTTTTTTTTTTATGGTTGGGAGAATGTCTTAATTTCCATAATTATATAGATGTGTTGCTTGCTTAACATACTTAAACAAAGATTGTAATCAATCAATGCATACACCATTTTGTAATAAACCATCAACATGTGATATATATTGTGTTGTTTATTTCTTGTATGTAGTCATTTAACCATGTAGCACCTGTATTCATACTAATTTGCTTTCTATTCTGCTTATTATGTACCCTTTCCCTTTGAATCACCCGCTGTACTATGCTAACCTGCATCTGACAGGTCTGACAATTAAAAGATCAAGGTCACCTCTGTAACAAGTTAATAATAATGCTGTATTATAAGCTTAGAGCATCTGACATGCACTATTCCGGGGACCAAAATAACACAGCTACTGTATATATAATTTTAATATTAAACATATTCAATGGTCTTCAGGGGGCGCAAGTCTATATATATAATTATGTGCCATTTATGTGCAACTGGTACCAACAGTTGCAGGGTTCTCACAGAGAAGTAGTCTTGAGACTCCCAAGCACAAAAAAAGTAGGAGTTCCAGATCACATTGAATATGTTAAGCCATCTTTGCTGCACTTATATGCAGTTGATAAATATGATACATGTATAGCAGAGTAAGGGGTTGGGGAGTCAGAGTTTGAACAGAGAAAAAGCTTATTCAGGAAAATGGTAATATGTCCCAAATGGAAAACAATGTACCATAAAAGTGATTGAAAAGATTTGAAATATAATTTAAAAAACATACATCATCAGACCTTACACCCCCCTCCCTTAAAAAAGAAAATATTCATTATTGTTACAAACACATACTGGTAATGGCTCCATCTCAACTATTAATAGTTAATTTAATTCCTAAACTATATTTTAAGTGTTATTACACACATTTTAACAAAACATATCTTCCTTTTGGCTACGATTTTTTTAATTATAAAAAGCGGCATCGCGAAAATATGTGACAATTGAAAATTTGTCTGTTTCCTGCAGAAACATTCACAATTCTACTTGTTGTTGATTTTGATCATAAGAGATTAAATATTTTTTGATTATTTTAAGATTGTTACTCATCGGCTATTTCAACAGGCATCGTAAAACAAAATTCTCACATTTGTAATTTTCGTACCCAAAAATTTTCGTACCGAAAATCAAAAAAAAAGTTTAGGGTCGGCGGTAAAAAAATAGGGTCGGTCGGGTTCCCTGAACCAGACATATTTTTTATTTTGGCCTTAAATGTATTATGGATCAGATTAAGAAGTATAAATAAGTTGATGCTAATTAATAATTTAAAGTTTGAGGACAAATGTTGGATAATAAATAGACATAAAGGTTTTTCCTTATCCGCCCAATAACTAAAGAATCCTTTGACCCACAATCTTCATATTTAGCATGGAGGTTAGTCATTACCATTACCTGTTATCTTTTTGTTGTATATGATCTGTATTTACAGAATAGCAGTGTATGATTTAGGAGGTGGAACATTTGATATTTCCGTGTTAGAGATACAGAAAGGTGTGTTTGAAGTGAAGTCAACAAATGGAGATACTTTCTTGGGTGGTGAAGATTTCGATAACAAATTAGTTAGCTTTTTAGCTGCAGAATTCAAAAAAGATGTAAGTTAATTTGGTCAAAGATAACTAGACTGTAACTATCGTATTGAGTTCCTTTTCAGTTAATGTGAAGGGAAACGGATAGTATTGACACTGATTTGGTAATGGTTGAAATCTTTTAAAGGAACATAATAGTAATGCATGAAAATAGACCCAAGGGTCTTAACTATATATTTAATAAAAGGTTCATTCAGTTTTCTTATGCAAAATAATCAAACCTGATTGCCAACTTTTACTATAAATAATTATAATGGAATAGACAATATTATGACTGATAGTGCGAGAAAATAAGGTATTTAAGTTCAAAATGCTGAAAGGTTTGCTATAAGACTCCAATGTTAACAGGTTTTCATAATAATGTTGCCAAATAGTGGTATAATGTCTTGATGGAATTATTCATCCATAGGGTTAGAAACTCAAGGGATAACTTTGAATTATATAGTATTAAAACCAAACCTGTAAGATGGATGACAAATTCTGATAATTTTGTTTGTTTGATATCAACAGCAAGGAATAGATGTAACAAAGGACAATATGGCAATGCAGAGATTGAGGGAAGCTGCTGAGAAGGCCAAGATAGAACTTTCTTCATCTTTACAGGTAAGGAATATTTGAAATATATATCTGTGATTTTAAGATTGCCAAAATGGGGTTTTAAATTCCTAAAACCTGAATTATACAAATATGATATAAAATGTTGATATAATTATGTAAAACATGGTTGTAATGCAGTGTTTTGTGTTTTTCAGTTGTTGATTAAGAAGAATCTTGTACAAATAGCATTTCATAGGTACTTTATCTTTTTGTAGACTGATATTAACTTGCCATACCTAACATTGGATGCTAGTGGACCTAAACACATGAACCTTAAGTTGACGAGAGCAAAGTTTGAATCCCTTGTACAGGATCTGGTCAAGCGTACCATTGGACCATGTGAAAAGGCAATGCAAGATGCAGAAGTGAAAAAGTCAGAAATAGGGGAGGTCCTTCTTGTAGGAGGAATGACAAGAATGCCAAAGGTGAGTTATTTGCCCTTGATTTTAGATGGATAGTAGGGGTTGACCAAAGTCAGTCAAATTCCTGTTTGTCTCAATGACATCTAGGGCCATAACTTTGGGATAAGAATGTAGAAAATGTTTCAGACATAACCATATCCGTGTGTTGTTTCTGGACAAGCAACCTACAACATGTGTAACATAATGAAAAAGCTTATTGTAAAAAAAATAAGATAAATATCTAGTCAGTAAATTTCAGATGATATGTGTAAAGCTGCAGAAATGACAACAGGATGATTTGCTGTATAATTTGTATTTTAGCTCTAGGAGCGTAACTGAATTATTTGGAAACTAAATTTATATTGAAACAATTTGATTAAAGATACAAGGTTTAATGTGTCGCCTTGAAAAGGTGACATATAGGGGTTATTTTTGTCGGCGGTGTCGGCGGCGTCTGTGTCGGCGTCCGCTAAAGCTTGTCCGGAGCATAACTCAGTCACTATAAGTCTGATTGACTTCAAACTTGGTATGCATGCTTCTTTCAATAACCCGAAGTGCAGTGCACAAGGACCGGTACTCTGCAGTTCTTATTTTTTGAGTTATTGCCCTTTGTTAATTTTCATACTTTAATTTTGTCCGGGCCATTTCTCTTCAACTAAAAAAGCTATGGACTTGAAACTTCATAGGATGATAGATCTCATTAAGAAGAAATGCAGTGCACAAGAACCAGTACTCTGCACTTCCTAATTTTTAAGTTATTGCCCTTTGTTAATTTTCATACTTTATTTTTGTCTGGGCCATTTCTCCTAATGTATAAAAGCCATGGACTTGAAACTTCATTGGATGATAGGTCTCATTTAGAAGAAGTGCAGTGCACAAGAACTGGTACTCTGCATTTCTTATTTTTGAGTTATTGCCCTTTGTTTATTTTCATACTTAATTTTTGTCAGGGCCATTTCTCTGAAAGTATAAAAATTATGGACTTGAAACTTCATAGGATGATAGATCTGATTAAAAAGAAGTGCAGTGCATAAGAACTGATACTCAGCATTTCTTATTTTTGAGTTATTGCCCTTTGTTGCTTTTCTTACTTTATTTTTGTCCTGGTCATTTTTCCTCAAGTATGAAAGCTATGGACTTGAAACATCATAGAATGATAGATCTTATTGACAAGAAGTGCAGTGTACAGAAACTGCTGCTCTGCACTTATTATTTTTTTAGTTATTGCCCTTTGTTATTTTTCATATTTCATTTTTGTCCTGGCCATTTCCCCTAAACTACATTGTTCACAAGGCGACACATCCGACTCGCGGAGTTCTAGTTGTTTTAGTACCAAAAGAAGTTGAAGATAATATTTACCAAAGTCAGTCAAATTCCTGTTTGTCAATGTGATATTCAGGGCCATAACTTTGGGATAACAATGTAGAACATCTACTAGAGATAATTGTTGACATTGGTTATTTCTGGACAAGTAAACTACTACAATTCTTGTGATTATTCTTCATATAAAATAGTTCTTCATATTTTCAGTACAATAGTATCATACATTATTGTGATTATGTTGAAATGAGTGATGCTCAGAAATATATATGTAAAAATGAAATAAATAAAATAATAACATGTACTCTCATTAGTGAACATTTATTAACTGTATAATTAGATATAAAAATCATACTACTAAAAATATATCATTTGTGCAAAACACATATAAGCTAAACACATGGAATAAGAGTTGACTGAGTTTTATTCAATATAAATAGTTTTATTATTAAATAGATGAATTTGATTGTCTCTGATGTTAAAGGTTATTTATTACAGGTACAACAGTTGGTGCAAGAGGTGTTTGGTAAGGCTCCAGGTAAATCTGTCAACCCTGATGAAGCTGTAGCCATGGGAGCAGCAATTCAGGTGAATAATTTAAATTAAGTTACAGTATTTTTTAGCCCGGCATTGAAACCTGGCTTATAACACTATTTTAGGTCATTTATCTTTAGACAGAAAAGTATCTGAACTGTCCCATAATGATGTTCATCCTTAACATTTTGGCATATTTTGTCAACTAGTATTTGTATAATTGTTGATCTATATCTCTGAATCTTTTATAATATCCGTCTATTTCTTTGAATAGTTTTATATCTATCTATATATGTGTACAGTCCTATAAATAATTTATATATTTTGACTTGCAGGGTGGAGTGTTGGCTGGAGATGTCACAGATGTATTATTGTTAGATGTTACACCATTGTCCCTGGGTATTGTCACGCTTGGAGGTGTTATGACCAAACTTATCCAGAGAAATACTACTATTCCAACTAAAAAAAGCCAGGTTAGATCACAAAAATTTTCCTTTCTATATAGTATCTTCAACTTGGTGATGATAAATTTATACTACTTAAAGAACAGGCATACATGTGTAATGTATGAAAATTTTTATATGGCAGTTTGTTGTCTTGTATCTTTTTTTTTATTTTTACAATGAAAGTTTTTCTAAACAAACATGGCATATGTAAGTTATTCAGTAAAACGTGTTTGCCAGCCTTAGAGTCTTTAGTGCTCCTCAACAATATTTCTATTCAGCTAAAATAATTTTCATTTTTCAGATGTTCTCCACAGCTGCAGATGGACAGACTTCAGTAGATATCCAAGTTTACCAAGGAGAAAGAGAAATGGCTGCCGACAACAAGCTTTTAGGACAGTTCCACCTGGTACACTTACTAACACATTGTCTCTTTAATGATAATTTCTCCCTAATTATCGTCTGTTAATGATAGTTTGTATTTGAACTCAAATTTTCCACACTTTAAAGAGAAATGTTTTTCTTGTAAACAGTATTATCAGGTGAGCTGTTACAGCTTTTATATACATCTTGTTATAGGTTAACTAGATATCGCAGAAGGCCTCTGGAGTGCCTTAGAGAAGCTTGTGTTTAATTAGAATCCTGTTTTCATGAATGACTTGCCACTTATTTTTCACCCTGCATAATAGAGGCATGTAAAAGGCCACTCTCTAATCAGAATTTTCTTTAAATCATGTAGTTTTCCAAAAAATGGTGAACTTGAACCAGTCTTTTTATTTCCCAAATTGGCAATTCTAGCGATAATCGTCCCAAAATCAAGAGAGTAAGGCCTCTTCCTATTTAAGTTAGAAGAACCACTGCTTGCAATGAAGTAAAATTCTCATATTAACAGAACTCTTCATTCTTGTATGAATAGTTGATACAAAAAGTTCTTTTGTTATAACTTATAAATGTAAATTTCAGGTTGGTATTCCTCCAGCACCTCGTGGTGTACCACAGATTGAGGTTACCTTTGATATTGATGCTAACGGTATTGTGAATGTGTCTGCCAGAGATAAGGGAACAGGAAAGGAACAACAGAGTAAGTATAAATTGGCAGTGATGGCCTAGTGGTTTAAGCAGTCATCGAATTTAGCACTGGCCCGGTGGCCCATGGCCAGTAAAAATCTTAAGAAAATTTAGTTAAATATATAGTAGAATAAATTCAAAACTGAAATTTGGGCTAGTAAATTCAAAATCTTATATTCATTGACTGTTTAAGGTGTATGACTCTCAACTGAGGGATGGTTGGTTCAAGCCCTACTTGGGCCACGGCTGTGATTGCTAATATGATACCAGTACTGGTTAGTGTCAGGAAGCTAAACTTCAGACTGGGTCAGACAATGCTTATAGCTGTTTACTTCACAATCATGCTTGAATAAATAATGTTAAAAAGAAAGAGTAAATACACAAGTAGAATTCTGGTAGTACTACTTGTATCTGTTACTGTAGGAAAACTTTGTTTCTGATTAAATTTCTTTTAGATTATTAAGTTACTGAAAAGTGTCTATCAGAGACATAATGCAAAATGTTACCTTTGTCTTCTAATCTCTAGTATGTCTTTATTTCTGCAAACATTCATGTTTATTAAAAATTGATCCAGCATTACACCATTGCATTCAAGGAAAATCCTGTGGATTTGATAAAGTCAGCGATCAGTAGGGTAAAACAATGAAGTAGGCATTTAGAGGTACACCAATGTGACAAAATGTACGAGATATTTATAGTCACTGACTGGGAACCCCAAGTAAAGTTTAAATTTAAAAAAACAAAACAAAAAAAGCCCCTACATTTCTGTAGAATTAGAATAAGCAGCTTTAATACATGACGGGATTCATGTTACTTCCCTTTTACCTGCTGGAACCAGACACAATGTTGCGATACATTTTGGTCTGAAAAGTGGCTACATTGAACTGAAACATCATAAAATTTGAAGCTGTTTAAATTTTTGACAGAGGTTTGATTTAATATGTTTGTTAACAACACTTTGATTTGTGCGTTACAGTTGTGATCCAGTCATCTGGAGGATTGTCCAAGGATGATATTGAGAACATGGTCAGAAATGCTGAGGCTCACGCCGCAGAGGATGCTAAGAAAAGGGTATACAGTTACCTTATTAAATATCATATACAGTCAACTATCGTTATCTCGACATCGCTTTTCTCGATATTTCGTTATCTCGATGAAATTTTGAAAGTCCCGATTTTCTTCCTTCTTTATCTATATTGGAAATATTTGTTTATCTCGATATTTCTATTTCGATATTTTCAGTATCTCGATGTAAAATTTCAGCCCCAACAGTTATTTTCACACTATTATCCTTTGTTTATCTCGACTTCGTCTGTTCCCTTCAGACGTGTGAAAAACACAATCTAGACGATAATTGCTCAATTAATAATGTGTGTCATAATGACGATTATGTTTGTAACAAGTTTAGCTGTTTTTATAAAAGTTAATCTATTTAGCGTGTTGATTGACTTTATAATGTCCACAATGAGTAAATTTTACATTCTTTTTAAATATTCGAACACTGTATCAATTCATTATGACTTTAAATGTAAATGAAAAAGTGAAAGTATAGAAACGCTATCGTTGCAATATTGTTTCACAACATCACCACCAAATCAATCAGCGGTGGATCAATCTCGAGAAAGACCCGATAAATAACCCGGGAGGATATCCGGATCAACCATATCCGATATCCGATTCACTATATTGGTGTATTACTGAGTAAACCTCACTATGTGTTTTTATCACAGACACCCGTATTTCCACTGGTAAACATCCGCTTATGTTACTTTGTTTAAATATTGACTAGGCCTATGAAAACAAGACATGGGGATATTATAGTTTATTTGACATAAGGTATGCACATGTCTTTTGTAAAAATCAGTTTCGCCTTGTTCTAACCCTATTAATATGTTTATCTCGACATTTCGTTATCTCGATATTTTTTGGACGGTCCCAATGACTTCGAGATAACGAGAGTCGACTGTACAGTAATACCTTGGTTAGTGAGGATAATAGTTTTTGCTGTAATTTCAGAAAATCAATTTAAACTGTTGTTCAACTCCAAACAATGAAGCCACAAAGACTTCTATTGTTCTGGCCTTATATTTTGCTAGTGTGACCCAATATGACTGTCAAGAAAAAATCTCTTAACTGGGATAGGAGTTATAATAATGACTTTAAAGCAGCACGCCTGCAGATTAATGCTTATTTTTATGAAAATTTTGAAAATTTAATTAAAAGTATAACATTGTAAAGTAACCAAGAGGAAGCAATTTGCACATTATCAATAGCATTTACATCCCACGTTAATTACAAAAAGAGGTCAAAATATCAAAAAATTGCCCTTACTGCATTAGTAATGCAGTAGAAATATAGTAACTCACAATGAAATATTAACCATTTATTGCTTATAACATGTATATTATTACTTGAATCTTGCATCTTTCTACTTTTCCTAAACTCTTAGTACATTTTTCACAAGTTTGAATTTATTGAAATATTTTCGCTCATCTGGAGGCATGCTGCTCTAAGAGTGCAATTCACATTCAGGAAAAGTAGTATAGATGAAATTGTATGCTTTGATGTATGTATTTTTCGTCATCAGTATATGTTCCTTTATTGATGGAACAGTGTTGATTAAAAATCTGAGCATACTAGTGTATAATTTACATCCATAATTTTAAAGAATGCTTTGCAGGTACTGATAAGGATCATATTGAAATTGGTTGAAAAAATTACTAATGCCCATAAAATTCTTCTGAAATTGTTATATGCAATAAAATTATTTCACATCTGGAAAATTTTCATTGTGGGCAAACCGATATAAATTTGATGATTAAGATTTATGTATCAATATTATATGGTATGGTATTTTAAATGGACCATGCTCCTTACCTTCAGGCAACTGAAACTTGGTTGTTTGACCATTAAAGCATGGTACATAAGAGTGCACTAAAGCTGTAAGTAAGGGGTGATTCTACATAGATAATAAATTTCTTTAAAATCTGCTGAATGAATTAATAAAACACCAAGATTTATATTAAGTTCTCAACTGATAAAATCAAAGGGGGTGGGGGATATTCAAATGGCACCCAACTGTCCTTCCCCTCCTGTCCTTTTCTTAAAATAGGTGGTTTTTTTCTGAAACTTGACAGGTATATATTTATACATGAATAGGAAAATGAGGATCAATGTGTGTAAGAAAATTTTGAGTTAAGGCTTTTGCTAAAGGCATTCATTGACTGTTTTAAGCCATATTTTAGTGGTTGGTTAAATTTTAAGCCTGTTGGACAAAGGTGAACAAGGTCAGAATACAAATAAAGCGTTAGAAGAGTTAGTATAGATCAAATTGTATGCTTTGATGTATGTATTTTTCGTCATCAGTATATGTTCCTTTATTGATGGAACAGTGTTGATTAAAAATCTGAGCATACTTGTTGTATAATTTTTACTCTATAATATTTGGTTTAAAAAAATCTTAATTACGATGAAAATTCCTTATTATACTCAAATTGCTGTTTCTAATTTTACCATATATTTCTAACTCAGCAAGCCCAGACATCAGATTAAGGGTGAGGGTGGAAATAATTAGTGTATGGTATAAATGAACCATGGTCCTTACCTTCAGGCAACAAAAAATTTGGTTGTTTGACTATTAAAGCATGGTACATAAGGATGCATGAAAGCTGTATGTAAGATGTGATTCTTACTCGAGCTTTATGCATTACATCGGATAAATTCCTTTAAATCGATTGAATGAATTTAATCAATGACACCTGGGTGTGTATTCATAAAGCTCATAATCAGAAAGATCCTGTAGTTCTTTTGACTTAAATGAATGCGGTATTAAGGTTTTTTATTTTTGGTGAAGTCAAGGATAATATTGAACATGCGTTTGAGCCACCATTTTGGTATTTTCATATCAAAGTAGAAAATACACCTATCATTTGATAAAAATGTACTAACAATGGGTAATAATAATAGATTTGAAAAATGCAAGAGCATCTTGGTGCTGTTGAAACAGAAAATATACTTGTTTAGACTGGTTTACATTAGTTTACAAATTACCTGTTTGTATGTTGTAGGAGACTATTGAAACTGTGAACCAGGCAGAGAGCAATATTCACCAAGTTGAGAGTAAAATGGACGAGTTCAAGGACCAACTACCAGCTGATGAGGTTTGTTTACTTCATTTATACTTTGAAAGTAACTGGCTTTTGATTCAAATCAAGAAAAACACATTCAGTGATTTGACTTTTCTTTTGAATTCCAATGTTCGCAATGAATCTCTTAAATAAATTTGTCAAACTTAACATTTGGAGTTTGCCTGCTCATGCCAATAGGTAGAGCCTCAGATTTAATACCAAGGGTGGATGATTGGATACTTGAGCCAGGTGATATATCTGTATGAAGATTTCGAACATTCAGTATAATTTTCATTTGTCTCTCACTTTCGGTTTGTATGTTAATCATGTTTGATTAGATGATCACGGGAGAAATTGGTAATGACTATTCTGTCATCGACCAAAGCAGGTCATGTTGACCGATTGTTGTGATACAGTGAAAAATGAGCTTAACTTGGGGTTAAAACAAAGAAAATAATCATCTGGACAAGACTGTTATATGTACTTACTAAAAAGGAAACCAAGTAGACTATGATCAGATAGCACAGATGTGTTGGCTGATCTTGGTCTGCTCTGTAGCATGGATAGAGTCAGTTGCTGTCAGCAAGCTAATGGTTAAATTCTTTGAAATTGACTGTCCATGATAAAAATTTGACTTTAAATGGATTAGTGAGTGATACCTGTCATGTATTATTTCTTTGCTTAGATTGAGAAGTTGACAACACTAATTGCTGAGGTCCGCCAGATGTTGGCAAACAAGGACAACGAGACTCCAGAGACAATTAAACAGAAATGTGATGAATTACAGAAAGCTTCCCTGTCTTTGTTTGAAAAGGCATACAAGAAGGTAAATACACTCCTGTTTGTCAATCTATAATAATCTATACACTTCTCATTTTTCATAGCACCATAATTTTTTCAATGGATTTTTGTATGTTTATACCTTTCATTGACTTTACATTGTGAATTATGGCCCTAGGGTCCAAAAATGGCCATGTTTGAATGGTGACCTAATTACTTATGTCAGCTTTGAAAAACTATGACCTTTTTCTATCAATGAATCTTGAGGGAAGTAACATAGGGCCCTCTCGTTCACTGTGTCAATCACATTGGGGATATTTATATGTGTAACTGATAAAAATGTTGTTCAAGTTCAATTAAACAGGTTATTTGAAATATAAGAATTGAAAAATAACCCATGGAAATCCAAGAATATTTTACATTTATGAGGTTTAGAAGGTATAAAATTGTTCATAGTTAAATATCAAAAAAGTTTTCAAAACATTGCAGTATCTTGATAACTCACCTTTTTGTGTGAAAACGGAAGTGAAGTAATAAAGAATAAAAAAACAACATTTGAATGAATATGTAAAGTACAAAATCTCCTTTTTGTGTGAGTTCTGAAGAGTAAGCATTATAAATTGTTGATGAGGATTAGTCAAAGAATTGTTTGTATTTCCAGATGGCAGCTGATCGTGAAGGATCGAGTGGTTCAAGTGAGTCGAGTGATTCAAGTGACCAGAGTCAAGACCAAGATAAAAAGGAGGAGAAAAACTGATGTAATACCAACTAAATGTTATCAATTGTCAATAATATGAAAGAATGTGAATATAAAACCTTTAAAAAACCAATCTCGGTATTTATAGTAGAACCGCCGAGATGAGAAAGCAAGAGACGACACTTTTTTGTTAACAATTATGTTGATTAATTCATTTATTGGATGTTATTTGCTTTGAATTTGTTCACTTGTTCTAAAATTTGTGGGAAGATGTTAGGTTTGACCTGTGAATCATCAAAAGAAGCATTTGATTCGAGTGTGAATGTATTTTGTGTAGATAAATGAATCATGTTAAAAGTGTTAATTTAACCATATTAAAAAGAGTATAAAATATCTGCATATTGAGTGAAATAGGGTAATAGTAAAATGTTGTCAACCATTTACAGGGGGAGGGGTGGGGGTGTAGTGCTTTGCATGAATGGGGGTTATGAGCAAAGTTCATTTGAACAATTTGTATTGGTCATTTTATCATGTTGCATCTGTAAATATGTCATACCATGTTGTAGATAGTTGAGCAATCAATCGTAATATAATTATACTAAAATTGGGCATTATTTATATCCAGTAAGATAGAGGGAAAATTACTTCTTGTGTAAAAATTATAGATCTAGAAAATAATATAACTTGGTCTTGCCATTCTTTGTTCAGAGAATTCTGACAAGTATAAGACAACTTTCTGATTTGCTGGATAGGGATAATGTCATTTATTATAGGCTTTCATTTATACAATTTAACGGCAACATTTCTTTTTCGTACATCATGAACTTTTATGGTCTATGTCAGTTATACACAAACTGAATATTCATAAGATAAATGTTAAGTGATATTTTCGTTTTCTGTTCCTTAGTACTTATTAGATCAGATGTAAACAGTGTGAAGTCAAGTGAATAAAAAATCTTTACTCTAGTGTATTTGTTTGGAGTTTTGTCATTCCCGGCAAGAAATTATACTTGGTATGAGTATTTTCAGAAAAAATGAGTTATTTTATAATTCAGTAACAACAGTTAAATTGTTGGAAATTGCATGGATATTTTTTTGGGATATATTTCTACATTGTCCTCTATTTTTCCTAACTTGATTCTTTCATGTGAGAGAACTAATAGCTGGCTCACGGAACATCGTTGGTTTTACTGTGGTGCCCGCTTGTGCCTGAAATAATGCATAGAGCAGTAAAGCTGTAGTCGCCATATGACATTTACTGTGTTGGTGCGACTTAAAGCAAACGTGCAATAGGGAATGCAGGTTCACGTCATAGTTTGTGTATTCTCTTATTAAAAATATGCATATTCAGTATGAATTTCTTAGATTTTTGATGAATTTCATTAATAATATTTAAACGCAGTTGAACATATATCTTTAAGATTCCTCATTATCTTTGAAAAACACTACTGGTCTGGCATTATTTTGATGACTGGGCATTCAGTGTTACACTGACAAATTGGTGAAAGAAAAGTAAGACAAGAAATAACATTTTAAGTTTTATTTAGAAAACGAAGGCAGCTAAAACGGGTGGTTTAATTGTCTATAGGTGGTTAGTAAATGTCTAAATCGTAACAACTAACAATAATAAGGAAATAAAAACATCTGTTGAAAACATTTTCAAAACATGCAAAAAGACGAAATGATATTACATATAGTAATAATATCTTGGTTTTTCCATAGATTTCACAGTTGACAAAGAATTCACTTGTTAATGAAATAAAATGTTTGCAAACTTCAATAGAGATACTCTAAACCTTGGCAAAAGTACTTAATTCCGACATACAACTGAACTTGCAACCTAATTTAGTGCACAGTAAAAGTTTGATTGTACCCAAGAATTTGATGAGGGATAACATCCTCCAATTTTAAAAGAAGTCTAGAAGATGACTTATTCAAATAATTCAATGTCGTAGCTAGAAAAAGGTATTTTAGTATTCATTTAATATTGGGGTTTTCCAAACATAGGAAGAAATGAACTAACTTGATGTATAAACAATGTATAATGGAAAAAAACCTTGCGATGGATTTGCTCTGACTTTGGAATAGTCCATTTGAATTTAGGGATATCAAAAGTCCATTTGAAGTTTTTGGGATGTCAAAATAAGGAAAATTGAATCACCAACAGTAATAGAGTATAGTATTGTCAAACTGCACTGTAAGCTGGTCCGGCCTTTATGCTATTGACAAAAATTAAGGCCTAATACTTCTATTTCCTGTAAGTATATTTAGTGAAATCAACTTGAAACTACATGTAAATTGCAATTGGTAATATGCCAGTATATTTGTACAAATGTATTCTATATTTTAAGATTATCTTGTGCAAGGCATTCTTGAAATATATTCAATAATTATTTTGTAATTATATTGATAAAAAATAAGTAGAAATAAAACATTTTAACAGTGTAATACTTTTAATCCATAAACTATTGAATTTAAATATGATATGACTTGCCCAGAATTTGGAACTATCTTGTTAGCTAAAGGGATTTCGATTTCCAAACATTAATTGAAGCAATCAAAGGCTTAAATACGAAAGACAAGAAAGGCCATTTAAACTTCATGAATTCACAGTTTTAACTTCTTGAATTCCAATTTTCAACATGTTTGTGGAATTCACGATTTCAGGTCAATTAATTCCCGATTTCAACTTCGTGAATTCACTATTACAATTTCACGATTTCAACTTCATAAATTCACGATTTCAACTTAAAGAATTCATCTTCATGAATTCACGATTTCAACTTTATGAATTCCCGATTTCATCTTCATGAATTCACGATTACAACTTGATAAATTCACAAATAAACTTCATGAATTCATTTCAACTTCAGGTATTCACGATTTCAACTTCATGAAGTTGAAATTGTGAAATTGTTCAGTTGAAATCTGGAATTCATGAAGATGAAATCGGGAATTCATGAAATTGAAATGTCCACAACGGTCTCGTACATACAGGCTCTTCATACAGCATGGATATGCAAGCTGGTCTAGCTCCCAGTTAATGCCACTGGCTGTCGTATATAAGTAACAATGCTAATACATATATTGTGTTTAGACTATATAAGAATGCCCTTAAGGAAATTAATACTGTAATAGAAGACATAGTTCTTTAGGATCACTTAACTCTTCAGTGTTTGATTTATTAAAACAGCAATAGACTAACTCCGGAATTTTGAATATTTGGGTTTTTCCCAGATAATCCGTAGGTTCAAACAAACTTTTACAGTTACAACTTCGAAAATAAGCCCAAGAGGTTGGCTAATCTATTGTGACATGTAGTGCACCATGAAGCTTTAATGGTAAAAGTTGGTTTGAACCTATAGACTAGCTGGTGAAAAAAACCCACATTTGCCGAGTTCCGGATAAGATCTATTGATAAACATGCAAATATTCTAACCCATGATAACAATATTTTCAGAAAAATTCAGATCATTGCTCAGTTAATTTGATTATAGCCTTTGTAAATGTCTGGTAAAATAAAGTACACTGTTCTTATACTAGTGTGTTGATTATATAAACAAAACTGAAACTGGTTGACATTTAACATATATTGTGCAATGTATATGCAAAAACCCGTTACCTAATCTATCTAGTATCTGACCTAACTATTCTAGTGACCTTTACCACACCATGATAAATTTTAACTACTGCCACTACTATATTACATGCCACTACTATATTACAGAACATTTTTTTTTTAGAACATTTCTTAGTTATAAAATTTTAGACTTGCATTGCAAATAAACAATGTATAATATTATATGGATGCATGAAACATGAACACGGCATAATTTAACCCTTAACCTGTGGAACCAGAAGTGATCAACCTTTGCCACCAGTATACAGCCAGGCCAGCCTGTACATCCATGCAGTCTGACCAAGCTCTATACTGTTGACAGCTTATTTTTTGTATTTTGATATTGAAATCTCTTGAACTTTGAATGGACTGAATATAGCAGGTTAAGAGTTAATGTAAATATTGCAGACTGAATAAAAGTGGTTATAAACATAACATCTAGACATTCATGAAAAAATTGCAGACCAAATTGAGTGGTAACAAAAATGTTACTTTGGTAACAAGTTTAATATTCATGTACAGGAAAATGGAAAACTGATATAAAGGTTGTCCTTAAATTAACTATTGTTACCTACTGTGACATTCATGAAATGAAAATGAAAAATAGCCAGTATCTGACCACTTGGGGGAAGGTAATCTTAACCAGTTTTATGGTCATTGTGACTGCAGAAGTTAAAATAAGCTTTAGCGCCTAAAATATTTCAGGATAATGCCCCTTGTCTTACAACTGCATCTTGTCATGATAACTTGGTGTGACACACTTCTTCAAAACAGACGATCTAATTATGGAAAATATTGTGGGGTAAAAGTGATCTAAGTGAAAGACATTCAAGTAAATACCGACAGTAACCTTACTGTTACTCTTGTAAAAGTTTGATGTATGAGTGAACCTGAAATATGCATTTTTAAACAATACAGTAATTTACATTATTTGTTCTACATTTGATCTACAGTTTTGTGATTCTAAATAATGATTAGAGTAATTATTGTTTCAAATGAAAACTTTTGTGGTTGTAGCTGAAAAACTTATGCTTAACCTTAACCAAGAAGCTATGAAACCATAACCCTGTGGTTCACTGTTGTGGCTATTTAACTTGTGCTCAACAATAACCCGAAAGGTCATAGTTGTGGCTATGAAACAAATGCTAAAACCATAAACAAGCGTTGAACTATTGTTAATGCCGGAACTCAGTTGAGCAGAATTATAGCCCTGATATCCTTCAAATGTTGAGCTAGAAATGTTTTGTGTATTTTGGTGAGAATCTATATAATGTGAGTATATAAATAAAAAATAAACACTTGTGCTACAATGAAAATTGTCAACAAGTGAACAGCAAGATCAAAGTACATGTATATGAAAACATTGATGGTATTAAACAAGTGGTTTTATATGAAACAACTGTCTAAAACAGCAAATACCTTTAAAGAAGCTCCACTGCGGTCCAAATGCATAAAAAACATAAAATTTCAATTTTTCTTTTTTACATACATTTTGTATTTAAAATGAAAAAGTATGCAAAAGATAATGAAGATGTATACTCAAAATGCTCAAATCTTTTTTTTTGTGATTACATGTATTTGCTTTAAATTTTTTTTTTCAATTTTGGGTAAATTGGCACAATAAAAATCATTATTCTCGAAAAAAGGAGTGAGCAAAATTAATGATGTGAAATTTTGCAGAAAAATTATTAGTACGGACCTATATCAAATGGTACACAACTTTTGAAAAGATATTTCTAGTCCCTTCGTGTCAAAAAACCTCAGTGGAGTCCCTTTAATTACTTTTAAATATGCATAAGGATGGTTTCAAACACAAGAAATGCCCTTACATTTTCTATCTTCGACTTCAACAATGTTTTGAAAAAAAATCACTTATTCTCTTATATTGTGCAAACAAATAGATTTATGTGTTCTCATAAAAAAATATTGAATAAAGAATAAGAAAGCAAAATATACAAAGAAAAAAATTCTTCTATAAATGTTGATACAACAAAAATAAATGAATTTTAGAAAAAAGTACCAATAAATAAAAAGGAACCATTTCTTTCACACAAAAAACAACAACAACAACAAAACAAATCAACAACCTTCTATGATATTGAAAAAAACTAAACTTTAAATTTAAACAACAAATACAACATTAAACAAGGTGGATATTTATGAAATTTGGTGGGAAAACAAATCTTAGATTGAATAATTATGTCAATCAAAAAAATCTACAAAGGTGCTGATTATGAAACAATAAAAATGAATAATTGAGCCTTGTCAGGACAAAACCAACATAGTGCGTTTGTGACCTGAGCATGGATCCAGACCAGCCTGCGCATCCGCGCAGTCTGATCAGGATCCATGCTGTGCGCTATCAGTTTCTCTACTTGTAATAGGGTTGGTAAGCGAACAGCATGGATCCTGATCAGACTGCGTGGATGTGCAGGCTGCTCTGGATCCATGCTGGTTTTGTAATGACGCGGCTCATATCAATTTTAAATTTAACATTTTAACATCATAAAAATGTGTTCAAGTTTTTTTCTCTTCTCATTTCGTAAATTTTTTCATAGAAATTTTTACAATGAATTTTCATTTTTCATCTTATAGAAAGAAAATGTAACATGACACATAGGAGATATATATTTTGAGCATGCTACTTATACTAAAGGGTTATATCACCAATGGGTTATGTCAACCAAGTTGATTAAGTAAAAGTTGTACTGTTGCAAGCTCTTCGGGCCAGTGGGAATACATCTTTTCACAATCAACCAAATAGTCAAAATATTTTGACATGCCAAAACTAGATTCTCAGATATTTTTGTTCTGGTTCAAAAGGACATATTGCCAAAACCAAAAATACCACCAAATATCAACATGTAGTACAATTAAGTGGACTATTAACCAAAGAGGTAAATACAATTCACTAAAATAGCACATTCATGTTCTATTCTTTGAATTATATAAGACATATTCTTTCCTTAAATGTAGGCATATAAATATTACATCAGTGTACATTAATTGTGACACAAGGACACGGACACAATTAAGATGTTGAAAATGGAAAATTGATTTTGATGTGTGTGATTCTTCAGTTATAAATAATCATAATTTTAAATATTACAATGTATCTATATCAGAAAACTTGTAGGTACAGGTATTTAACAAATACTGTGCATATGAATATTGTGTTTGTTCAGAGAAAAATATCAATCATTTTATCATAAATCAATATAATACATGTATACATATGAAAAACAATGAGTAAATGAACATTTGATGGCAGGCAAATAATGAAGGTACATAATGAGGTAAACATGTCATTTGTTTGCATGGCATAAAACTATAAAGTACCTGACTAAACACCATTCTTGATTTGAAAGTACAAGGCATAAATACCTTGGGTCTATATATATATATATATACATGTATATATATAAGGGTGTATGTGTAAAAAAACTATCAAAATAAAAATCTAAATGAATATAATTGTCGATTGACATGTCTGATCTCCCAGTTGTTTTTCTATATGTTGTTTAAGACTGTCATAGATTCGGTGAGACTTTCTTGGCATTTTCGCGCTTTGTAGCAAATTTGGCAATTTTTTATGGAGTGTTGGGTTGGCTTCAAAGTCACACTCGAGTACCGCCTTAGGACTTTCATCACTGACATTAGTAAAGGCAACTGTGACTTCTCTTGTAGCTATAGCCGAATCACTCATGCTGTTTCTCATACTAGGATGAGACAAAGCTTGTTTTGATCTACTGTACTTCAACAGAATCTTGTCGGCCTCGGAATTATCCACCACCCTTTTCTGACCAAGATCGAGATCTAAATTTTTCGTAGGCTTTCCTTCTGTCAGGTCAGTTCGTTTGATCCATACATCTTCCTCAGGATGAGTCCCTTTATGAGGACAATCTTCCGTCTCAGTACAAAAACATTTGAAAGAAGCATTGGATTCTCTTCTGCCATCACCTTCATCCAGTTTGTCTGCTTCAGGTGACATACATTCTTGTTTTGTTGCATTATTGTCTATAGGCAGTCTGTCTATATCAAAGACAATCTTCCCTGGTTCAGATAGATCCTTCTCTGTATCAGTGGATGATCCAATGTCAGATTGGACACCTTCCAATGCATCTGACTCATCTATAGAGTATTGAGGAGATTCTAGAATTTGTTTGGCACTTGTTGCTAGGATACCACAGCTATCCAGCACAACTTCCTTCTCAAGTTCACTGTCAGTCATCTCAAAAGATTCATCTAAAGACGAATCATCCTTACTAAATGTTCTTTTTCTATCGTTGTAAGATATTTTTGGAGCCTTCATTTTATTTTCATCATTTATGAACACATCTGGTGCATCGGCTGAGTCTGCCACTGTTTTACTCTTTTTGTAGAAGAGGCTGGTACCAGGCACTTTAGACAGCAGACGACTTGCATCATCCCTGCTGGTTTTCAGCTTACTGACCAAATTCAGATTAATATTCAATTTAGGAACAGATAACTCCACTCCTCCTCCGTTAGATTTGCTCAGTTTTGGCATCATTGACTTTACCATTGCAGCTTTTGCATTCACTAGTGACCCAATCTGCTTTCCTCTTTTGGAATCTTGAGATTTCTGTGAACTAGACTGGTTTTGATGAGAAATTTTATGGAAAGGAAGTGGTGACAGTCTGTGCCTCATTCTGGGAGAGGAAGTAGCTGATGTAGGCTGGGAAGGAATGTCTGTACTGGAAATGTCACGTGGCAGTTTGATCTGTAAAAGGGAGTTCTCCTGTAACTGCTGGTGTATGTCCATTACTTCTGGGTGAGGATTGGTCTTCCTCCTGGAAAATATACTTATTATATATATATATATATACAAATACATGTGTAGTAATAGAACCAATACAATGACATTTTCTCTCCTTACCGAAAACTTATATATTTATATCCTAAACTTAGAAATAAGATTACTGATTTCATGTGTAGTAATAGAACATGTACAATTCTCTGCTAATTGAAACTTTGAATGTATACTTAGTATTATCCTTAACCTAGAAATAAGATTCCTGATTTTAGTCTCAAATTACGTTTAATTTTTAATGATGGGCAACCAAAAACGCCAAAAGTGCCAATTTTAGGAATACTACATGTCGGTGGTAAAATGCAACATTTTTTATGCTTATGATTGGAAATGCTCTTTTACAGTTAATTACAAATTCATAATGAACAAACAATTGACTGATATTATACAATAAATTTCCATAACTTTAGGTTGATAAATGACCCACAGTGACAATATTCTATTTTGAAAACATTTTTCCATGTTCATTTTTTTACAAATTTATTATTTCCTTTTGTGAATAGATGTTAATAAAATTATTTGCTGAATTGTGATGCCAAAAAAATCCTGTTATATTTGGAGGTATTTTGAAACCAAACAATGACTTAAAAACACAAACTTTTTGCATCCTACATTCTAATTTTCAAAACCAACCATAATCATTGACTTACTTTTCTAGTTTAGTTTTCTCCTCTATTGTAAGCTCCAGTTTCAGAAGATTCTGAGCTGCAGCAAATGCTTCACAAACCACCCGAAGTTGTTCTGTAAAGAAAAAGTAAAGTAATTGAAGTATACCACTCTGAGTTGCTCTGTAATCTGTCTGTAATCTGAGTATACAGTTGAAGGGAGGTAACTTGTAAAAAACCTTATTGCAAGGCAAGTAATAGTTATCTACCCATTTTTTGCCCATTCTTAGCAGAATGACATGATAATGACATTTAAGTAAGTCTTGTTGTCATGACTACAAATACATCATACATGTACCTATATTCTGTGTACTTAAGCAGAAGCAAATTTCATAATTTAATCCTGGTAATGGTACAACTTTGAATTTATAAGCATCTGCAGATGTGTTCATACAGAAGTTATTATTACAGCTTCTTTTTTAAAATTCTAAGAGTAATGGCCAAAGACTGAACATAATATTGACATTTATTGATACTAGTATAACTTATGGTGGCAAATTTTTATGACTTGTTTTTTCTTATCAAGGAAAACATACAACCAACAAATACACTTACTTGTTGTCTTAATTCATTCTTAATTTAATCAAGTTCAAAATGTGAAGGAAGCTAGAAGCTTACAGACACATTCTCAAATCCATTTCTGGAACAGACCAGTATTGAGCAATGAATGTAAAGTATCTTGGTTTAGGAAACAACAGCTTTCCCCTAACAGGTTTGAACCCATGTCTTGTTGCATGACACTTCATCACATGCAAAATGGCAACAACATGCTAATATACCTAAAATGACTTGTATTTTTTCCCCTTCACAAGCATCACCCAACAAAAAGCTGTTTTTAGGGAGAAGAACATAAACAACAATCTCATTTTAGTCATATATCATGTTAAATTGTACATGTACTCCCATGAAAAAAACCATCATGATAATTTTGACAGCCATCCATGTAGCTGACAACTGACATTTATCTTTTTTCATATATAGGCACTATTTTTTTTAGTGAAATGTTGTTAACTTTAACTAAGGAACATTTATCAATGTAAAGTTTTATGGATATGACCACAAAAAATAAAAATTTTTATCACTACTACCTTATTTCAATATTGTTTTGCTATTAAAGTATTTCAAAAGTTATGTTAACTCTTACCCTAATGGAACAAAAGCATTTGCAATCAGTATAGAGCTACTTGTAAACCTGCTTCTAAGGCTAGTATGGTAAAAGACCCATCGTGAATGGCATGTCCAAAGTTCTTGTAAAATTTATTTAAAAAATAATTCTAAACAAGAACCAGTTGAACTGGGTGATGCTCCCCGAGAAGGTTCTGGACACAGGAAAGTATAAAAAAAAGGAACAAAGGGCAAAAACTCCAATATTAGGCAAGACAGAGTTATGTTTTTTGCACTGCACTTCTATTCAATGAGATCTATCTATCTATAAAGATTCCTGATGATATCAGAGTTATGTCACGGGTAAAATTCAAAGTGTAAAAATGAACAAAGGGCAATAACTCCAAAATTAGACCAGGCTTTGTTTAGGTTCTTTAAGCATTGCAGTTCTATCCAATTATATCTAGCTACCTACAAAGTTTCATGTTGATATCTCTAATAGTTTTAAAGTTATGTCCCGGACAAACGTCAAAAAGTAAAAATAAACAAAGGGCAATAACTTCAAAATAAGGCAAGGCAGAGTATTGATTCTTAAGCACTGCACTTCCAACCAATGAGACCTATCTATCTACAAAGTTTCATGTTGATACCTCTTATAGTTTTAGAGTAATGTCCCGCACAAAGTTCAAAGTGTCAAAATGAACAAAGGGCAATAACTCCAAAAGTAGGCAAGACAGTGTTACAGTTCTTGTGCAGTGCAAACCTACTTAATGAGATCTATCTACCTACAAAGTTTCATGTTGATACCTCTTATACTTTTAGAGTTATGTCCCGGACAAAGTTCAAAGTGTAAAAATAAACAAAGGGGAATAATTCAAAAATTAGGCAAGGCAGAGTTACGATTCTTGTGCACTGCACACCTACTCAATGAGATCTATCTTCCAACAAAGTTTCATGTTGATACCTCTTGTTGTTTCAAAGCTATGTCCCGGACAAGAAAAGGGGACGGACGGAAGGAAAGACAGATGGACAAGGCAGCGACTATATGTTTCCCCGGGGGGGGGTATAAAAAGTCAGTTTAAATCAGACATACCTTTAGCCTCGTCCTGAGTTTTTACTGGTATAACAAGGTTGTTGAATAATCGTGTAGCAGGTGCTCTAAAGGTGTGGAAAAACCCCTCATCCGCATAATGCCGGTAATATAATCTCATCACTATAGATTTTGTCCTAATTAAGGAATGTTCTGCACCTTTAAAGGGAAAATTAAACATGATTAAGTGTAAGTAAACATCTGTACATGAAACATATTGATTAAAGCTAGTTTAGTACTGACCTTGCAGTGAATGCCTTTAATGTAGGGGAGAGGCGGCCTAGTGCTTAAGGTGGCCTAGTGCTTAAGGTGGCCTATAGCGCAAGGTGGCCTAGTGCTTAAGGTGGCCTATAGATAAGGTGGCTTAGTGCTTAAAATGGCCTAGTGCTTTAGGTGACTACCTGTGACTACCTCTCTACCTAGCGATTGTGGATTTGAGATCTACTGGGCCGGGTCACAGCCATGATCGCTCATATGACACCAATGCAGTTTAGTTTCAGGTATATACTCATGACAAGTTCAAGTAAGCAACAAAAAAGTCATGCTTTTTTAATAATCATGGTTAAATAAATAATGTTTTAAAATAAAATGAAGCATATCCTTATGGAGAAAATAGCTCTTAAATGACTGTTAGTTATTATGAATTAAATTGAGCTAGAATGATTAAATTGAAAATTTAATGTTTTAATAAGTCTTATTGATAATAACATGATTAGCGAAAAGATCAGGTCAAATAGAAAATATCTTGATCAACATGAAAAGTTTCAACACTGTCATAGTCCTTTGCTTGAACATATTTATCGTGTCATGTATGAATTTAATACAAACAAGAAATATGTCCATAGAACAACAAAAAGTAAAAAAAGAAAAATGCTAATGGTTGAGAACTCTGACTATCAACCAAACAATCATCGACTGTCATTTGAATAACCATGTCCTCTCTTCTGACACAAATGCTGGTATGTAAAAAAAAACAAAAAAAACAACAAAAACTAAGAAATAAAAAGTCTGAATACAGACTTTATAGGGAATCAAACTGAATATTTACCAATTTCTAGTTTTTCGATGTCTTCTAGGAAAATCCGTTGATACTCATTAACCTGTTCCTCCTCATCGTCATACCTGTAAATGTATAATTAAAATAAGTTCTAATTGAGCCGCGCCATGACAAAACCAACTTAATGCGTTTGAGACCAGCATGGATCAAGACCTGCCTGCGCATCCACGCAATCTTATCAGGATCCATGCTGTTCGCTTACAAACCCTATTACAAGTAGAGATAGCGAACAGCATGGATCCAGACCAGACTGCGCGAATGCGCAGGCTGGTCTGGATCCATGCTGGTCGCAAACGCACTATGTTGGTTTTGTCGTGACGTGGCTCATATTAATTAAATACTTTCATTTCTCTTCCGTACAGTAGCCAGCCCATTTCCAACCACCGAATAAAAACCAAACATGGAAATACAACTTAACTAAAATTGTGTCAATAAAACATTGGTGCTCCTGTCCTATTATATGAAAAACAGAACAATTTTTATGACTTACTAAAATTTCAATATTTGACATTTGTGCTGTAACAAACCTGAGACTTGCTGCCACTAAACCTGCGCTCTGCACACAGTCTCATAATAGTTAACATTTCTGCTAGTTAGTTTCAATTTCCTTCCACTAGTTAAAAAAATACAGAGCGAAATGGATACACAATGACTTAGTGTGACGTTGACCTAAGGGAGGTCAAATCTGCACTCTGCCAGTCATCTCATTTTATGGTTAATATTTCTGCAAAGTAGTTTTAATTTCCTTGCATAAGTTCAAAACATATTTACTGAGTAGACAAATTACCAACAGGCAGACAGACAGATGACCTGAGGTGCACAACAATATATACCCTGAAATCGTTTTGGGCATGTTGAAACAATATGTGGATGACTAACCTACTTTTTGAGTTATCTTCCCAAGAAAGTGAGGCGAGTTTTTTGTTCTTTTCTCTATCGCCTTTGCAAAAAAAAGGGCATTAATAGTAACTTCCTAAAGCGTCTTTAAAAATATGAAATGTTTAAAATCTTACCAGGCAACATAGACAGCTCTCTGACTCAGCAACAATATGATATCTATTTCTTGTCTATCTGAGTCACCAGCACTGAAAACATATATAAATCAATAATTCATTATCTATCTAAATGATCAAGTAATGATAATTGTGAATGTTGTTAATATTAAAGTAAATCAAACACCTGCTGTAACAGAATATAATTTGCCTTTGTATCAATAGTTATCAAAAAATAGTAATTATTTTTATTCCAGCAATTTTTGATAACAAAACTACAAAGCTTTTCTCATCAGTATAGATATACACTCCACCTATCACAGTTTATTGACAAGACTTAGTGTACTTTCTGTTATTGCAAGAAAGGTTCAAGTTAAAATATATAGGCTCCCAAGTAAGGTACAGTGATTGGAAGTAGCACATGCTTGTATTATATCGCAATAGATTATATATACAAGTACAAATGTTGCTGCAAATTGCAGCAATTTTTGAGAAGCTCCGCACAAAAAAAATGCGCTCATTACAGATACCTTACCAAATTATTCCTATGCAAAGGTCATGTTATATTCAGATTAAGTACTATTGTAGCTTTTTTCCGAATGTTTTGTAAACCATTTTTTGCATAATTATACTTACCTTATGCACTGTCCATAATTAAAAAGAGGGGCCAGATATTTAATTTGAAAAAATGCTTTCACTGATGCCTACCTGGTAAGGACTGAATACAAAAAAGACTTACAAGACTGGTAAATGTTATTTGACATGACTGTACTGTGTTACTGTAGTCAGTAACATAAGATGATAAAAATATCAAAGTCTGATTTTTATTATTATAATTGTAACAAATATACAAATAGTAACAAAAGGGACTAATATTATAATATAGTAATATAACATGCATTTTTTTCATGTCAAATTAAAAAAAAAATGGTTTCTTTAAATACTGATAGAAGACTGTTACCTGAATTTTAGGCAGGTATGAGGAAAGTCACAAATTCACTAACATCATGTTCGTGCGAGTCAAAGATATAAAAGCTACTTGACATTGGTGATATATAAAAAGCTATTGTTAATTGATTTATTGGGAGATCAATATACTTTTTTGCTGAATTGCTTTAAAACCTTTCATTAAAAAAACCTCATGTTCAAACTGCAGATCAAAGTTTCAGTTGTTACCAATGATGCAATCTATCTATCTATAGTCTATGCTTAATGAGGGTCCATCCGCCCGTACGGGCACAAAATGCAGCTTTCGCTGTCGAGTACGGACCCCGGACATGTCACCAAGCACAAAACTTGATAATTTACCTCCGTGCATTACCAATGATGCTGTGTGTGTGTGTGTGCATGCATGCGTGCGTGTGTGTGTTTGCGTTTATTTATACTCGCCACCGGTTGCCCATATGGGCGAGTCCTCCAGACGAGTATTAGTCATTTTAGATTTTTGGAGGATAGTGCAATTACAGATACAGAAAGATGTTCCAATTCCAAGCTTCTCCTGGTTCTTTAGCGTGCCAAAAGTTTAAGCACCCATACACGGGACCTCGATTTTAATTCTCATCCGAAAGACTGATTAGTACTTTTAGTTAGCCAGCCCGGGATCGAACCCGCAATGTCGAGATTACAAAGTCTCGCGCTCTCTCGATTGAGCTAAGCCGGGTTGGCTACCCATATAAGCTCTAAATGCAGCTCTTTTGCTACATCAGAAATGTAACCTTATATACTAAAGTTATAATTATTTCAAAACAACCAATACATCAACATGTTATTATTAAACATTTAGTTTCATACATATAAATTAAGAATAATTATCAAAAGCAAAATTATTAAAGTCTTATGCCTGAAATCTTCTTTATATTGACAAATTCAATCACTAATAGTTAATACGTGATATGCTGTGTGTAAATGTAATTCAAAATATAACAAATTATAATTTCATGTACTACTAAAAAAGGGAAATAACAAATTTATAACCGAAGTGTCAAAAATCAGAACATTTATAGCTATCAAATTCATGTACAGCAGAACTGCTTTCCGGTTCACATTCATTAATATGACATGCTGCGAATCACCAAAGGGGGAACCAATATAATAATCGAAAGGAGTTATTGAAACAGAATTTATTTTTAGCTGAAAATCAAAGGGATTAATTGATAAAATCCGGGCCCATGGACAAAAAAAATAGTAAACACAAATAGCTCCGTGCCTGTGGGCGCGGAGCAATAAACTTGTGAAAAGGGTTTATCTAATGTGAACTAAGCAGTATATTACCCAGCTTGATACAAATTGCTGAAGTATCAGCTTCAAGTGGGTGATAAAATCTGCTTGATTTATTACTGAAGAAAAAGAGAGAATGTATTCATTCACTTGAATCATTCATATCATTTTTTGATAAATAACTTTTCTAGATTTTTTTCACCTTCAGTATTGATAAGTTTGCAAAGAGTAATGACCTTGTAACATTATATCGTAAAAATAAAGAATTCACATTTGCATAAAAAGCTTAGATGTCCTACTGTGTGATGACGTGCTAAAAAACATTTTAAAATTTGCCTGAAACTTGAGAACTGAGAAATTGACTTAAATTATCGTAAAAAGTACATTGATATAAAGTAAAGTGTCCTACAAAACATGGAATCAATGTCTCCTTTATACTGAAATGAGTTACCAACCATCCTTTCTTAAAAGATTAATAACTATCATTAATATTTTAATGTATAGTTTATTTAATTTATGACATTTACACCAAATGTTTCATATATCTATGTCAGTCTCTAAAAGATAAAGTACTTAAAGTCTTTATGTCAGACTTTGTAAAAAGTATAAGAATCAAAATTCTCATTCAAAACAGGATTATAATTTGTGAATCGTGTCATCCAACTCATAACCAGTTAAGCCCGTGATACCTCTAGATCATTCGCCCACATATTTGAATTATAAAATGAGCCGCGTCACGACAAAACCAACATAATGGGTTTGCGACCAGCATGGATCCAGACCAGCCTGTGCATCCGCGCAGTCTGATCAGGATCCATGCTGTTCGCTATCAGTTCTCTACTTGTTATAGTCTGTAAGCGAAAAAGCATGGATCCTGATCATGATGCGCGGATGCGCAGGCTGGTCCGGATCTATGCTGGTCGCAAACCCATTATGTTGGTTTTGTCGTGACGCGGCTCATATTAATATAAAACTTCCAGTATAATACCTGAGAGCTGGACAGGCATACAGGGACTAATCTATATGCATCTGGGACATAAAAACAATAACATAACAGATAAATATAGAGAAGGAGAAATTATTACCTGAAAAATAATGTGTATCTATAATTATCTATTTAATTTTAATATAATATACTCATTTAATTATGTCTAATTTGAGGTTTTTTAAATTTGTGCAATAAAAATATATAAAATTATCCTGTTAAGTACATAATCAATTTTAATAAAATTTTAAGCTAAATGCCATTTAAATTGTAGTGAAAGAGAGCAATGGTCTAGCTATGAAAGAGTTTGCCACTCAACCCAGGAATTGTGGGTACAAGCCCTACTCAGGTCACAACCATGTTACCTCAAACACAACCAGTACTGGTTAGTTCCAGGAAGCTGACCTAGGAGATGTTCAATAATTACAACAACACAAAATAATAAAAAAATAATGTTTGAAATAATTGATCAAAACCACTATATGTAATCTTATGAGTCTAGATTATGTATCCCTAAACTGGTACATATATTTGGTTGTTACGGAAATCATAAAAATTTCACTGAACTAAAGTTTGCGTTTTTTGACCAAACAAAAATGATCTTTACGCTGAATCAGCAGCTTTGCACTCCATGACATGACCAACTCATGTCCTCAATCCAGACCAAATGTCAAATTTAACCATCTCCCATGAGAGAAGTCCCTTTTATCATTACAGCAATTGTTTAAACCTCATCATGCATGCAGGCCGTCTATAATTTGTCAATGAGACTGCTATAGCTTATATCATATATATAAATATATGAGCAGATAATGTATTTGTCTCATGATGATTTATGTACAGTCTTCATTAATAGCCCCATTATGCAGTCTAATGCAGCTTTTAGTTTATTAATTAATTTACAGTAACTGACAAATTCAGACACAGTGAACATTTACGATACTTTGACATTATCATAGCAATATTATTACAAGATTAAATTGGCACACTGCCATATGAATAATTTTTGTTTCTCAAAAAAGACAAAAATCAATTTTGAGAAAATAATTACCAAATTAAGCAAATAGATATTCATAGCACATGTGTTACTTTTCATGTTTTATGAAAATATAGACTGGCATGAATTTTGACAAAAAAACAGGTAGTTTCTGTAAATAAAGGGTCTTACACTAACTATTTGAGCCGCGTCACGACAAAACCAACATAATGCGTTTGCGACCAGCATGGATCCAGACCAGCCTGCGCATCCGCGCAGTCTGATCAGGATCCATGCTGTTCGCTATCAGTTTCTCTACTTGTTATAGGGTTTGTAAGCCAACAGCATGGATCCTGATCAGACTGCGCAGATGCGCAGGCTGGTCTGGATCCATGCTGGTCGCAAATGCACTATGTTGGTTTTGTCATGGTGCGGCTCATTTATAATAATTTTTTCCTGATGTTGGTGTGTACCCTGGATACCAGAATGTACCATATGAGCGAGCATTTTTCCGGACATTATATTTGTCTGGTTGTTTATGCCAAGTTCATCACACTTTTGGTCATATCATGGCAGTTGGTCAATCTATAACTGGTTTTCCTAGATAACTATAACCGGGAATCACCTATATCTCTACAGGGGACAAACTACTAATCCCACATGAATTCTGAATCTGCAGTAAGAGACAAATGACCATTGGACACATTGTTTAAGAGATTAATTGTCTTGGAGAAATCCCCGTCCCCAGGAGGATCAAACCAGTGACCCCTTGATTACAAATATGTTGCTCTCATTATTGAGCTATGACCAAAAATGTATTAAAATTGGCATAAAAACCAGAAGAACAAACTAACAAAACTATTGAGCTAAGTGGTTGACTGTATATTTTTAGGATTTATAAACATGAAACTGAAGGCCTGCTGACATAAGGGCCTTCAAGTAAAGACAGATTATAAAAACCCTTTCAATAACAACCACAATTTATTCTCAATACTACAATAATAGTAATACCAATTTTAAAATAAAAATACCAAAAACTTTTCTTCCCATTAAAAAAAAACGAGAGGGCCAAGAGGGCCCTGGATTGCTCACCTGAGAAATAGGTCAAAGTGTAGCCCCTTTTCACCCCAGAAGCTAAAAAAGGTGCATAAATAACAAAATCACTTTCACTTAAAACAATTTCGGTGCAAATAATACCTGCTTTGACAGACCACTTGTCAACAAAGACCAATTTTCTATTTCAAATAACAGGTTTATTTTTTTGTTATAAATGAATTATATGATAAATAACAGCACTTATGATATATTAATTTTTATTTGTTGATTGTTGCATTATTTTTTTTATATATTTTACATGCATTTGATATTAATAGAACTAGTAACATGTACCAGAGATTTCTTGCCATATATAATATAATATGTTATCATATTGCTATTTAAGTTTATGCACTAAGGAGAGATGTTTAACATTACATTCCTTTGTAAAATGGACTCACACTGCTTTGAATTTTAAACAGTCCATTAAGGAAATATTAAGCTACCAACATTATCAAGTCTTGATATGTGCATTGATATACTTGTTCGCTATCCTTTATAACATTGGCAAAGGAAATAACAGTGCCAAAAGTGTTATATAATTTGCCAACCATTTTAACATTAAAGTAATCATGACAATCCTGTGTTACAAATATAAAACAGGTCCGTCTACATCACCTTGCAACATGACTAGACTATAATGTCTACTAGTATATTCTAGAACATAATAATTTCAACCTTAAAAATCCTAAAAGTTAGCAATGGACAGCCCATAATTCCTTATACAATAATATGAGGTAAAAGGTAAGAAAACTTACACAGGGTCAGCATTTATCAGCCCCCAGCCTCCAAGACATTCTTCTGGTTCCACAATCAACATCTTCTTACAATCTTCGATAAGTTGTTTCACATTTTCTTCCTTTTCTAACAGTTCTCTGACATCATCCTCTGGTACACGCAGCCCGCCTGACAAGATATCCTCAGACACAGGTTTGCCGTGGCTAACATCTATAGCTGCTTGTCTGTATGTGTCCTTGAAACGCAGATAGTACCTGTAACAATAAATATAAGGTAGGACTTTTCTGTATAAAATTATCTCCAGAATTCCTAAAGTGCAAATGATTTTCCCATGCCACCAGTTTATTTACATGTAGTAAGGCCAGTATATAGATCTATATATGTGCACCACAAGCATATCCTTTACTTTCGACAGCTATTTCAATATGAAAATATATAAGGTGAGTACCAAATTTAAACCGTAGAAAGCCCTTACACAAATTCAGCATAGAAAGGGTTTAAACATCCTTCCATCTTATCTGAACATTTTGTTTTTGTTAGGTTGAGTTAAGTGACACCTATACTAAAATGGTCATGTGCTATCTCTTAAGCTTTACTAGAGGAGGAGAGGGAAGAACTATAATGCCCATAATTATGTGCATTATTTCAGGTACGACAAAAGTATTAACTTGAGTAGAGCATAGCATGTCTTGTCTTGATCATTGAGTCTAGCACTTTTTAAGTGTTGAGAATTGAGTACCGCTCAAGCCGGTGCTAGGGGGTGTGAGGGATGTTGCACTTACTGGCTGCAACAGATTCTACATATGTGACGAGTGCAGACTAGGAAAAGCCGGAACATCTTTGCTCTCTGATCATGGTCTGCACTGTTCACTATTCTGGCAGTAAATATTTTGAAATTCTTCTTAAAAATGATGAGTTATTTCATATAGATCCATTTGAGATATTTAGCATGGTAAGGTTTAATTTAGCTAAGCTGGGTCACAGTATATAAATCTATGTGGTGGCATGGCCAAGTAGTAAAAGGAACTCCACTTTTTTTACATGACAGGAATGGATAATTTTTTCTCCGAGATTACTATTCCATTTAACGGAGGTTTAGACAAATAACTAATCTTGCGTGCAACATTTCAGATCATTCACTCACTCTGTTTTTTCTAGAATAACTAACGATTCTAATGTAACAAATGACCCAAATCGGACAAAGAACATCAAAAAGTTACTATTTTCAATTTACTTCTGGGTATATTTCTCAATAATCTTTTGCATATCTTTCTGTTTTAAGTATCCCAACTGATCTATGTAAGAAATAGGCTGTTGGACATCAGTGGAGTTCCCTTAACAAATAGGACTAGGATTATCTAAGGATCGCTGTCCGTGTGGGTTGAAAGGGGTGAACCGTTGTTTCCTTTAGCAATAAACTGTACACTTATTACTCTGGACTGGTTTCATGAATGGATTCAGTGTCTATAATACATGTATAAACTTCCTACACAATCTAACTAAAATATATTCTGTATGAACCAAATCATGTGAAAGTACTGACCTGTTGGCAGAGTTTACACCATCTTTCATCATTCCAGTAATCTTCCTCTCACCTGTCCTTGTAAAATCTCCCTGAAAATAAATCATATCATAGTAAAAAGGTTTAAATAGTTCATTGTACAGATGGACCCTGTGAAATCAGTTCACCTCTAATCTGAATCCACCTTTGAACTTGTTACACCGTTAAATTGATCCTGGTTTATTTCTACATATTATTTGCCACTCTAATCTACTGGATACCACACTTAAAAAATTATGGCTCAAATATCAACAGTTTAAAGTTACATCTGCAATCTGATATTCTGAAATTTAGGGAAATTGTATCATCATCCATTTCACAAGCACTTAAAGAATGCAAGTGCCCTACATATCAAAATATTATTGTTTGCAAGTTCTGATGCTTCTAGGAGGTCTGCGTATTAAATAACATGAACTTTTTAAATCAATCCACAGTTGGAGTGTAATAGATGGTTGGGTCTTTTTCCCCACAGAAATAAAACAAGATTGCATTTGAGAAAAATGCTATGCCACCGCATTAATACAACACTAAATAGTAGTGTAGGAACATATTTTTTTTGTTTCTATACAATTTTGAAGAGTGTCATAATGCATAGATCCCTGACCTATCTAATTTTTTATATCAGATTAGTGGTTAAATCTGTTGTTAACTCATTAAAAGATCAGAGTAGGAATATATCAATGCACTCGAGTCTAGTAAATTTGGTGGTGAAAGTCATATTTCATACAGCCTAAATTTCATGACTACATCAAAGGACAACACAGTAAGACACTTTGTAAAAATCTAGGTCAGCTGAAATCAAAGTTCACTTTACATCTTAATCCGTGCACATGGTTTAAATTTCATAGCTGTACATCAAAGGACAAGAAAGTAGGTAACATCATCAAAATCTAGGTCACCTGATATCAAAGTTCAATTTTACAACTAAAACTGTGCACATGGTCAAAATTTCATTGCTGTACATCAAAGGACAAGAAAGAAGGTCACTGTCCCCTTGGGCAAGGTAAAATTTTGGACCCAAGGATTTAATTCAAAACAATCTTGATACAGTCTACCAAACAACATTTCAAGTCAAATATATAAGTTGTACATGTAGCTTTCTCCCATTCAGAAAACATTTGTTTTATTTTCTGTTTTTACTATGTGTACATAATGAGAATCACTGCCCCCGGGCAGTGCCAATTTTGACACCAGGGGAAAAATTTGAACAACTTTGGTAGAGGACCTATAGCTCTATGCCTTGTACCTTCAGACAAAAATATTTTTTATTCTTTTACAAAATGTACATAATGAAAATCAATGACCTCGGGGGCGGGACCAATTTTGACCCCAGGGCTATAATTTGAACAATCTTGGTAAAGGTTCACTTCGCAAAGTCTCATGCCATATATTTAACCTCTAGCCTTTGTCAATTCAGAGAAGAAGATTTTTCAATTCAGAGAAGAAGATTTTTCAAGTTTTTACTTTATACATAAAAGGAAAACTATCGCCTCTGGGGCAGGGCAATTTAAACACTAGGGGCATTATTAAAACAACTTTAGTAGAGGACCCATAGATGATATTATATACCAAATATTAAAGCTCTAAGCCTTGTACCTTTAGACAAGAAGATTTTTTAATTTTTTACTATATGTACATAGTGAAAATCAATGACCCCTGGGGGTGGGGCCAGGCCAATTTTGACCCCAGGGCTATAATCTTGCTAGAGGTTCACTACATAATGTTTCATGAAAAATATCTTAACTCTAGCCTTTGTAAATTTTGAGAAGATGATTATTTTAAGTTTTTACTATATACATATAAGGAAAACCTATGGCCCCCTGGGCGGGGCTTATTTTGACACTAGAGTCAAAATTTGAATAACTTTGGTAGAGTTCTTAAAGATAATATCATTTAACAAATATTAAAGCTCTAAGACGCTAAGATTTTTTTATTTTTTACTGTATGTATATATTGAAAATTAATGACCCCCGGGGCGGGGACAATTTTCACCCCAGGGCTATAATTTGAACAATCTTGCTAGAAGTTCACTTCACAATGTTTCATGCAAAATATCTAACCTCTAGCATTTGTCAATTGCTAGAAGAATTTTTTTAAAGTTTTTACTATATACATATAAGGAAAACCTATGGCCCCCTGGGCGGGGCTTGTTTTGACACTAGAGGCAAAATTTGAATAACTTTGGTAGAGTACTTAAAGATAATATCATTTAACAAATATTAAAGCTCTAGGCCTTGTACCTTCAGACACTAAGATTTTTTTATTTTTTACTATATGTACATATTGAAAATTAATGACCCCCTGGGGCGGGGACAATTTTAACACCAGGGCTATAATTTGAACAATCTTGCTAGAAGTTCACTTCACAATGTTTCATGCAAAATATCTAACCTCTAGCATTTGTCAATTGCTAGAAGATTTTTTTACTATATACATATAAGGAAAACCAATGACCCCCGGGGCAGGGCCGATTTTGACCCCAGGGCTATAATTTGAACAATTTGGGTCAAGGTCTACCAGACAATGCCTTATGCAAAATATCTAAGCTCTAGGCCTTTTTGGTCTTTACAAGAAGGTTTTAAGTTTTTACTATAAGTACATATAGTGAAAATCAATGACCCCCGGGACGGGGCTTATTTTGACACCAGGGCTATAATTTGAACAATCTTGGTAGATTTCTACCAGACAATGCCTTATGCAAAATATCTAAGCTCTAGGCCTTTAGGGTCTTTACTAGAAGGTATTTTATGTTTTTACTATATGTATATATAGTGAAAATCAATGACCCCCGGGGCGGGCCGTTTTTGACCCCAGGGCTATAATTTGAACAACCTTTAGGCCTTTTGGATCTTTACAAGAAGATTTTTTAAATTTATTCTTATAATTTCTTTTGGTTGCCATGGCAACCAGATTTCTGCATGGAATGAAATTCTTTGAACAACTTTGGAAGCCCTTCACCCAAGGATCAATCCTGCCAAGTTTGGTTGAAATTGGACAAGTGGTTTTTCACAAGAAGATTTTTTAAGTTGACTATATAATCTATATAACACACACACACACAAACAAACAAACACACACACATACATACACACAGGTGAATCGCTATATGCCACCGCATCGCAGATGCTGCGGTGGCATAAAAATTAATAGGGAAATTAGACAGAAACATCTCATATAAATTCATGTGACCAGTGCAGATCAAGATCATGGTATGTACTGTACACTAGTCACTAAGTAGTTATTTTGATATTTTCTCTAAAAATGATAAATGATTTTGTCCCAATTGAAACATGAACAATTCCATTTATGATTTTAAGCAGGATAATGGAAATTAATTTAATTTCACAGAATGATGTATAATGTCATCTTTTTGAAATACATTGTTGCCTTTTAAATCTGTTTTTCTTTTCACAAAATGGTTTTAATAATTGACCAACTAAGGTGTAAAGTTAGTTAAAATTGGCCCATCTTTTTCCTTTTCTTTCCAAGTGTCTAAAAATTGCATCTCTCAAAACTACCATCCTCTATCAAAGAACTCATTTATCATTTTAAATACATATACAATTGACTTGCCCTTTCAACAAAGAAACTACATCAAATCAACATTTATTCTTTAAGATAAACAAGAGCGATCAGTAATCACATGTGTCGCCTCATGATGGCCAATTTCATGTTGGGACAAAGTTTGTGACAGACGGACAGACAGTGCACAACTAGACTTGGTACTGATCATTCCTGTAAAGTTTGGATAAAATTGCACCAGTAGTTTATGAGGAGTAGTCCGGACAAGCTTTTGCGTATCTGGCAACACACAGAAAAAAACACCTTTTTATCAAAGGGCCATAACTCGGCTAAAAATCATTCAACCGGAAAACCCGTACAATATGCGCAAGGACTTGAGCTACAGATCAATCCTGTAAAGTTTCATTGAAATTGCTTTAGTGGTATAAGAGAAGTAGTCCAGACAAACTTTAAAAATAAAAATTATTAAAGGGCCATTACTCTGACAAAAATCATTGAACCGGAAAATACTGATAATATGCACAACTAGACTTGGTACTGATCACTCCTGTAAAGTTTGGATGAAATTGCACCAGTAGTTTATGAGGAGTAGTCCGGACAAGCTTTTGTGTATCTGGCAACACACAGAAAAAACACCTTTTTATCAAAGGGCCATAACTCGGCCAAAAATCATTCAACCAGAAAACCCTGGCAATATGCGCAAGGACTTGAGCTACAGATCAATCCTGTAAAGTTTCATTGAAATTGCATTAGTGGTATAAGAGAAGTAGTCCGGACAAACTTTAAAATTAAAAATTATTAAAGGGCCATTACTCTGACAAAAATCATTGAACCGGAAAATGCTGACAATATGCACAACTAGACTTGGTACTGATCATTCCTGTAAAGTTTGGATGAAATTGCACCAGTAGTTTATGAGGTGTAGTCCGGACAAGTTTTGTGACGGACAGACGGACGGACAGATGGACGACGGAGAAGTGATCCCTATATGTCGCCACTACTCCGTAGCGGCGACACAAAAAGACCTGCACAGAATATACAAACCTTGAGGGCCGCAGTCCCTGCATACTGTTTACTGATAGCATCTCCGGTATTTGCCCACAACTGCTGAAATATCTTACGACAGTTCTCCGGGAGATTTTCGTCTGGGGCGAGAAGTCCAAGTTTACGACACTGAAACACCATAAAATAATACATGTGTGTTACATAATGCTTATAAAATTGAGTGATTTTGTAAAAAAAATGTAACCTTTCTAATAAACATTATCATTGAACTGTGCTAAAAATTATGTAAGGATAATACATGTACATATTTTGAGCGATGTCCTGGGAGCACATGCAATTTTTTCTCTAATATTTGCTCTAGTATAGAGGTTTAGCAGTAAATATAGGGTACTGTACAGAAATTTAATAAATGTCAGCTGGAAAGTATCCATAGCTACTCTAAATGCTTGATTTTTAACACAAGAACCTATATAATGCTCAAATTTACTTAGTTCTCAAAGGGTAACAATTCATTAAAATCAAGAGTTATGTGTCTTGGTCTATGACCTAAAATTATGACAAAAAAACAAAAGTGCAGATCAACATGATTTTTCTGCAGTTGTGAAGTTAACAATGGGATGCAATTTTCCACAAAGAAGTTTAATTTAGTAATATGTTGATGGAATGCAATTTTCCATTTAGTAATATGTTGATGGAATGCAATTTTCCACAAAAAAGTTTAATTCACTAATATGTTGATGGGATGCAATTTTCCACAAAGGAGTTTGATTTTATAATATGATTATTGTTAGATTTCTTGACCTTTTAAGCAGCATACCATAATGTCAAATGGCCAAATTTTCAATGTGTTTAAGTTCAGAAGCATCCACATGCCCGTTTAACTTACAATATTAAAGCTGTTCAGACTGATAAGAAATAGAAAGAACATCAAAACACAAGGCTATCTGATTTGAACAAGGGGGCGCAGCCCCCTGAGAATAAATCAGATTTTGAGTGTTTTGATGTTCTTTCTCTTTTGTATCATAGGCACCCTGTTGTCACATTATAAAACCCCAGAAAAAAAGTAACCAATGAACAAGCATCTCAATATATTATTTCTATTGCTATCCCTTTCTATGTCGTCAAATAAGTAAACCACAGAAAAAAAGGCATGATCTAGAGTGCGGGGAAACTAATATCTGCACTCCAGTTAATGCACTGTGCATGTATATGTATATGATTTAACTTTGACACAGTTTGTACAGAAATGTTACAAATGGGTATAACAGCATTCTAAAGGCTAGCAGCATAGGTCAATAAAGATACATGTAATTCAAGCTATCCAAAGCAGTCATACAGTACATATTTTTAATGAAAAAATACTTCAGTATCAGTTAGTAGGTAATATAAATATATGCTACACCTACTCATGTCAACTCCTCTACTTTATAGCAAATGAAAATAAATATGACACTTTAACAGCATTTCCTTTTATTATGTAAACATTTTTTCTATTTTAGAAGTTTTCCTAGTACCATTAAACATAATAAATTTTGACAGTTCCAATAATCTAAATATAGCTGAACCAGTTTTCCATTTACAGCCGAACTAAACAAGGTCAAGGTCATCAGGCTGTATATATAAATCATTACTAAGGTCTCTTTACATCTAAAACAAGAAAAGCATTGATGCAAAGCATCAAAGGGCGTCCAAGCAAGAAATGCATCAAGTGAAGATGAACTAGTACACATATGATGACAAGATATTCTTATAAACTACCAGAAATGTATACCACTTATGAATGAGCGGACGAAAGACATTGTTCATTATGAACTTTGATTGGCATGCTAGAGATTAGAATATTACTTGTTATTTCTTTATGATCGTGGTTATTAATAGCAACGGATATACATGTATGCAATCATTTACAATCCATATGTGTAACGCATGATCAACACGTACCACACATTTGTCCCTTATTATGTTATCGCTATTAGCGAAGACCCCCTTAAGGTATCTGTTCACACTTTAAGTTAGTAAAAATATGACACTGGTTATATTACCATGTTGATCATGTTGAGCATAATTGTTTATTATACAATAATTGTAATATCTATTAATTTTAATTAAAAAAAATACAAATTTTATGAATATTGTTTTCTTTTATTCTTTTTTGTGTTTTATGTGCTATTTTAATACTGAGTTTTTACTACTCTTTTTTATTAAAATTGTAAAATAAATTTTAAGAATTCAATTGTCATATTGACCGACGATTATAAGTCAAAGCTTAACTGGAAAAAGTCAGTAAATTATGGTTTATCTTTCAATATATAATATTGTTTATTCTTAAAACATGTACATTGTATTTTTCTTTATCATTTTTTAAATTATCGATCAATTGAATAATTCATAAAATCTAATTTGTAACTTTGAATAATTCCTCGGCATATTTACTAAACACGGATAACAAATTAAATAATTAAATAAAATGTTTCAAAGTTAATAATGTCATTTTAATACCATAAAAAATGTACCTTTTTCTCAATTATTGTACATATCACGGATTTATATTACATATAAATCCGTGTACATATTTATTGTTTTTATCTCATATAGATAAAATGAAACATGCTATTGTTGTTTTTTTTTCTAATTGTAACGATATCAAACATCTACTCCAAAACCGGGAGAGACCGGACAATAAACCTGTGGTACTATTCGCCGGTCACTAGTAAATCCTGGTCAAAATAGACCGGGAGAGACCGGCATTTTACCGATAGGAGTGATAAATAGATATATCTATAAATAGGTTTTTGGAATATTTAGGTCATCAACTGATCATTCTAGGATACATGTACAACAATAACATACCATGATAACCGACTGTGTACTACAAAATGATAAATAAAAAACCCCGAAGAGCGCGATTTATTGACGGAAAAGGTTATTTCATTTGAAAATGTTTGCATTGCGAAAATTCATTGTAACATATCGCGACATTTCATTCTGATTTAATAATCAAGCACCCTCATACCGATCGGAATTTTCGGCTTTTATTATGACCGACTAAAAGGCTCGAGAAGTTGCTGTCGCCCTTTCACAAAATCTGATCTCATTCCATAAGAGCGCCGCGCTTCGGCACGGACGCCAATAAAGCTTCAACAAAGCAAGTGCTTACTGTAAATCATTTAGATGGCCTTATATACTTATATAAAAGGAAACTCAAATAAGCTTCAAATAAATTTGTGTACCATATTTAGATTGCATTGCTAAAAATAGCTTCAAATAAAATCAAGGAATGTTATCTTGCTTCATGATAAAATTATGGCATTGTATTTTCTTTCATTCAGTGAATATCACTTTTCAAGTATTAAAATGAAGACATCCAAAAACTCATTGATAGAGGAAGATGTGTGTGCTTTAGTTTTGTTAATGCCAAACAAAGAACCCCCTACCCCTCCAAAAATATGTGTCTTTAATTTATTCTCTGGGAAATGCAGTTTGTCATCTTTCCAAGCACTACCATTTACAATTGAGTGATAAACATGTTATGCTTTTATCAATACATATACCAAGTTTGAGCACTACCATTCACAACTGAGTGATAATAAACATGTTCTGTAGTATCTTTATTATAGATATTAGGATCCAAAGAGTAATTAATAAAATTATTCATTTCATTTTTTTTCATGGCCAGGAAGTGAAGCTATACAGCATCATAAAGGAGTCATTATCACATTTATATTTCACTATAAGTTCACAAGGACTCAATAGATAACATAAATCATCTCGTTAAATTGGCATTATAAATCAACTTTTTATATTATAAAAGGTTACACTTTTATTGTCACATTGTTATTTTTAGTGTTGTAGATACATAAATTTGTATATGATTAAAGCATGTTAGATAAAAATGCCTAATGTTTTATTAAAGTGATAATGGTACATTAATTTTCAATGAACATATTTAACATTTAATGAAATCATAATGAAAATTATATCTGGGGAAAAATGAAACAAAAAGCTCTGAAATTTGCTGAGTAATGAGTGTTCTTTTTTTTAAGAAGAAATATATCTGAATTAATACAAAAATGCACATTTTGCCTAAGAAACAAATATTTTTTTTCTGCTTAAGGAATTTAGGTAAACATGAGTTTTATTATGTTTTAATAATAGTTGTAGAGCAATTAATGTTAGGTGTTTCTCACCTGAAAAAAATAGCACTGAATGTGAAATTATTTGCCATTTTAATAGCAAAATATAGAGAAAGTCCATACAAAATATTAATTCAATATGAAAAAAAAGAGCAAAAGAAGCAAAAAGTTATACCTCATTCTGATAAATCTTAAGATAAATCTATTAAATAGACTAGTCCAGTTTCTATTTCTGGAACTCCCCATTACTTAAGTATGGGTATAACAGGTAAAACATTTGAAACTGGTCACCCATTTTAACAAATTTTATCCAAACATTAAAATTATAAAAAGTGAATAACAATAATTTATTATTCATTGATTTTTTTTGGTTGGGTTTTTCCCCACACCAACACTGTAAAGATCATATGGCTAATTTCCAGCTTTACTGATGGAGGAAGACCTATGCATTATTTCAGGCACGATCAGGCACCTGAGTAGAACCACTGACATTCTGTAAGCTAGCTGGATAGTTCCCTAAAATGAAAGAATCAAGTCCCAGCTGGATTTGAATCCAAAGCAGTGAGAGGCAAGTGGTTTGAAGTCAACAGCCTTAACCACTGGAAACAGACGTCCCCGGATCAATAACCATTTAGTTAATGTTGCTAGTATGATCTATGCAGAAAAGCAATATTTACTTTCCTCTGAAGGTACATCCCATTAAATAAAGCATTGCCATTGGTCAAAAACATGTGAGTATAAAACCAACCAATCAGAACAATACATTTACAGGTTTTTAAACAATTTAATAACTTTAAATTTAGATATTTCAGGAAATAACTCAGACATACAAATTGGACACAAAAGTTTTCCTGATTAAGAAAGGGAAGTCAAGGCGACAAACTTCAACTGATAAATGTCTACCTGTCACATTAAAATCTGCTGTATAGGCAAAGGTTTTGTGTTCAGACAACTTTATTTGTATGATCTAATAACAAGGTGTTCATATTTGTATATTTTACAGATGATTATATTATTACACTAGAGAAGAATTCATATTAGATATACAGTATATCATATTTTATTTATTTCTCTTTGGGTTCCAAGCAGAGCTGCATCAGTACTAAGGGTGTAGTACTTAAGTACCAGTACCAGTACTTGGCAAATTATGCAGTACCATTACCAGTACCAGTACTAGATTTTAGCTCGGTACTGCAGTACCAGTACTTTTTTTGGTGAAGTAATTAAGTATCAGTACCATTACTTTTATATATTCATCAAAGTTTGAATAAATACAGTGTCAAACAAATAATTGCAAATATTATTCAGCAAAGAAATAAAATCATAATTTACTTTAAAGCTGCATGCCTCCAGATGACCAAAAATATTTCAAGAAAATTAAACTTGGAAAAAAATTACTAAAACTTTGAGAAAAGTAAACAAATTAAAGATTCAAGTGATAATTTATATCTTATGTGCAATTAATGACTGTATTTTGTAGTATTTATCACCATATTTCTACTGCGTTACTAACGCAGTAGGGGCTATTTATGCATGTTTTGACCTCTTTTTGGTAATTTACGTGGATTTTAAGTGCCAATTGTAATGTGTCAAGTACTTTCTTTGTTCATTTAACAATATTTTACCTTTAAATACATTTTCAAAATTTTCATGACAATTAGGATGAATCTGGAGGCATGTTGCTTTAAAGTTACCATAACATATTTACAATTTTATAGTTTTAACATACTTTTTACAAACAATATTTACAACATATATTCATGTCATATCTAATTGTTTAGTAACCAGTCAACTGTATAAATACATTGCAAACATCTTTCATTTAAAACACCACAGTCTTTTGTTGCCTTTCACACCTTCACACCTCTGTTTAATTTATACAAAAGTAAATAACAACTTTAGAATAGAAGAAATTAATTAGTGTTTATTTTGCTCTTTTACTAGTAAATACAAAGTAATAAAGATTTTAATAAGGATATTTTAGGGTAAAGAGTTATTGAGTCTGTTTATCTTAATTTAATTTTTACTTAAAGTCTTTGGTGCTTTTTATGATGAAAACTATGTTAACATTTGAAGGAATATTGCAGCAAATTATCTTTAGATTTGATAACTTACTTTTTCACGAAAATAAAATATAGTTAATGTAATTTACAGCTTTATTTTATGAGAAAAATTGATGTTATTTTTAATTTCTATCAACACCAAAAGTACTGGGTAATGCAGTAGCAGTACCACTTTTTAAGACAGTAATGCAGTACCAGTACCAGTAGTAGCAAAATTTTGTAAGAGTAATTCAGTATCAGTACCAGTACTTGCAAAATCGCTGCAGTACGTACTGCAGTACCAGTACCAGTACCAGTAATGCAGCTCTGGTTCCAAGTTGACACCAACACTATAATTTATGGTCAGATGGCAATTTTTATGAAAATAATAAAATCTTGTTGGATAAACACCTGGGATAAGGTCATAAAGAATATGAGTCGTGTCATGACAAAACCAACATATTGCGTTTGCGACCAGCATGGATCCAGACCAGCCTGCGCATCCGGGCAGTCTGATCAGGATCCATGCTGTTCTCTACTTGTTATAGGGTTTTTAAGCGAACAGCATGGATCCTGATCAGACTGCGCGGATGCGCAGGCTGGTCTGGATCCATGCTGGTCGCAAACCCATTATGTTGGTTTTGTCATGACACGGCTCAATTATATGTATGATGTTGCTGAAGCACAGGTTTATCAGGTGATGAATTATTCATATAAAAGATTATAATAGTAAAATTGTTAAGAACTTGATTCAAGTTGAACTATTGTAGAATTTATTGTAACAATAAAAATATTTACAACGCCATAAATTATTTTTTTGTAAAATCAAAATGAGGAAGTATAAGGTCAATCTTCATATTTTTCTAAAATTAAGGTTATTAAGTAAAAAAAATGTTCAATCTATTTTTGTATTTCTGAAACAATATAACACAAAGGTTTTTTTATACTGAGGCAATTATCATCCTGAACCCAATGTCCTATAATAACTGAAGACAATTCATTAATTGGTAGGATTGTATGATTTATAAAACAAGTACAAGGGCACGGTCCAGTCTTAACAAATAAAGAGATCCAAAATTGGATAAGATTTGGTGTATTCTGGGCAATCCTTCAAAAAATGACCCTTCTGAAGGAGTCGCAATTATTGTTTTCAGTTTCCAACACAACTCTTCCATTGGCAATTTGTTTAAATTTACAAATTTTCCAAGACAATACTAACTACATGTATTGCAATATTTATAAAAATTGAGCCGCGTCACAACAAAACCAATGTAATGTGTTTGCAACCAGCATGGATCCAGACCAGCCTGCGCATCCGCGCAGTCTGATCAGGATCCATGCTGTTCCCTTACAAACACTATTACAAGTAGACAAACTGATTGCAAACAGCATGGATCCTGATCAGACTGCGCGGATGGCGATGCGCAGGCTGGTCTGGATCCATGCTGGTTGCAATCGCATTAGTATTGGTTTTGTCGTGATGTGGCTCAAATATACCTGAGTTTCCATAACAATTCTAGCTATAGCTGTCTGTACAACATTTGTTCTATCAAGACAGTCCACACAGTTGACTCGGAACACACCTCTCTGTTCACAAATCATCCCTTTCCTGTCCACCCTAATCAAGAGAAAAAACAACATTTACTTAAACTAATTAGCATAATATTTCATGAATAAATTACTTTAGGTTCAATTTTTACCTATTCTATTTCATCATTTGTCTTCCATTTTATAAAAATATCACCATTCCAGTTGTCAATACAAAAACAAGAACGCATGTGACAAAATCATGGTTTTCAACAATCAAGTATTTTTTACAAAAAAGTGTCTCTGTTATTTTATACACATCAATTACACAAGGTAACAGTATATAAATAACACATGGGTTTGCTATTAGGTAACAGTATTTTCAAGAGGGATGATATTCTTTACAGTTACTCACACACCAATATGTTATTTATTTTATTACCCCTATCAAATCATTTGAAAATTTCAACTATATCTAACTGTTACAAAATTGAACCAAGAGTAACAATAAAGTAAATATTTTTACTTGCAAGTTGAAAAAATCCACATGAGTCAATTTTTATACTGTTAAAACTGTAACAGTACAAATTTTTTAGTCACATGGTACACTTGTTTTAACCCAGTGGCCTAATTGGGAAATTAACATTACAAAAAAGTGAAGGGAAATAAAATAAAATATTCCCTAGCAAAATATTTTATCTTTTTTTTAGTAGGTTCAGCAGTATGTAGTATTCTTATAATAGTCTCAGCATATTTTTTTTTCAGTTTTTGAATGATGATATTGTTGAAATCTAAAAGTTAAATCACTTATTTTCAAAAGTCCTTTTCCTGGATTGACCATGTACTGTCCTAGGATGATAACTTGAGCCTTTGTTTACATAACAAAGACCAATAACAATGCGAAAAATAGGTTAGGCAGGTCAATGCCACAACCTATAAAATTGAAAATAAAACTACATGTTATCATATGTCTTGTTAGCGCAGTAGGTAGAGCAACCGTGTCAGTAATGTGTTTTACCCGTACAGGCAAAAGTTCGACTTCTGGTACTACACATTTTGTTTTTACCTCAGAACAGTCAATTGTTCAGACAACAAGTTTGACCGGTTTTTTCAATATACATACATGAATATGAGATCGAATATTTTAATACACTGCGATAAAAAAAAAAATACAAAAAGAAAATAGAATGGAGATAAAAAAATAAATATATACAATAAAATATATATTATAAGAAGAAAACAAAAAGGAAAACGAAAAATAACAAAATAATAATGATAAAAAGTAAATGAGTAAGAAGAAAAAAATGTGGTTATAAAATGGCACTAAGTGGGGTTCGAACCTATGAGAACAAAACACTAAAAGTTACAATTACTGCGATCTACCGGCAGAGCCATAACGGTAATACACAAACGATTTTGTAAGAATAATGCTATATACGTAGTGTATTATGTAACTGTTCACTTTTACGATATCGGATAATGATCCAGATAACTCCGTTTTTGGACTTTCCCAATTGTACCGTTAAGACCAAATTATCATCCTAGGACAGTATCTGTACAGTTCAGCATTTGTATATGTCAGTGGACACATTGTTAACTGTAGGGACATGACAGCATGACAACAACTTACCAGCAATATCTCATATGTTTAATGATGTCTTTTATTCCTGTTGTCAAGATAGAGACATTCTCAAACTTCATCCCTCGACTGAAACAAAGTTTAATATACTGTATATAAATTACAAAGTGATACTGGTAATCATAATCAAAATATAGCACAACATGGATTCACTTTTGAACAACTCTATATTTTCTTACTATATTAATGTTTTTAGCCATTGGAGAAGGTCTTTAAACTATTGTAAACCTTTTCCTACTTCATTTATACTTGATTCTTATAATATGATTTTGTTATACATTATTCAATATAATACTGAATTCTATTGGATGAGACTGTTAAACCTATATTGGACAAGGTGCTGGCAATAATTATGGTAATGAATTCTTTTTTAAAACCACCAATTCTTGTGTAGAAAACACATTGAATTAATGAAATCACTCCATATTTACACTTCTTTTGTATTATATGAAAGGTACAGTTACTACAAGTCCATACAAAAAAAATTTTGATACTCAGAAAATGAAAATGAGGTTAAATATGTATTAGATAGAGTACAATCTGTATTTGATATGGATATTTTTGGACTTGGTAAATGATAACAATGCGATGTGCTAATAAGTGAGCAATGTAAATCTGAAAATCAGTCATCTTTCTTCAAGTAAAAAATAAGTGGAAAGGTTACTGTTTTAATACTTTTGTCAAGTTGTGTGTGATTTTTTTCCTATTTGTGTATTTCAGGGAGACAAAGATGCATGAAAAAGTCTATTTAGATTTCCTTTGCTATCTTATTTATCAATGAGAGAAACTTATAATTATGAAAACTTTATACCAGTATTCGTGGAAATCAAACGTGATATATGTGACGTCCTGTGAGTTATATTTGAGCACATTATCAATGTAGGCATCTCCTATCATCTTCTCTTTCCCGGACAATTCCACCAATGTAACTGCATTGATAAACTTGTACAATAATAACTGCTCATCAAAATGTTTCTTGAAAGCATCATGTGTCTCAGCTTCACCTGAAATGCAACAACTATTGTGATTGGATGGTATCCAGTGTCTTTGATACACCTAAAATGCAACAACAATTGTGATTGGATGGCATCACATGTCTAAGATACACGTGAAATGCAACAATTATTGTGATTGGATGGCATCAACTGTCTTTGATTACCAGAAACATAACAACAATTGTGATTGGATGGCATCACATGTCTTAGATAGTCATCTGATGTAAAACAATAATTGTGCTTCAATGACATCACATGTCTTACATTCACCTGAACTGCAACGACAATTGTGATTGGTTATTATCATGTACATGTACATGTATCTCATTTCTACATTTAATGTTATTAACAACAATCTTAATTGGATTGAAGAAAATAACTTAACCTGTTACCCTGCATTGAATTTTAAACAGTTGATTAGTATTCTACACAGATTCTCCATTAAACATGCAAATAAAGATAATAGTCTTGAACTTTGCAAACAGTGACTTACAGGCCTTATTTCCTGAAATCAAAGCTACCAATGTTAGCGGATTTGTTACATGCAACTGCAGAAAAGTATCCACAATGAAAAACGCTAATTTAAAAAGTGCAAAATAATTTCTAGGAATATAGTAGTCATGTATGATAATTTATAACATTGCAGATTTACTGATTGTCACAAAAAATTTTTTTTTAGTGATTTTCATTACATAAATGTTGAAATTGATCAGACAACAGTATCTTGTCTGGTCAGACTACACAAACGTGAATGCTGTACAGTGAAATGGATTTCTATTTACTGCTTTTAGCACTCAAAAATTTTATTACTTCATGTATGTACAGGTTTATACACAGTGATATACTGAATCAATTAAAATTCTGTATATTTGCCTCTTTTATAGTCTAAGAAACCAAAATACAAGTTTAGTGCAGTGTACTAAATTGACCAGAATCAACATACTTGGTCATAGAATTTTTTATTATTAATGGAAATTGTGCAATATGAAAGAACAAATTATCAAAAATGTAGTAAAACCAAAGTTGTATCTATATTCTTTTAAACTCATAAAAACCAGTTTGAAATTTAAATCAGGATCAGTCTATTTCACAAAGTGAGCAAGGTCACTGAACCATGTCAATTTTTTAACAATTAGAAATTTTGTCATTTGACATTCAATGTACTTTACCTAGATGATGGACTTGACACTGTGACTTTGACCAATTTTGTATGTATCAGATAATAACTAGAGTATCTATTTTCAAACATCTTCAAAGCTTTACGAAAATTGATGAATAATTTGATACAATATTTATGGAAAGAAGTGTAAACTTTGGCCATAAATCCCAGACTGTCACGCCATCTTTGACATCGGGTTTATTATATTAAGACCAATGTCTGCTTTACTAAGATGATATAAGATTGGATATGACAATAGATATATCAGACCTATTGTATGATATAATATCTGGCCAGACAGTCCTGCCAACTATGGTCATTATCGTGTCTCAAAGGTAGGGGGGAGTGTATGATTACAATGTACCTTACAAAGTTGTCTTACATTCTCTATATATGTGATGACGAAGTTATTTAATTCCTTACCCTTGCTTTATTGATACAGTGAATTTGTCCTTTGAATTACGTCTTTGAATTACGAGCAGTCCACCATTACTAGGCATATTTAAGCTGATGAAAAGCTGATAAGAGACCAATGGCAGATGGGGTTCCAGGATTTTTTTTACCGGAAAGGGTCCAAAAATTTTGTGTTGTGCGTGGTAATGCAAAGCTCACAATTTTAGTATTTTGATACTCACATCTCTTTATATCCATACTATTACAATGAATCGTGTCTTTTCTTGATAAAATTTATTGCTTTTTTTGCTGCTTTAATTGTCATTTCTTAATTTATTACTCTTTTGGTTTTTATGTTAATTAATAGGAATCAAGCCTTAGGTTCTTTATGAATTTTGTTTTATGTTCACAGTTGTTTATAATATTTAAACTAAAAAGGCCCATATGATTGGCAAAATGAAAGTATTAATTCCATAAACAGATAATGTAAAGGAATTTTATAATTATAGAAGAGTAAATATGCAGATTTAGCAAAGTAAATGTGAAAATTTAGCAGAGTAAATGTGAAAGTTTAGTTGAGTAAATATGAAAATTTAGCAGATTAAATATGAAAATTTTGGCAGTGTGAAGGTGAAACTTTAGCAGATTAAAGGTGAAAATTTAGCAGAGTAAATGTGAAAATTTAGCAGAAAAAAATGTGAAAAATTAGCAGAGTAATTTAATTTAATAGAGTAAAGATGAATATTTGGCAGAGTAAATATGAAAATTTAGCACAGTAAAGGTGAAAGTTTAGCAGAGTAAATATGAAAATTTAGCAGTGTAAAGGTGTAAATTTAGCAGAGTAGAGATGAAAATTTAACAGAGTTAAGGTGAAATTTATCAGATTAAATGTGAAAATTTAGCAGAGGAAAGATAAAATTGGGGAAAAATCCTCTTATGTAATTTTTCATGTCCTTATATCAGTTATCTTGAAACAAATGGGCATTGTTAGTGAACATACACTTGTTGAATGATGACAATAAAACCTAATATTCACAGAGAAAAGTGAACTTGGTAACAAATGATATATTAAAAGATATAGCTGCACTGCCTACAATCAACTGTCAGTTTGTGTCCCATTATTTCCGTCTTGGCCAACTTTTAATTTATGTTAATTGGACTTTCAAAATGTATCACACACATGTATGGTGTACCAGTCTGTCATACAGTCTGCATTACCATGATTTATTATCAGCTTTCATCACATTTGTTATATAGGTTCATATGAGCCGCATCATGACAAAACCAACGTAATGGGTTTGCGACCAGCATGGATCCAGACCAGCCTGCGCATCCACGCTGTCTGATCAGAATCCATGCTGTTCGCTTACAGACCCTATAACAAGAAGAGAAACTGATAGCGAACAGCATGGATTCTGATCAGACTGCGCTGATGCGCAGGCTAGTCTGGATCCATGCTGGTCGCAAACCCATTATGTTGGTTTTGTCATGACGCGGCTCAATTATGTTTGTATAACTTGTGCAGACATTCAAGACTAATACAATGCTTGTACTTTATAATTTATATATTACATCAAGTCTTAAAAAGGTATACATGTATATGTATATAAATTGTATAATTTGTCAGTAGAATCAGATAAATATTGCTAATATTTCATTAGAGTTTTATTATACATGTATGAAATGATACATGTATATGTGCATTCATCATTTCTTATGATGCTTCCATTGAAAATTTCTTTTCATAAAACAATCTCTTCTGATAACTGTAAGATCTTTACTGTAAAAATGCATTTTGTTGCTTGTTTTTCAATGTTTTTGTTCAAACTGTATTTTGGATTTGAATTGGCTAAAAAAATTGTATGCTGAATAAAAATTTCCATTTTCGTATTATGCTGACTTTGTTTTGTTCTTCCGGAATCATTTATTTTCAATTTAACAGAATAATACATGTTAAGTCTACACAAATATCAATCTGCGGTTGAAATTATATTTTGTCCAATCATATTGATCCAAGCTATATGGAACATTTATAAACTTTATAATTAGTACTAACTTATTACTTTGGTAGTCTATTTAATAAAGGGTTCTTTAAATATTGTAATATTGTTACATGTATAAGTTTGGTTATTTTCATCAATTATTCACAGTGGTCTTGAAACCGGGCATTACTCTTGTAAATATTTTCTTTAGAAAAAAAATAATTCTATATCAAACAAGTAATTTGTAGACAAATTTGGAGCAAACATTGAAATCATTTGAAATTTTATCAGTTTGTGTAAATAGTCATATAAAACCAGGTACGTAAATAGTTCTCAAACAACTCATTTAAATGAAATATATTATGATAAACTCTCAGTAACTGACATGATCAATTTTTAGTAAACTTGACCAAAATTTGACCTTAAAGGGGTCTAACTTAAATAACAGTGGTAAAGTAATTGAGTCTAGGTCCCATCTGCTCAACTTTCATTTAAAATATTATTTTTTTTCAAATTCATGACATTTGATTAAGAAGTATCATTAAAGTAATAGATATCATTTACAATATAACTTGTATTTTAATGAGGAAATTAGAAAACTGAAGGTGGTCTTAATTTAAAGTGCCTTTAGTTTAGTTTTTCTTTTGTTTATACAAATTTGTTTTAGTTTGATAGTGTTATAAGCTATAAGTTATACAGCCATGCAAGAATGTAATCATATAAAAGATTTTTCCAATTTTGAGACCACATAAAAAACAGAGTTCCAGGGCTATGACTGACTAGTTACCTCCCTTACAAAATATAACATTGAGTGGCAGACTACAAGGTTATTTTGAAAATAAAAGATCAATAAAGTTCCCATTTTTAATGCAACCACAAACTGCATAATATTGCATGATTTACTATCAAGCAGGATATGAATACATATTTGCATATTATACTTAATGAATCATAAAACAAGCAGTTTGACGTAGTGATAATTTAATGAAATATTTCAGTACCAGTCTGTGCTAACTGTTTCTTTATTTATACCTTGTTACAACAGTCTAGCGTTGTAGTAATAAAGTTGTATTAGGAAATGGACATAACTTGTGTGTGACAGTGAATAACTTTAAATATTTCAATGCAGTTTGCATTCTCAACCAGTGTTTTATTGGATGATAAAAAACACCTTTAGTAATCATAAAGAGGCAAGCGCATATACTTGGTTATTGTTTTAATTTACATATATGTTTAGGGCCTCTGTGGATGAAGTGTTGAGGTTGCTGTCTTTGAAACTGTTGCCGTTCACTGTGGGTTCGAATCCCCCCACCAGGGAATTCGGATTCTTTCACATGAAGAAGCTTATATAATCCAACCAGCTTACAGAATGTCCGTGGTCCTAGCTAGCCTGCTACTGCCTGAAATGCAAGGAGGTGTGCACCTGAGGTCTTCCAATGTAAAGGTTGAGACTCTGTCCTATATGACCTAAATAATTCTGTCAATGTGACTTAAACATATAACCGCCTGCTCCAACCCCTCACCAAATTTTAACATGTCCCTAGTTGTCTCCCTTCTGTAAAACACAGTAGAAGGTAAGTGTTAGATATTCATGATCATCTTGTACCTTTTTTGAAAGTAAAGAACCACCCCTCCCAAAAAAAACAACAAAAAAAACCCACTCTCTTTGCAGGTAAGGAATTAAATGTTGGTAAACCCAGTACTTAACATTGCTTTGCTTACATTCAATACAATAAAAAGTTCACATACTAATTTTTTTTCCACTTAAAAATGAAAAAAAAATTCCACTAACACATAAAAAATATATCGCTTTTTTCTTTACTTTTCAAGAGCATAAATTTTCTTCTTTATAAGGAGTATAGAGGAGTTAACTTTAACACAGATATCTAGATCTAAGCACCATTTATTAACCAATAACGTAAATGTAAACTGACAATCTCATGGTCACGTGACTAACCCAAAATTTACATCGTACTTTGTGTAAGGTACAATCTCTTACGTGTTAAGACGGTCATCATGGGATTTAAGCTCGGAATTTTTATCATCGGAACCATTCTGGTTGCTGCAGGTTAGTTCCGAAAGTTTATGATTCAGCCTTTTTATGAAATTTAATTTTTTTTTTCAAATGCTAATGATTTAATTAATATTAGTAATATTCAATTCAGGATATAAAATTTCAATACATTGATGAAGGATAATAATATATTACGAAATAATTTTTGTTGATTTGATTGGCTTTTTTTTTAAATTAAAAAAAAACCCCAACTCAAATGAATTATTTTTATAATTAATCAAATGTCTTTATACTTAAACAAGTTAAACAATTATTTTATAATAATTAAATAAAATACCACTTAAAAACTACTGAAGAGTTTAAATAAAATTACTTGACAAGCTGGAGGTTTACACATGAATTAAATGTCAATTAAACATTTTGAGTGAAAAAAAAAATCAACATTTTCAAATAACCTATATTTGCACTTCTTAAACACACAAAGTTTGATAATTTTTGCAATCTTAATCTTGCAAAAATCTGCACTTTCTGATAACGATTTCATAGCTCGATTTTTAAACAGGTTAATATATCACTATAATCTTAAAGCGCAGATTAAATTATTCAACTTCCTAATTTCATAAAATAAAACAAAAAATATGTGCAAAGTTTGCCAAAAATAGATCAATCTGATAACAACAAATATGTGTGGGGGAAAATGAATGAAAAATAAACACATATTGATTGGTCTACAAAATGAATAAAATTGGTAAACAAATTCATGAAAATAGGGAAGTTATCTATTTTTTTTCACTCAACAGTGAGTTTCAACTTAATTTTCAGTGGTAAAATCTGAAGCAACAAACAAACAAACTACAAATAAAAAACAAACAAAAAAATACCAAACACAAGAAATTTTTTAAAGAATTAAGCAATTTTAAGCAATTAGAGGTGCACATTATGCTTTGGCCATTGAATAAATTCATAACTCCATCTATATGACATAATTTACTCAGTTTTATTGATCATCTTCAATCGTATAATCTAATCATTAATCTTTTTTTATTCGTTTTCTTTGCTATCAAAATGAGTACCTGTGTTTGAGATAATGTAAGGTACCCTAGGAAAATAGAAAGTTAGTTTGGAATGCTGTCAAGTATATGACATTCATCAAGGTCTTATGTAAAACATGCGGCTTTAATGCACAATATGGTGTGAAACCTACAGGTTTAAAACTGGCTTATCAGGTCAAACTCTCACACTTAATTTACATGTTTCTTTTTTTTTTATTTGATTATTGGCAAAGAAATTTACATAGAAAAGTATTTCAATAAAAACATTTCTTTGATGTTCGGTAAAAGTAAAAAAGGTGAAAATTCTAGTTGAATGACCTTAATGAGCCTAAAATACAATATCTTTGAGTCATTGTAACCAACCTTTATTGTAATTTTTTGTATAGTCCAGTTTACAATTGAGAATTGTATTAAAACTATTTTTGAAGATTTGAATATATAAAATTACACTGAAAATTTTGCTGCTTCAATGGGACTCAATCTCTGAATACAATAAATTCATGAAAAAAAGTCAATATAATATTAAATAGTATTTTTTGACCTTGAAGACACAAAGTATCATATTTCATAATAACGAAAGATCAAATTTGTTTTATTTTGTTACCTAAAAATGACGTTTAACGAAACATAAGTTTAGCCTGAACTGAGGCTATTTAATCATTTGTCCATTGCCCCAGTGGGTTTGAATCCCTATGACAGGAACATTGCATTACCCATAATACTTCTTCATCACAAACTTATTCAGTCGAAAAACAGTGTAATGTTTAAATAATGAGGGACTGATAAAAATTTGTCTGAAGTTTTACATAATATGGCCAGGGTCTTGTTTTTTAAAGGATACAATTTAGAATTTACTGTTTTTCATACTTGTGTTGTTAAGGTAATTTAATCAAATTATTTCCTAAACCTCTCTCTCACTTGCCTTATTTCCGTCTGCCAAGGTTCTTTTTTTTTGCAAATGAGATAAAATAAATGTAACGCTGCCTTTAATATGCAAATAATAAACTTTGCATTTATTTCCGCAGTAAAATGCATCCTTACCTTAGTTTAAGTTTTATTGCATGATCATGCATTAGCATGCATACCTAGTACTAAAATGATTATGACAAAACAAAGAAAGCAGTGAGGTTATTCATAAATCATATTTCATTATAATGTTTATTAAAGTTATGAAAATGAAACTTTGTTTTAAGCTACACGCCTCTGTTTTGTTGTTTTTGGGGTGTGCTTTATAAATAGACTTGTCACATGTTAAAGTGTGTCTAGGAAGGGTGTGAAGGTGATGAGAGGGTTGGGGAGAGGAGGGGGCACAACCTGGGTTTATTCTACCCAGTGACTACTCTACCACTCCTCAACACCTCAGATCTGTATGTATTTCATAATTTAGTAAATGGTAGCAGTCCATGCAAACTGATGCTCCTTAAATGGTAATCATTTATTTACAAACCATACAAGAAGAAATATTCAGCCACATTAAAACTAATTAGAATTTCCACTTGTACAATAGTTATCTTGGCCACTTAAAATCTTTAAATCCTGCTGAATTTGTGAAATGGATTTGCCCTGCTTTGAATGTGGAAGAGTCCATTTGTGGTTTAAGGGGCTGTGACCCAGCCAGGTAGCATAGATCTGACTTAACCAAGTAAGATGAGCAGGCTAGCGTAGCATGAATTGGCTCTATACACTGGTAGCATAAATCTGACTTAACCAAGTAAGATAAGCAGGCTAGCCTAGCAGGAATTGGCTCTATACACTGGTAGCATAGATCTGACTTAACCAAGTAAGATGAGCAGGCTAGCCTAGCATGAATTGGCTCTATACACTGGTAGCATAAATCTGACTTAACAAAGTAAGATAAGTAGGCTAGCCTAGCATGAATTGGCTCTATACACTGGTAGCATAGATCTGACTTTACCAAGTAAGATCAGCAGGCTAGCCTAGCATGAATTGGCTCTATACACTTGTAGAATAGATCTGACATAACCAAGTAAGATAAGCAGGCTAGTCTAGCATGAATTGGCTCTATACACTGGTAGAATAGATCTGACATAACATAGAAATTTTCAGGCTAGCCTGTCTCTACACTTGTAGCATAGATCTGTTAATGCTGACAGTGCTCAACTACATGTATAGTGAAAAATCAATTCTTCCATTCTTTTCTCAGGTAAACAAACATACAGACATTCATATGAATCAATTCTGATGGCTTTCATATTTGTCTATAAGTCCAATGGATTCTATTTAGCCACCAAAAAAACCCAGCAGAATATTCAGATTGAGTGTTATTTAATCTCTAAATGATTCCATAATATTAATAGAGGACAAATATTTGTCCACACAGACAGATGGACGGACAGACTAATGGCAAAGCAGACATATATGTAAATGACCTGTTGACACAAGGATTAAGGTAGTATTTGAGAGTGAATTATGCGGACTTAGTATCTGCATCATAATGATCCCGTTTAGTATCTTAAATAAATACCATTTGACATGAAGTACTCTTAGGTGTCAGTCAACACAAGTGATGATATATTAACCAGGTACTAAATAAAGGCGACTGAAACCATGCAAGATTGCTTTAACTGATATAGCTATATCTGATGGCCCTCTGTAGTTTTTTAGCTATTTAAATGTTTTAGATATGAAATTCTATCTATAAGGGTCACAATTAACAGCTTAGATGGGTATCTTGCATCGGTTAAGATTTTCAGTGATTGAAGAATAAAGAAATGTACGCAATATGTTGGTTGTAATATGATATGTACAATGGGTAATTGTCAGATAACCATCTTGTCAATGTATGACCCCGGCCCCACACCACTATTATTGTATATTATATCCAAAAACAGATACAACAGCATAACACTGAGTTAAAGATCTGGGAATGCCTGAAGTCTAACCCCCAACAGTAACTTATCTTTAAAAGTAAAAAGTGCTGACAGTTTAAAATCTTAAGTGAACTTAAACCATTATAACCCCTAAGGAAATTTTAAAAACATTGACCTTTGAAAATATATCATGAACCTGGCCTAAAAGACTGACAACTGGATTAGTGATATATTTGTAGTAGCAGTAGTGATATATAAAAGTGCCCAAAATGGCTATCAAGAATTACATATTTGTATCAATGGTTACCAAGAGTAGTGATATATTTGTAGTATCAAACGGTTGCCAAGAAAAGTCATATAAATAACTTTATATAATTTATTTTTTCTCAGTTATGCCCCCTTTTTGATTTTGAATTTCTTTGGCTAACTATTTTGTAATGGTACTTCCTCAAAAAGTATCATAGATATTTAGTTTAAACTTGGAGTGCTTGTAGACTATCAAACCTGAAATACATTTCTAAGGGGCAGATAATCCTGAAAGCCATTTTTCTAAATTAATTCCCTTTTTTGGCTTACAAATGTTTTAACTTTTTTCTAAAAAATCTTTTAATGCATTCACTTAAAACTTGATATATTTGTTGAATATCAAGGTTAGGTAAGTCTTACAGACAGCTCCAAATTAGATATAGCTATAACATCAACTTCAACTGAAGGTGCATTGATATAACAAGCACGTATTTCTGAAGGGAAGTGCAAGGCAGGAATTTTTTTACTATATTTGACATGGTCTTCTGCTTACATAAGCAAGATGTAAAGCATAATTATTAAACATGGGACATCAGATTAAAATCTTACTAATAGAATAATTCAGTTCCGGCTGATCTCTGAATTTGTAGCCCAACAGTTTTACACCATGCATCTTCTCTATAAAGTGGAAAAAACTGTATAGCATATTGTATAACAAACAGTATGACTATATAACATATTGTTACATTATTGTATATATCAAAGGAGGAGGGTAAACCTTATACAAATTGTGTGGGTGGGGTTGGGGAATGGGTTGTTTGGAGGGTAACCTTATACAAATTTTGTGGGCGGGGATGGGGAAGGGGTTGTTTGGAGGGTAACCTTATACAATTCAAACTTAATAACTCTTGTGAACAATCACCTGACCTCTGCTCCCCAAAGTATGTAAAAGTATGTAAAGGGATGTAAAAGTATGTAAAAAGGATGTAAAAGGATGTAAGAATTTACAACAAAATATTTCTAATTCATGTAGCATCTGGAAAGCAGTTAATAGCTTGCAAAATTAATTAATAAGTTTGTGATATTATTATGTTTCATTTATAATCATGATTTATCGACTCTATAAATCATTATAAACTTTATAACTCATTAAGCTTAATGACTTTAATTAATTACTAATTCATTTATTTACATGATAACAATTAAAGTGACAAAAATTGAGGTATGCTCACTTAGCGTAACAATTACTATACATATATCATGTATGAAAAAATGTAATAAATGTTTCACGAGTTGCCGTCTTGTCACCTACACTGACAAAATAGATGGCGACTGTAACACTGATCCATACATTTATTTCCTCTAGTAAACATAACTTATAACATGACCATGATTACAATGTAGTACAAAAGTGTTATTAATTGTTGTACACCAGTGTAATGTTGGTATTAAAAACTGTTACTATCTAATAGAGCTTTCATTGCCTATGAGTTTCTAAAAATAAATTCAAATGATAAAACCGAGTGATGGTTATGGCCTAATGATACTGAGTGAAGGTCATGGCCTGTTAATACTTAGTAAAAGTTATGGTCTAATGATACTGAGTAAGTTCATAGACTTGTGATACTGAGTGAAGGTCATGACCTAATGATACTGACTGATGGTCATGGCTTAGTAATTCTGAATGACGGTCTTGGCCTTATGATATTGAGTGAAGGTTATCTGGCCTAATGATACTGAGTGAAGTTCATGGTCTAGTGATACTTAGTGATGGTTAATGCCTACTGATACTGAGTGAAGTTCATGGTCTAGTGACACTGAGTGAATTTTATTGTCGAATGTTACTGAGTGAAGGTTATGACCTAATGACACTAAGTGAAGGTCCTGACCTAATGACACTAAGTGAAGGTCATGACCTAATGATACTAAGTGAAGGTCATGACCTAATGATACTGGGTGAAGGTCATGACCTAATGACACTAAGTGAAGGTCATGACCTAATGATACTAAGTGAAGGTCATGACCTAATGATACTGGGTGAAGGTCATGACCTAATGATACTAAGTGAAGGTCATGACCTTATGACACTAAGTGAAGGTCATGACCTTATGACACTAAGTGAAGGTCATGACCTAATGATACTAAGTGAAGGTCATGACCTAATGACACTAAGTGAAGGTCATGACCTAATGACACTAAGTGAAGGTCATGACCTAATGATACTAAGTGAAGGTCATGACCTAATGATACTGGGTGAAGGTCATGGCATAATGATACTGACTGAAGGTTTTAGGGCCAGTGATTCTGAGGGAAGGTCCTGGCTCAATTTAATGATTAAATGTTCAGTCAGTGTTGGTCAATACTTTAAACGGGAGACATATAAGTTGACAAAATTTATTGATATATCATCAATTATGGTAGAAATGTCTATGTCACCAGTGTAAATTTAAGTCAGGTGAGATGCAGGTCTGCACAGTCTGACCTCACTGTACAGTTGGTTTCTCAATCTTATCTTTTTTATGGATGTCTCACAATGCTCATATCTTAGCATACATTATACAACTTTTAAAGTGAAAGGGTAAAAACTTCATGAACTTATAAATAATGACAAAGTTTAAAGCTGAATAAATTTCATATACATCATTATTTGTTCATTGCCTTTACATTTCTTTTTTTTTTCTAATATTTTAATTTGGTATATTTTTATTTTACATTTCAGATGCATCAAACTGGGGTTATGTGCATGAAAAAGGTAAGTGCAATTGTCAAGTACACAAAAAATTAGACATGTCATACAGCCAAACTTTGTAATGATGTAATGAAAAACTTACAGGTTATCAAGTATGGCAATATGACAAAATTAAACTAAAGGGTTTATGGTTTCATTTAATAATCGTAAATAAAAGTATGTAGTATTGCATAAAATTTGAAAACTTTTGTTTTATTGATATGTAAAGAAAAACAGATAATTCTTGCAGTGTAACTAAGATAATAGGATTTTTTAAAATCAACCTGTAATAAAAAAAACCAACCACAACAACAACAACAACAAAGAAAAAAACCAATTATGAAGTAATTGACAATTATTGTTTTAAACAAGCATAAGGATAAAATAGTTTAATTTCTTTAAAGGCACATTATCTCCACCCAAAAGTTTTAATTTTAATTTGTGGTCTGTTATTGTTTCCAACAATTTACTTATTGGCCAATTTACTTGAATCATCTTTTGCATCCATTGCTCTTTGTTAAAGAAGTACAGTTATAGTGAATTACTTTTTTTGTATGGAAGTAAAAATACAAATTTGTTTACATTTTTCTAATTTCATTACAAATAATTTCATATTAAGTGCTACATTCTCCAGGTAATAAACATCTAACATGCTTGAAAATAAGTATCTAAATGTAATAAAACTCCTTTTTGGCCTCTGACTTTTTTTTCCTGTCTAAAAAGGCATATAATTGTGCCTTTAATTTGATGTTGAAACAGCTGTTTCTCAGAAGATAAAATTACATTTTTTTCTTATTTTTTTTTATGAAGATTATGTTTATTCAATTTGGAAGAGATATTGTTTTTCTATTGAACAAAACATTACAATTGACATAATTTTAATATTTTGTTTTTTTATGTCAAATGAATGATAAAATAAGACTTAAGATCTTAGTGTTTCTGTGTCGCCACTACTCCATATAGGGATCACTTCTCTGTCGTCTGTCTGTCCATCTGTCTGTCACAAAACTTGTCCAGACTACTCCTCATAAACTACTGGTGCAATTTCATCCAAACTTTACAGGAATGATCAGTACCAAGTCTAGTTGTGCATATTGTCAGAATTTTCTGGTTCAATGATTTTTGTCAGAGTTATTGCCCTTTAATAATTTTTATTTTTAAAGTTTGTCCGGACTACTTCTCTTATACCACTAATGCAATTTCAATGAAACTTTACAGGATTGATCTGTAGCTCAAGTCCTTGCCCATATTGCACGGGATTTCCAGTTGAATGATTTTTGGCTGAGTTATGGCCCTTTGATAAAAAATGTGTTTTTTTCTGTGTGTTGCCAGATACACAAAAGCTTGTCCGGACTACTCCTCATAAACTACTGGTGCAATTTCATCCAAACTTTACAGGAATGATCAGTACCAAGTCTAGTTGTGCCTCTTGTCAGAATTTTCTGGTTCAATGATTTTTGTCAGAGTTATTGCCCTTTAATGATTTTTATTTTTAAAGTTTGTCCGGACTACTTCTCTTATACCACTAATGCAATTTCATTGAAACTTTACAGGATTGATCTGTAGCTCAAGTCCTTGCGCATATTGCACGGTTTTCCGGTTGAATGATTTTTGGCTGAGTTATGGCCCTTTGATAAAAAGGTGTTTTTTTCTGTGTGTTACCAGATACACAAAAGCTTGTCCCCACCACTCATAACCTACTGGTGCAATTTCATCCAAACTTTACAGGAATGATCAGTACCTGAGTCTAGTTGTGTACTGTCCGTCTGTCTGTCCGTCTGTCACAAAACTTGTCCCAACATGAAATTGGCCATAATGAGGCGACACATGTGATCACTGATCGCTCTTGTGATATTATGTCATCAATACAGAGTCATTATAAGTTATCTACATCTCTGATAAATAGAATGAAAATTTGATAAAGTTTCAAGTATCCACAGTAAACACAGAATGATTGTACAACATCTAAGAAAATAAATGTAAATATTTTTCAATTCTTCAAATGAATTTTTTTTTGGAATGGTTAAATTGTATCAATTTAAAGGTCAATGTAATGCCATAACTTCAATATTACTTTTACATGTAAAACAACAACACAATGTCATTTATATCTAAAAGTTAACCTTTTTCAAAAGTAAAAAAAAATACCTGTACTTTAAAGTATGCCAGTTTTGTATTTTTTTTTTAAAAAATGGCCTAGAGTGGTTTACAGACTATAGTCTGTTCAAAGGTTTAGAGGCTATTTTAAATAAAAGGGTGCTTAGAGGCTATCTTGATCAATTGACTGATCAGCCATCAAATGAGCGTCAAATGTTTAATTGAAACAAAAGACAATTTGTCAAGATTGACAGCTTAAAAATTATAGTGTACATGTATAAATCATTGACAGATATCGATCAAGGAAATGTATAGACCTTTTATTGTCCATCATTTCATGAAAATAACAGTTTATTGTGATTTTTTGAAGGAGTGAAAAGTTAGAAATGAAGGAGGCTTTGAAGGAAAAGTTTGGAAGATTTAAACCATGGGACTATGCTATACTTTTTGCCATTTTAGTTACTATTTTAATATTTCTTATACTGGATCTTATTTTCTGGTCTCATGCAGTAAAACAAGGTATATTTTTATTCTGTAATTCATATGAATTTTATCAGTGACATGATAGTAGAACCTAAATCAAGGGTTGATTGCAAAACTGTTGCAAGTCCTTCTTTATTTCATATAAGTTACTGCAGATTTGCAGTCAACCCTTGAAATGCTTCAATTAAAAAAAAATCAATTTCAAAAGTATTTATTCAGGACCAACTTCAGTACAAACTTATGAAGATCTTAATTATTTAGCTATACATTATGCTTAAAAATATAAATAAGCTAACTATTCTATTTCTAAAATTTTTTAAAAAATGGAATTAAAAAGCCTTAATTAAGCTGATTTTGATTTGTAAATACTTATATCATTTTATCACAGAATGATGGTAAAATCTAAATGCTGGAGACAACAGCATTTAAGAATATGCCTACCAAATATACAGTTTCTTTTTTCATTTGAATCACTGTCATTTTCTAAACAATAAGTGCACAATTTCAAGCAATTGATTTTTTAACATACGTTTTGGTAGAAACATTACTATTACTTGTTAATAATAAGTTTATTATCCAACTTATCTATATATATCTTTAAAGGAAAATTTGGTCATCATAAGGACAGGTGGTCTCAAAATGTTATTCTTCTTTCATTATATTAATAAAATAATAAAACAAAACATAAAGAGAAATGTTTCAAGAATGTGCATTTTAATTGGATCAAGTTTAACCACACCTCATAAAATATGAAGGTTTAATAAGAAACCATAACTTTGCTGAATTTTACTGTGTGCACCTGTCTATTTTCTGTATAGCCCTGTCCATTTTCTGTGTGGACCTGTCTATTTTCTGTATGGACCTGTCCATTTTCTGTGTGGTCGGACCTATGGTGTATTTTATTCAAACCACTCCTTATTCATGATCAAAAAAAAGATTAATCCATGTTCAAACTCATTTGTCTTAATGTGCATACCTGTAAAAAAGCATCAACAGTTTTCCTTTAATGTAAAGGTATATGGTAAACTATGTCATTCAACTTTCTACACTAAGTTAAGCCAGATGCTGGATTTAAAATATGAATATGAAAACTAATAATTTTATAATTTCAGATTATTATCTGTCCTTGAAAATAAAAAAAAAGAAATGAATTTAAAAGCTGTGAAATTTCTTATTCATAATCTTTTGATGAAAAGTGAAAATAAAAACCAAATACCATATAATTATGAATAGAAGTTTAATGAGACAAACCTACTTTTATGGTAATTACCCCTCAAACTGTAAAGCATGCAATCTTAAACTGTCATCTTTCCAAAAACATATTATAAAATGCATGAAGCCTGTCAATTTTATGTGCATTTACTTTAATTAAGACTGCACTTTCTGCATTCAATGTACATGATGTAAGTTAGTAGGTCACCCAAAAATTTGTTACAAATTTCAATGTATTCAGTTTTGGATAAAAGTACATTTTTATATTCTAATTGTTGATACTGAATTTTGTTTAGGAAATAGATATCAATTCTGAGTGCATTGTTGTAGAATAAAGCATGTTTTCAGTTCACATGTGTTACTAAGGAATAAAACCATAAAGGGCAATAGGCCTGAGTGATTAATTACCAAGCATTTGAACCAAAAATTGTACATTATATCATACTACAATGCAAGAAATATTAATATATATTTCCAATCTAACATACTAATAAAAAAGAGAATTGATAAAAATATGTTAAACTACATTGAGCATAGGAGTAATTTTCCTGACGCCATTTGGTTTATTGACATCATACATGTATATGACATCATATGATGTGTAAGAATTCCTTTTCTATACTGTGCATATATCAAATTTACATTGTAAGAGTAAACGGCTATTTTTTTTTTCTTGGATGGTTATTCTATAGAAAAAACACCTTTTTTTAAAGACACATTGTGCCTCAGAAAAAAATAAATATTTTCTTCTTTAGAATAGGCAAACATCAATTTTATAAAATCTAAATAATGGTTTTAAAGAAATGTTATATGCTTTGTTACCTGAAAAAATATAAGGATAAATGTGAAATTATTTGTCATAAAAGTAGCAAAATGTGAAAGAAGTAGTATTTTGACATTCACTTTAGCTATACTTATTGCCAAAAAGCAACAGATGAAAAATATGGTTACTGTGCGGCAATTGTCCAATGAGTAACTTTTTGGATACAATAAAAGTACACCAAAATTATTAAAATGCTTTTGAGAAATAAAAGTAAAAGCATTTCTGATGCATAATGGGCCTTTAACTATCTGGATATTATTAACACCATGTCTCCGCAACAAATCTTAAACAAATTACCAAAATTTATTCTAACAGCTTCTTGTAACTCTCACGTTACCGTCTGAACGGAAATCCTTTCTTTTATAATAACAAAAGTGACACAGGAAGTTGGCTTTCTTTATCTATATTAGTTTAATTTCTCATTCACCATTTTCTATAAATATTTTTTTTATCAAAGATATACATTTTTATTATAAATCAGTATTCACACTTTGGCAAAAGAATTAGACACTAGTGTTATCATATTCAGATTTAATCAGAAAGTTTTTCCGCCTTTGGGTTGGCAAACTATAATTCAATGCACTTATTATAAATTCATCCCTAAATTTGCAAGCCAAATAAACCTATAAACCTTACATCTTATAAATTTATTGATACATTTAATGAAATCTTGGTTATAAAACATAATCTTACTAAATTTGCTATTTAGACAGCCTTATGATGGTTGCAAATAATTATTGCCTATAAGTTTAATTGCAAAAGCTATACTGTGACATAAATTGAGTTTTAGTTTAAATTAAATATTAGGTTGACAATAAGTCATGTGATGAATAAGTTTTAAGTTGCAATACACTCAATTGCAAATAAGTTATATCATAAAAGATATAGGTTGACAATAAGTGGTGATAAGTTTTAAGTTGCTAATGCTCTGAGGAGAATAACATAAACTATGAAATAAATCATACTAGCTCAGAATAAAGTTTCTAATACACAGAATAGATTGCTTATAAGTTCTATCAAAAATGCTACAGATTGACAATAAGTTGTGATGTAGAAGATGCAATATACATGTACTTGATAATTTGCTGATGAGTTATATCAAAATTATTTTAAGTTATTTGTTAACAGTAAGTTGTAGTGTATTACCTCAAAGTTGCAATACACTAAATACATTGATGACAAGTTATATGATGTAAGCTACATGTTGACAATAAGTTGTGATGTATTAGCTAAAAGTTGCAATACATTTAATAGAATGACAATAAGTTACAGCAATTATATAATAAACTATGTTGGCAAGTCAATGAATTTTGTGTTTCCAAAAAGTTATTATACAAAAACTTCGAAAAGATGATATTTAAGTTACATAAACTATAGGTTGACAATAAGTGATTCTCTATTACATACACTACACACATGGAGTGATAGGTTAAAATTACCAATAACACCATAAATGTAATACAACAACTCAATTTATAGTCAACTACGAGTCAAAAAAAATATATGTATTTATTAATCTTTCAGGACCGAACCATTGGGCCGACCTTTTTCCTGATGCATGTTCTGGTCAACACCAGTCTCCGATTGATATAAAGTCCAAACAGACAGTATATGACCCGACATTGAAGGATATTGTGGTCTTCTATGATCCTCCATTGCCAGGGTCCAAGTTTTATGTACATAATAATGGACATTCAAGTAAGTTTATAATGTTTAACAGTCATTTATCTGAATGTTTATATATTTAACAACAGGATGAAATTCATTTTTAAAGCTCCATGAAGTTGCATAGTTTACAAAATATTAATACCTTTTACCTAATGGTATTTTTTGTCTAATTAAAACAAATTGTTCACAATTTAAACAATTTCTTGTCCTTTCAATTGCCATCCTTAATGTATCTGTAAAATCTCTAGCCCACACCTTGAAGTTCATAAAATTCATCTACTGCATATACACATGTATATAATTTTTTAAGAATTTTATTGTTTATTGTTTTTTTTGCCTTTATTTATTATAATTTAACTTCTGTCAAGATTGAATTAAGGTGACATGCCAGGGGAAAAGCGGGGACTTTGACAATTGTATTAGCTGTTAATGGCCAGACCCTGCAGAGATGTGGCATGATGAAATTCTTGCTATTAAATGCATAGCAACATCCCCTGTGTTGTTTAGGTGCTAAAACAAAACCACTGAAATGACTCAGAAATTTTAACAAAATGTAACCTGGCTCATTGGCCCAAGGTTTTCCCCGCCTTTCCCTGGGATGAGAGGTCTGTACTGATGCATAAATTACCTTGATTTGATATAAGAGAAAACAATCTTTATTTTCAGTCCAAGTTAACACAGAGGGAAAATTCTATGTGAGCAATGGTGGGCTTCCTAACATATACTCCACTGCCCAGTTCCACTTCCACTGGGGACACAAGAATCACCATGGATCTGAGCATACCATTGATGGAGAAGCTTCGCCCATTGAGGTAAAAATTTCTATGTACACCTAACAAGATAGTAGTAAAGAAGGACAACTCTAGACACTACCCTGTCTGAAAGTATAAGTTCAGTTGTCTCCCTTGATGTAACAAAAATACAAAACTTGTAATTATTATGCAGCAAATCATATATATGTACTATTTTGTAATTTATTACTTAATTTTGCAGTTAATATAAATTTTTACACAAACAATAAGATTTCAGGAGGGTAATATAGTGGATATTGTTTAGCCTTGGAAAACTATGCAATATTGTCCTTGGTAAGTTCTTCAGTTTTAACCAAGGATTTATTCTTGTTATTTTGCAGATGCATATTGTAAACTGGAATTCAGATAAATACAGCTCTATTGCTGAGGCTGCTGTGGAACCAGCGGGTCTTGCTGTGCTGGGAATTCTTTTCGAAGTTACAAATGTAGACAATCCTGCCTTCACACCTCTAGTTAATGTTCTTAAACATGTCAGAGATCCAGGTATCTATCTCCTACCATTTTTATATAACATAATATCAAATGAAGAATAAAAAAATATATATTTTCTTAATTGAACAAAGCTTTGACAAGTACTGCAGTGTAACAGGTCTAAAGTGACAGCTTTAACCTCATATTTTGAGTATTAACAAGTTTAAAACTTAAATAAATTAATATTTAATTTAAAGCTGCTCGACTCCAGATGAGTCAAAATATTTCAAGATCATCAAACTTCAGAAAAATCTACTAAGAATCAAGGAATGATTTACATGTTTTGTACTATTAAATGACTTATTTTGCAATACTGATCACCATATTTCTACTGATTACTAACGCAGTAAGGGCTATTTATGCATATTTTGATCATTTTTAGTAAATAACTAATGGTTTGTTAGTGCCATTTGCAAGGTACAAAAAACTTTCTTTGTTTAATTCACGGTATTTTACTTTTAAATACATTTTCAAAATTTTCATGAACTTTTTATGAATTCATTTTTAAATTAGATTTTAATAAAATTAATGATGTTGCAAATTTTTAATGTAACATAACTTTAACCATAACATTGTCAAGGGTATCAGACAGATACATTTTTATTTCAAAAATGGTCTGTTTCTGCAATTTTCTTGTTTTAAAATCATGTGATAAAAAAAATCTTATGTTTATGGCCTTTTTCATATAGAATTTTCATTTATCTTGTCTCAGAAATGCAATAAAACACATCATGTTTCTCTTAGAAAAACAAAAACTATTTACTGGACCACAAATTTACTAGATCACTTTGATATCATTATTGCCTATGACCTTACCCATTCAAAGAGTCCTAAAGTTTCGGCTGTTTTTATATGAAAAAGTATACATTCAAGGAACTCCATTGAGGTTCAAAACCCTAAGAACATAAAATTTGAACTTCTTACATAGACTAACTGGGGTATTTATACAGGAAGATATGCAAAAGATAGATAAGAAACCCAGAAATAAAAAGAAATCGTATTTTTTTGTTATTCTTAGCCCGATTTGAGTGAAAAAAATTGCAACGCTTTTCAACTTTGGTCATTTTTCACAATTAGAATTATTATTCTGGAAAAATGGATTGAATAAATTATCTGAAATTTTGCACAAAAGGTATTGATGGAACACTTATCTCAAAAATAATTTCCAGTCCCATCCTGTCAAAAAACCTTAGTGGAGTCCCTTTAACATACTTTTAATAATACAATGAACTTTATAAGTTGATGAAATATGGTTGCTTACTTCTCATGAAAACATTATTTTATGTTATTATATTATTACATAAATATTTTATAGATAAGAAGATCAAAACAGAAATCCCTGCCGTATCAATGAGAACATTCCTCCCCAAAGCCACCAACATGTATTACCGTTACAATGGCTCTTTGACAACACCTGGCTGCTTTGAAAGTGTAATTTGGACAGTATATTACATGAAACAGACAATCTCCAGACGTCAGGTATTCCAAGTTTGCTTATTATGTCCTTACAATGTGCTGATTTGTTTTGTTAGCTTATGATATGCTCGTTTGCTCAAAGTTTGTGCACAATTCGATGAAAGATTTCAACATATTTTGAAAATGAAGAAAGCAATAACTTTCAATTCAGCAAAGTACTGGTATTATATGTGATAACCTCAATAGTGTTTGAACCCATGATTCTTGGTGTTATGTCATAGGTATATCTAAAAAATGACAAAATATGCATCATACAGTGCTCTAAATATCTTGTTCAAAGTTTACCCAACATTTGCATTTAATAAGCTCATGAATTTAAATCATTTGAAGATTGCAGAAAAAAATGGGATATTATGGTTGTCTTGCTCAAATTATGCAATACATTTTCCTTAAGCCAGTATAATTTTCCTTAAGCCAATATAATTGAATAAGAGATGAAATATACATAAGTTAATATTGAAATAATAATTACAATGTATTGAAGTCCATAAATAAATGTGTTGATTACTGATTTTTTTTACTTTCAGCTACATGTTTTCCGTCAAGTTCTCAAACCTACTCATCATCGTAAGAAGAGATCAGCTCATCATCATGAAACTAAGGGCGAGAGACATTTCTTCCAAGAATTAGGTAACTATCTTATTATATCTCTCTTTATATCATGTTAAATGAGCGGCATCCGCGCAGTCTGATCAGGATCCATGCTGTTCGCTTACAAAGCCTATAACAAGTAGAGAAACTGATAGCGAACAGCATGGACCCTGATCAGACTGTGCGAAACCATGCTGGTTGCAAACACATTACTTTGGTTTTGTCGTGATGCAGCTCAAATGTTATTATTTTTTTTGAGTTTGATGGTTACAATTATGATGAGAATATTAAGGTCATTAAACCTTTAGAAAAAAGATTCATAGTGTAGTACAAACATTTAAAAAAGAATTTCAGTCATATATCAAGAGACAGCTGTCAGTGAATGTTTATGGCTGATCTTATTGTAACCACTGCAAATACCTCAACAAAACAACTTGACTTGCTCTCCTATGAAGGAGAACTGTTGATAGTCAAAAGGTCACAGGAAAACAAATAGCAGTATAACATGTTATTTATTTTTAAACATAATCTATAAAACAAATAAAAAAATGAACAACTTAACTTTAAAGTAACATTGTAAATGTTGGGTCTAATAATTAACCGATAATATTGTTTATATGTACTGAAATTTTCATTCATCATTCATTTATTAAAGGTATTGAAAACAACAACTTTGCAAAGGCAAGGTTAAGAAGACAGCTGGAAGAAAAGGTTGAAGCTAGTGTTCATGACAGTCAGAACTCAGGAGTTGCTGTAGAGGAACCAGCCCCTGATATGCCGGCAGAAAACACCACACATGAACATACTGATAACCATAAACACCACCATGACCATAACCAAAATGGAGGCTCTGGGCATACCAGCAAACCGGAACCAGTAAATACAGGCGGGAAAACTAATAACCATGAAGCTACAATGAGCAACATGGAAAAAGTACGGAAAATGCTGGTAAATAATTATCGTCCTGTACAACCTCTGAATGGAAGAATTGTATACAGGAGTTTCCCATTCTTTGGAGAGAAAATACCTTCAGATATTGAAGTTGTTTACCTAGATACAGATGGTTCGCAAAATCAAAAGGGCTACAGAGATAATGAAAATTCAGCTCCTGCAATCAGAGTGATTTCCCTTGTAACCATGGTTTGCTCAATAATAATTTCAAAATTATTATAGAAAATAATGAAATTGAAATAGAAAGACATGAGATAACTGTGATTTGAGGCCTAGGAAATACCAAAAATACAGAAACATCACAACTTACAAGAAAAGAAATGAACATAACATGGTTAATTAAATGAAAATCACAGAAACAATTAACAAATCAAGATTTCAGTCAATTTAGAGCTTTACTAGTGAACAGATCTTAATCAAATATCCAAATGAAATATTGAACTTAGAGTCTCCTTTTAACAAATTGTCAGTGCTTTTAATACTCTTTTAAATACTCCGAAATAATATATAAACTGAATTAATTTCAATACATAATTGAAACAAAATAAATCTCTGGAAACAGTACAAGCAGTTCCACCAATTGAACAATCTGCTCAACATTACAAATGTGGGAAAAAGATGTTTTATGTGATTTGCTGAGGTGTCTTTGATGTGTTTTTTTACATAATGTGTTTTTGCAGCATCTGATAGGCTTAACATAAAAAACAAGCATTTTCATGAAGTGAATTTTTCCCACAAAACTACCTTTATAACGTTTTGACTTGTTTTGAGTGAAAGTTACCATTTATCAATTATGCACCAGAAACAAGAATATTTGGAAAAATTAAGTTAAATACTTTTTTCCAGTTCATGATATTTGAGAATATTTATCAACATTGGAGTCATTTTGGTACACTATACCAAACGTGCTACAATGATAATTTTGTATACAATACATTAATATTGATATCCTTTAAATATTATGAAATGTTACACAAAAAGAAATATTACAAGAAAAATGGTTGTACATACCTTTAGCAAAATAAGCTATTTTTATATCTAAGCACTGCAGAATAACCATGTATAGAATAGTAAGCTATATATATTATTGAAATGTTTCACTATAACTGTTTAAAACAAGAGGAAAAGAAAAATATCTCAAAATATTACACATGTATATTTGTCATTTATGTAATTTTGTGTTGTGAATATTTTTGCATTTTGTGTGATAATCTAGATAAAAATTATTATGTTATTTGCACTTATATGTTTGTGCATATATATTTTGTTAATAAATATGCCGGAAAAAGATGATATACATAGTTGTACAATAGTTTTTTTTTATTCTTAATGCTTTACCCCTCCATCCCACAGAGCTAAATAAACTCATCAAAGCAAAAGCAAATAAGACATGAGCTCGCATAAGAGCTCACACGATGATTTTGCAGTGCTTTGACAACATTAAAAGGGAATAACTTTGAAAACAAAGGTAACTCCAGAGTTATGGGAAGTGCATTCAGCACGTTTGTGAATCACAGAAAACAAGTGTGTAAAGTTCTAATCCATAATCTACAGTAGTTATTTTTTAGATACATGTACAAACTTGCAAGCTATTTGCATAAAATTTCTTCCACTTCAGCCTGCAGCCAGTCATCATCAGTTTGACCACAGTAAAAACAACTGCTTTTTAGATATTGTGTAGACAAAAAACAACACAATTGAATTCTTCATTTAAAGTTCACTGAGACCAATGTCAGGGAGCTACTGTATCAAAACACCATAGGGATCCTATGCTTACCACATTTTGCATGACTAATATGAGACGCGCCATGACAAAACCAACGTACTGGGTTTGACGACCAGCATCGATCCAGACCAGCCTGCGCATCTGCGCAGTCTGATCAGGATCCATGCTGTTCGTTTACAATCCCTATAACAGAAAAAACATTGACGCAATTTCTACAAATAGAAATGACGCATTTCTAAAAATAGAAACCAATGACGCAATTTCTAAAAATAGAAAAAAATGACGCATTTCTAAATAGAAAAAAATGACGCAATTTCTAAAAATAGACACATGACGCAATTTCTAAAAATAGAAAAAATGACCGCAATTTTAAAAATAGAAAATGACGAATTTCTAAAAATAGAAAAATGACGAATTTCTAAAAAAAATTATTAAATATATAGAATAATATATTAACGCAAGATTTCTAATATAGATAGTAATAATAATGACGACAAAACTCTCTAAAAATAGACAGATTTAAAATGACGCCAAGATATTCTTATATTAAATATAGAAAAACACCATGAGAACGTTCACTCATAAAATATATTCCTATAATATAATTATAAATATAATAATACCTACGGGTTGCATCAGTAATTTATTAAATAAAAAAATACCATTAGTATAATAATAAATTAAAAAAATAAATACTATATTAATACTAATTAAAATATAATAAAATACATAGGAATTATAATATATTAAATAAAATCCATAATTACTAATTAAATTATAATAATATCAGTATAATATATATTGTATATTATTATAATAATAATATATAACAATGCCTCATAATAGTATTGTATTTATAATTACACACAAACAAACTTTAATATTAAATTTAAAAATAATTAAATTATAAAACCTATAAGATAATTATCATAATAATAATAACTTACACCACTCACAAATAAATTGTACACATTACTGAGAAATTTCAGTAATATACCTTCAAGAGTCTAGTTATTATTAATTAAAAGGTTCATAAGACCGATAGCCCAGGCTAAATTTGGGTTTTGTAATAAAAACTAGAGAAGCAACAATAGAGTTAGGTCCTTAATGAAAACCTGATTCGTTGATTAATAATAAATTAATAACTCGAATATAGTGTTTAAATATTACCTTCAAAAATACGCCAATAAGTTACAGTGTAGAATTTACTGTTCACAAATTTAAACAATGCAAAAATTTTCAGAATAATTATGATCATTTCCAACCGACTCTCGAATGATGTCATTAAATGGAGGGGGTTGATAAAGTTTTTCTCAAGCGTGTGTCTTTGTCACTTGTATCTCTGTGGATCAGCTCCGATCTCTCTCTGAAGATTATTGATGTTCAGTTTAATCGAATCCATGTCGCAAAAATATCCGCAAAAGTTAGACAGACCAAATATATAGGCAAAAAATTATACCAATTCAATAATGGATTGAACCCTATACAACAGTCCTTTTAGGGCCTTAGGACTCTCTTTCAAACTTGGAGTCATTGATGAGTGAATGTCAAGGTCTGATGCGGTTATTTATTTAGGGGGATGGTTCTTTATGATTTATTTAGTTCTCAGATGATGGTGAAGATAGGAACTCCTATTCTCGCATTAATAATCTAATAGGTAACAGTGCTCACAGGGAATAACAGCATGAACAAGCCAAATTGGATTTTAAACCTTGAAGTCAGGTTCATTTATGGATGAAGGTCAAAGTTAGTGTGTCTACTGAAAGTGTTGTCCCAAGGGTTGTTGTGGACCTAGTATGAAGACAATACACCAAGAAATAATATATAGAGGTTATGAAATCGCGCTCACAGGTTACAAAGTTTGGTCACAATTGACCTCTTGTAAGCAAAAAACGGAGTTCGGACTCCAATCTCAATCAACTTAAAGACCCAGGCCTAGGGAACTTCCACAACTGGCATACGGCTGTGACGGCTATAGGACTCGTCTAGACGCTCATGGGCATCGCCCAGGTAGCATGCTGCACCCATCATATATAATTTATACTGCGACTTTTTTTCCAAAAGAAAAAGTAAAAGATGGAGATGGACATAAAGCGTACGAATAAGGAGAATCTGATACATTACCTGACCTTGCGCGACTGATCAGACCTGACAGCTGGAAGAATCTGGTCAGGTTAGGTGCTGGATTCCAGGTATGTGGTCTCCTCCAACCAATATAATTGGTTTTTGTGAGGTGGCCCTGGTCATATTATATATTACTTGTTTAATATTTTTGATCAAGTTATCAGTATTTGTTTTGGTATACACTACATGATCGTTCGAAATGTGTAAAGAAAGATCGAACAGCTGAACAACGCCTAGGAGATATGCAATTTACATTTGTGGTGTTGAGTTGACAGGCTGCCAATCTCTGAGGAAAAATAGTCAAAGTGAACCATTAAATACAGTGTAGAATTCTTCTCCTGCAAGTGTCGAGTATGGAACACTTGAACTGAAAACTATTTCACTTTTATTAATGAAAAAATAATAGACCTCTGGAAGTTCTGTATATCAAGAACTACAAGTGTGAAAATATCATATATTTCCTCGCACTCAGAAAATAATATTAGATGGAAAAACAAGCAAGAAACAATCCCTTTCCTTAGGGTCTTTAGAACACACTCTTTCGTACTTAGACAATTGGTGTATAAGTTTTGTGTTGACTCGCATTGATGGCTTCTATGATCAGTAGCTGACCTCTATGCTTTATATTGGTATAAGTTTATGTATATCAGTAGGGGTTCGCCAAGTTAATACGGTTTCAAGTGGTCATACTATCAAACTATATAGCCGAACACTGTTTTCGTGGGTATAAGTGCACATAAAAAATATATACAATATGACGGACGCGCCTTGTTTTCAGTTGATAACCATTAAAACTCTAAAATATTCTTAAAAGCTACAGAAAACACATAGTTGGCAAACCCATTCAATAGTTTTTAGAGACACTGTTCTCGAAAAAGATTAGAGCGATTCTCTATGTCCAGAGAAAATTAAGAATAGAGCGAAACTTTGCGGCTCGGTTTCAAAGGATAATGGATTTTGAACTGTTATTTTATCTCGTGTTTTGTTGTTATCTCAGTAGCCAATATTGAGCCTCCTATGGTATTATGTCTTGGGTTCCAAAGTGAACTCTGCAAAAACATGGTCAAAAAGCGGCGACATTTTGAATTTCTATTGTGATAGCACGGTGCGCTAAAATAATGGTTATGCCAACTCAGCGTCCAAGACTCAAAAAGAACCACCTTACATAAGTGGCCCGTAGTGGCGACTCTCCAGAATAATTGGAATCGCGCAGACCAGCCTGCTGCTGGTCGCGAACTCGCATGTTGTCAGATCCATTGCTGTTCACATTATCCCTCATTTCTCTAGTACTTGATGTGGATAAGCCTATTTTGATTTTGGGGTGCTTTGATATGAGGGAAGTGCCATGTATGATCCTGGTCTCAGAGGTCACATTGACCTTGAAAGCAATTGAACACGGGCTGTGTCTGATCAATAACTTTAAGTAGACGCCAGTTCTAGGTGGTGCGATACGGATGACTTTCAAGTTTGTCGGCGAATATATGCACCCGTAGTTGTAAATGGTTTAGATCATGAACCCGCCCTAGGCTCTTGATGGAATTTTATAGCTGTATTAAAACTAGAACTGCCACTATACATGCGTGTATATGACATCCGCGCGATCAACCACACGGGTTTGTCACAGAATCAATCAATGATGGCCTTCATTGTGTATGAGAGATATATCAAAAGGGACAACGCTCTCTCCCTTGCCAATACATCTGATATGAGAATTACTTTAAAAGCCACTAGTTGGTGGCCACCTTTGCTAGGAGACTCGAAATCTTATTGTTTATATACGATGCTTCAAATGTGAAATGTGTACAATGAGGACTTCAATACATTGCGGACAAGACATTCTTATAGCAATTGATTAAGAAAAGCTTTTTTTTTTGTTCAAGGGTCCTGATGACTTGACTTTGACAGTGCCATCAAATCCAAATGAGGGAGGTCACCTTATAGTCATGATCAACATCCATGCCAAATATTTGAAGACGTGGGTCAAGGGATCTTAAGGTTAAATGGGTGGACAACTTTTTGAGTCAAAGTCCCTATGACCTTTTATCTCTTGATTCCAGTGACCTCAAAATTCAAAAGGGAGTCATCTACTATCTGATCAACATCCATGCCAAATATGAAGACTGTGGGTCAAAGGCACTTCTTAAGTTTTTTGGCGGACAAGCTTTTTAAAGTCAAGGCCCCTGTGACCTTGACTTTGACCTGGTTGATTCTCAAAAATCAATAGGGTCATCTCACTTATCATGACTAACCTCCATTGCCAAATAGTGAAGACTGTGGGTCAAAGGATCTTAAGTTATAGGTGCGGACAAGCTTTCTTGAAGTCAAGGCCCCTGTGATTTTTGACCTTTGACCTTGGTGACTTCAGTCAATAGCGGTCTTTACTAATCAAACTACCTCCATGCCAAATATGAAGACTAGGGTCAAAGGAATCTTAAGT